AAATTCAACTGGAGTAGACTCGTCCATGGTGTCTGCTCCAGGAACAGAGTCGAACACAGTTCTGCTGTCTCGCCTCCCGAGCTGGCTCGATGCCACAGCGGCCCAATCTTCTGAACAGCACAGGTCCCTTCGGCCCTTCTGTCTTTTCGACAAACTGGTCATCTGAGCGCGAGCGTGCCACCACACTGGCGAGCATACGATCTTCTGAAGGGCCCTCTTCGCCCACCCAGTCTTCCTTCTCAAAGGATGGCCTTGCTGACGCCGATGTGAGGACACTAGATTATCTAGGATTGGCAGAAACACCCCAGCAGTCTCGTGCTAGCCTTGCAGGGCCGTCGGTTGCCATGCTTATGCAGCAACAGCAACAACAACAACAACAGCCGACCTCATCCCTGCCCCCCCTCCTTGCAGAATTAGCCATGCTCAATCGAGGTTCAAATCGTTTCCGCTCCTACTCCGTTAATGCAAAGGAGAAATATGCCGAAGAGGACGAGGAGTTCGGCACGCATTACTCTGCTATCCCCTCGGGAACGCTAACTCCATCCGCCGCCGCTACTGCCGCCCAACTTGCTGCCACTCAGGCTCAAATTCATCAACATAACCTTGCCGTCCAAGCTTTTGCAAACCACGCATCCTCAAGTCGACCCCGCGCTCGTACTGCTGGTGTTCTAGATGCTCCCCTCCAACGCTCATCCATCCGTAACTACCTTGCGAGCCCTTCGAGACTTGAGAACAGTATCAATGCCTCGGATATCCACATCACAGAGGCTTCTGAATACGATAGTTTACCTGAAGCTGTTCAAAGAATGCAATTAGGAGGCATGGGAGGACTAAGAGCTCAAGAACCCGTCGATGAGAACAACTTGGAAGGCCCAACCCGAGCCTTGTGGATTGGCAGTATTCCTGTCTCCACCACTGTCACATCCTTGGATGCTATCTTCAACGTATACGGTAAAATTGAGTCGACTCGTGTTTTGACTCATAAGAACTGTGGATTTGTCAACTTCGAGCGTGTTGAAAGTGCCACTCAAGCCAAATCTCTTCTCAATGGAAAGGAAATATTCCCGGGAGCTGGCCCCGTTCGTATCGGATACGCCAAAGTCCCAGCTACTCCTGTTTCCGAGACCCCAGGCCAATCTGGTAGTCAAAACTCCCCGACGCCAGATGCCAGTACCGGAGCTGCTGGATCAGTGGCGCGGGATGGAACTCGCTCTACCACCCAAGATGGTGAAGCTGCTATCTCCTCTTCCATCCCAGACCTGCAAGAAATACAGCCAGAAATGAGCAGTATTGTTATCGAATTCGGTTCATCCGAATCTGAATGCCAAAACATCACGAAAAGCATTCAGCGTGCAATCGACTTCACCGCATTCGAAGACGAAATCCGTCCAGTTCCTGAACCCAGCCAATCCCGAGTTTTTGATGCTCCTCGCCTGCGTGAAATAAGGAAGAAGATAGACAACGGCGCCTGCAGTACCCAGGAAATCGAAGACACTGCCAGTGAAATGCTCCCTGAAATTGCCGAGCTAGCCTCCGACTATCTGGGCAACACAGTGGTACAGAAACTTTTCGAGTTTTGCTCCGAGCCAGCCAAGGAGCAAATGCTGGTACCGATTGCACCTCATCTTGCAGAAATCGGTGTGCACAAGAATGGCACATGGGCCGCGCAGAAGATCATCGATGTTTCCAAGGTAGATTCCCAGAAGCAGATGATTGTTGACAGCCTGAGACCATACACCGTCCCGCTGTTCCTTGACCAATACGGAAACTATGTGTTGCAATGCTGCTTGCGCTTCGGCCCACCATTCAATGACTTCATCTTCGAAACCATGCTTAGCCGCATGTGGGAAATTTCGCAGGGGCGGTTCGGTGCCAGAGCCATGAGGGCTTGCTTGGAGAGCCACCACGCCACCAAGGATCAGCAGAGAATGCTTGCATCTGCCATCGCGCTACACAGTGTTCAACTAGCAACGAATGCCAACGGCGCTCTGCTTCTCACGTGGTTCCTTGATACCTGCACTTTCCCCAACCGCCGTACCGTACTTGCTCCCCGGCTGGTTCCCCATCTTGTGGCTCTTTGTACACACAAGGTCGCTTACTTGACAGTATTAAAGATTGTTAACCAGAGAAACGAGCCAGAGGCTAGGGAGATTATCTTGAAGGCTCTATTTTACAGCCCTGGAGATGAGACGTTGGAAAACATCCTCAAAGATCAGTCTTCTGGTGCAACCTTGATCTTCAAAGTCCTCACTACTCCGTTCTTCGAAGAAGCCATGCGTGCAGAGGTTGTGAAGACAGTCGCCAAGGTACTTACCAAGCTGAAGACTACTCCTAGCCAGGGGTACAAGCGACTTATGGATGAGGTTGGTTTGTCCTCGCGCACCACAACCTCTCGTGATTCCCACCATGGTCGTGACCATGGTACCAGCAGCGACAGAGAGAAGCATCAGCGTCAGCCTGGCCAGCAACGCCAGGAAGGAAATAACTTCCCAGCTCAACAAAACCCGGCTGATCGTCAGTACGGTGCGCAGATGAGTGCACATAACATAAACATGCAGCCACCTCTCAACTCTCCTCCAAACATGGCACGATCTACCTCCTCTGAACAAAATATCCCGCAGTATGACCCGTATGCATTTGGCTCCATGAATAGTCTTGCTGGCTTGCCAATGGCAAACCCTGCCATTTCCCAGGAAATGCCGCCTCTAAATCCGCAACAGTACCAATACCAAGCTTTCCTTTCCGCCCAATCTCGCGGCATCCCAGCTGCTGGATTCTTCCCTCCTGGTCCCCCTGGAAATGGTATGGGGATGGGGATGAACGGTTTCCCCGTCACTACTGGTTCAACTTTGGATAACTTCCGCTCTGTACAACCAGCCATGGCAGGCCCCGGCGGTGCTCCATTGCCAATGGGCGGAAACTCGATGGTTCAGCCAACTGGTTATGGAAACCAGCAGTTTAGCCCTGTCATGGGTGCTGGTCAACTATACAATTACCCTCAACAATTTTATCAGCCAACCCCAGGAGCACAGGGTGCTCCACCTTCTGGACGACGTGGTCGTGTAAGTTCCTTAAACTACTATCACCCAATATTCTCCGTACCTTTATATTGTTATTGAGCTAACGTCTACTCGTATAGTATTCTTGATTGATTTATGACCATTGTGTGCACGTTCTTTGAAGCCATTTATCGATGATGCAACTATATATGTAAAATTTGGGAACTCTTTATTGACTGTCGTTCTGTCTTTCTTATTTGCATTATTCACCTCTCATACTCATGCGATCCAGGAATAATGCTGAATGCTATATCTGAATTATAACACCTCGAGCATGGATGGAAACCGTCTTGACATGATACTTTCCCCTTGCAGAGGAAGAAGAAGCTGGTTCTGCTTCTTTACCCCTACTATGCATTCGTCATTTCTTACCTAGATCTCCCCAGCGCTGGTTCGCCGGGATGATATAGCTAGGAATGCAAAGCGTAGGTAGACGCCTGGCATAGCCACAGAGAAAATGGTAACGGGATGGAAAATGGAGTCTTCCTCATTCTCCCTATTATACTCTTTCTACTCACCGCATTTTCCCTTATCGTTTTCCCTCCTTCGTTTTGCACCCTTTTGGCCCGTTTGTATTTCCATTCCTGTCTACTGGTTCCAAGTTACAAAAATGTTCGTTTCATTTTAGTTTGTAAATTTTTTTTGTTTCTTATCAGTCATATGCATGCCAGAAAATCATCTACTCTATGTCTATCTCTTTCCCTGCCTTCACATTTCCTTCTTTTGTGTGATTTTCATTCCATGTTATATTGCCTGGTCCCGGCCAGGCCCAAGCTTCATATGCTTAGGCACTTGCCTATCAAGACGGGGAAGAGAGCGAATTGTATGTACGAGGAAATATGTCTTTAAGCCAGGCGAATGTATGTTTTTTTTTTTTGTCTTTTTTTGTTTTTTTCTATTTTCCTTAGGAAAAGCAACTAGCTGTGCCTTCACTTGACCCAATTTGTAAACATATCCAGTACTTAGGTATGCACTGCCATCATTTAGACATAAACACAGTTTCCCCTCAGTTCCATACTATGCAAGCTGGACTTGACGTGTTCTTATTTCGCCTTATCTTTCCTCATCTTTTGGCCGATCCTGGGTTGATCCCTTAGGCTATTTGATGGCCGTGCTCAAAGATACAAAATGTCATTATTACACGTAAGCTTCCTCTTCATAGGTTCTGGAATGAGGCATGTATCTGTGGAGTCAAAATCAAAAGTATATAAAGCTGAAGAACCAACTACCCTAGAATTGATAATATATTAGGAGGTCGTTACCCGTGTACGAGATGTGGCGGATGGCTTGACTCGATAGTAAATTCTTGTCGGCAGTAATAACTACTTAGGTGGTTGCTAAGGCCCTTCATGCTACAGCGAATCCTCATGGTGGGTCAGCGTCTAGAAATGCACAATTACTTTGATACTGAGTCATTCCCCACGGTCTTACACGGTCGGGAAATACTCTCCTATGGCTCTCATTTAGGAAGCCGTTGAATAAAGTTAAAAATGATTGACTTGGTCATCAACTCCAACCACCTAAGGCTAGTCGTTAAATTAAGTTCTCTTGGCATGATCCGCCGGGTTGGTGCATGTGGGGCCACCCTAAATAAGGGGACTCAGTCATTCCTCAAGTATATGTACTTGTCATATGCCCTTTTTAGATTTCTACTAGTTGAAGGCAGCAAACAGGCAGGGAACTAGTTGAAACCTTATACTCCCTACAGTAGACAAATAAATATTCAAAGCCATGGCGACGCTGGAACAATTTGGAACGTATTTAATCACCGAGGGATTAAGTTCGTCTTGATAACTAGGCGACATAGTTAACAATCCTTATCGCAAAGCAGGTAAAAATTCCATAGAATAGGTCTGGGGGGCATTTACTTAAGAGTTTTCTGGTCCGCCGAGCAGCCGCTAGGCTTAGAATAAAAAACCAAGGATAGCTAGGTACAAATTTAATAGCAAGATCGACATTGAAGACATGGCGGATGCTGACCAATGGACCTAACTATCAGAGACAGGTTGTCAAGGCTGTCAAGTATTTCTGTGCATGGATACTACAGCTCCATACTTAGGAGTCCACCCTTTGCTCACCTGAGCCAATTCCGCCACAAATACATCAACACATTATATATGAAGTTTTGATGCTGTTTTAGACCTAGAGAAGTCGCAGAGTTCTTCAAAGAAGCATTGGATAGTGGAGTGGGGCGATATTATTTAGGTGCTTACATGAGGATTTATTGCTAGAAGAACTCGAAACCGACATTCTGGTTTGAGTCGGATGTTAGTTGGAGTATAATATATGTCGGCATTAATTTGTTTTTAACTAGCCATCCAATATCTCGAAAACAGTAAGATATAAAAGACTGCCCAATAGAATCCCAGGGGCCATGTGCACAAACTGCCGAATACCTTTCACCTTTGCATTTTAAGATGCCTGGGCTCCCATATTTTTGAGGGTTTCATTGACTTAAGGTACTTCTAATTGCAGCCTTATAATATGAACCTATCTGAGTTGGACATTTTAGATATAAGAAGAGACCAGCTTTCGATACTGGGCTATGCAGAGAAGTTATAACCCAATTCAATTTCCTGTGAGGAGTTTTCCCAGCTCCTGATACCTGATTATTTTTCTTCCCTGCCAGAGAACAGGGTTTTTCCAACCTCGAAGAAATCCGCGTGGGATGGGCTGGGGGTCGCATTCTTGGGGCCGCTCGCTGTTGACATACTTTGCTACTTTTTATATTTGGTTGATGCCGGGTTTAATTAAATTATAAGAAACCCATTGTGAGAGGTATTTAGTTTTTTAGTGGTCAACACGCCAAGACCTGAATTCTGCCTTTTAAACGCTCTCTGAGTTGAAACTTCTTCGACCACACAAATATCGACAACCTGACCAAATGACATGAACTCGAGTCCTAACAAGCCAGGAAATGGACTATTACTACTTCCTCTGTCGTCAATTATATATCAGGATGCGTCACAGAATCTGTTTATAATAGATATACCAGTATCTATCAGCCTAGCCCAGCACCTACCAAACATTACCAAAAATGATTCCCATTTCAGGATACCACTGATATACTCTTCAGATGCCATCGCTAGCCCGTACAGCGGCCCATCTCCTGAGCCAAAGACGGATCAGGCAAAAGCCAAGGTTCTTAAACTTGTTCCTGCAGAGGAGCGTGAATACCACACATTGATATGTGGACTAGTTGAAGATGAGATAAGAAGGCTTGGGAGAAATTTCCGGGGCGAATGGTGTTATGCCAGACAAACGTTACCCCCTTGCGAAGAAGCAGGATTTCCTTTACCATCGAAGAAATACCTGGGAATCAACGGATTAGATTTGGTATTTGCTCTCCCAACAGGGCAAACTATGGCCCCAGAGAAAAACCAGGGACAGAGTCATCGGGATCTCGTGTCAACATCTCCGCCGGTTATTCTTTCGTCAGAATTGAACGTCTTCTCATCACCCAGAGAAATTTCCAATGCACTTGTGAAAAACCCCAGCTCTCATCAAACTAGGATAAAACTCTCTGGAGCTCTCGACTCAACCATAGCCAGCGAAGAGCCTGATCTAGGAAGAGAGATTTTCTTTCGAATCCCGCCTAAATCAACTTTTATACTGACACATTTCCAACCGAGCTTACCATGTTTAACCAATCCCCTTTCTCTGGTTCCGCCTAATCAGTATTTCGACTTCATTCTTGCCGATCCGCCATGGCCTAATCGTTCAGCCAAACGCTCGAAGCAGTACACCATATCAACTTTATCCTTTGATGATCTAGAACTTCTAATTGGAAATATTTCACGAAAATTTCTTATATCTTCTGGCATAGTAGCCGTTTGGGTCACAAACTCCCAAAAGGCGCGACGGGCAGTTGAAAATGCATTTCAGGCAGCTGGTGTGAGGAAAATTGAGGAGTGGGTATGGGTTAAAACAACTGTTATTGGACAGGTGGTGACCGCGCTTAATGGAGTATGGAGGAAGCCATATGAAATTCTGATAATAGGGAGAGCAGGAGGGCAAGAGTATGATATTAGGAGGAGGATTACAGCGGGTGTACCGGATATACATTCACGGAAGCCAGCGATCAGGGAGCTAGTTGAACAGGCATTTTTCGATAACAAAGAATATACGGCCTTGGAGGTGTTTGCACGCTCTCTGACCGCGGGTTGGTGGGCAGTAGGGGACGAGGTAATAAAGTTCAACTGGGATGGTTGGTGGGCGGACTAGAGATGACCGTGTGGAAAGCCTGTGTATTATCGCAATACTGACCCGCCCGCCTAGAGTACAGCTTACATCAACCTCATCAATCAAATGATGGCCCTAGACTAACAAGGCTGAACCTCAAGTCACCCTGTCCGGCTGCTTCTTCTGTCTTCAAGAACCTCCGCACCCCCTTATCAAGTGCCTTCTCGCATAACATGTCTTCATTTTCAGCCAGCTCTCCTCGACACAGTGGACCTTTTCTCCTCCCATCAAGTTCATATAGCCGGCCATCGTCACCTTTAACAAAACACACAAAATGCAAGTCAACCTTCTCTTCTGCACTAGGCGCACTCGTATCGCCTTTCTTTGCAGCGTCTGAATGTGCACTCTCCAGGGCAGAGTTAGAATACAGCAAGTCTGCTCTTTGTTGGGGGGCTAATGGGATAGCCTCCCGTAATAACTGGTCTAGGTCAGAGCCCTTGGCAATTTCCTTCTTTGCCGCGCCGTTGGATACAGCGTGTAGAAGACCAATGAGGCCACATGCATTACGGATAGTCTGTTTGAACCACGTTACGGGTTCCTGAGGCCCGGAAGCAGTATATGGTTCGATGCCAGCATCTTCAGCAACTCGGGTCTTTTCATACGTTTCAGAGACGGGGAAGACAAGAAGGAGAGCTTGTGAAGGGCGAGGAATGAAGGCTAGAAGCTCTGGATCAGAGATGCTGTAAACATCCGCAAAGCCAAGGGTAGGCGGAAGGCCAAGCTGGTGGATTAGATGCGACATGACTTCCGGATTGTTTTCTGGAGTCGTAATACCACATGAGCGCATGTACATAATCAAGTGAGTGAGGGGTGAACTAACCGAGGGGCACAAACGCCTTTGCATTATCTGGACAGTCAGGATTATTATCCGCCATCTTGGATATCTTAAAACTGGTATTATCGTCTTTGTATATGGGGTTTATCGGTTCTTATTGTAAATATTTACTGGCCGTTGCTGTGTGGTGTTGTATTTCTCCATTGGTGCCTAGAGGAACAAAAGCTGTTGGTTCAACTTGTGGAGGAAAGAATTGGAAATGCGTCATACTGCAAACAGTGCAAACACAAGGTTAACTAAGCTTTACAATCTGATTAAACTATGACTAATTTATGGATAACTAAGCATTAATCAGGTGCTAATAAAGCTAGGCCTAATTAGGTAAGGGCACCATCTTCTCCAACGTCGCATGAATCAAGTCCTGGTTATTACGAACAAACCAGTGATCGCCGTCGACCTCTGTGAATTCAAACTGGTCCGTCTGTTCTCTCCAAGCCTCAACCTGATCCGGGTATACGAAATCATCCTGGCGGGCGGCAAACGCAGTGATAGGGACATTTAGTGGCTCCTCCTCTGCGTATTCATAGCTGGTGAACCAGGGCGCGTCACGTCTAAAATGTGGCAGAATAGATCGAACAAAGGCCGCATCCTCTATTGAGCGCAAGGTAGAGATAAAGTAATCTGCCTCTACGCTGTCTGTGAATAATCTTTGCATGACTGGTCTTTTTTGCCAGGAGCGGAGGAGACGTGGTGCGACGGTGGCACTGACGACTAGCCGTGGCAGCGGATGAACTCCACGACGTCTCAATTCTCGAATGGTCTCGAAGGCAACTATACCACCGAATGAATGGCCCCAGATGATGGCTGGAACTCCAATGGTAGACTCTAATTCTTTAAGAAGCCCTGATACAATTTCAGAAACACTAGACGGTATAGGCTCGTCTATCCTGTTGTCTCTACCAGGAAGTTGAACCGCAATACTATCTAGCCCCTGAGGCGGGTTAATCAAGTATGGAGCAAAAAAAGTAGCATCCGTCGCTATCGGATGGATGCAGATAAGACGTGGCTGGCCTTTATCAACGGCAACATGACTTCCTCGTATGAACCAGGCGGATATATCGGTTAGTTTATCGAAATGGAGGGATTCTTGGCTTGGCTCATGGTTTTGCTCTTGTGGCATGTTTTCTGGCTTGTTGGTGTCTGAATTTGCAATTCTCTCAAGTTCCTGAGCTATACTCTCGAGAGTAGGGCTACCAAAGAGCTTCATGACAGGGTACGATATCTTAATATCACGCTGAATCATCCCTCGCACTTGTGCAAGAGTCAACGAATCGGTCACATATCGATCTAGTTTCGTTGTCCGAGAGATTTTACTCTCTTCAACTCCAAGAATTTTTGCGAGACCCGTATGCAGTATATCGGCTATCTCCTCTGCGGTCCTTGGCCCACTTCCAGACCCGAAACCATCGGATCTACACATTTTTGCACTCTGTTCGGGAAGACTGATAAAGGTTCCATCTAATACCAGGTGAGGGGCTTCGGCTACAAACATACGCCAATCCACATCTGCCGCCATGCGTTGCGTGGTATTGTCAATCATAGCTTTCTCCAAGGTTGATAACACTTCAGGAAGGCTCATTGGAAATAGTCCTCTCATCATGTTGAACTCAACAAGCTCTTCGGCGTCGTGGCCAGAGTTTTTGAAAATACTAGCAAAATTGCCCATTACTCCATAATTCATGGCCAATGCGGTCAACCCGGCTTTTCGGCGATGATGCGCCAGATTATCGAGGAACTGGTTCGCAGCCGAGTAGGCCAATTGTCCGGGGATACCAACTGAACTAGCTATGGATGATATAAGGACAAAGAATTCCAGCGGCATGTCTTTTGTGGCTTGGTGAAGATGCCACGCTCCTTTTGCTTTGGGGTCAAAGACTCTTTGGAAAGTATCGCTTGTGGTATCTTTCACTGAGTCATTACCTGATACGGCAGCACAATGAATAACACCAGACACAGTTGGCCATTCTCTTTCATGGCTAAACAGCGAATGGACTTTTTTCGCGACTGTTACATCTGCGAGCTCAACCCAGACTTTGACTCCTTGCCTTCGTAAACACTCAATTGTTGCCCTGTCATCTGCTGATTTAGGCCCTGACCGGCTGACAAGCACGACATTTTTCGCCCCTCGATCAGCCAGAAAGACGGCCAGCTGCAAACCCAATCCGCCGGCACCCCCTGTGATGAGATAGCTTTGATCGCTGTGCAGCCGAAGCTGTGCGTATGGAATGACCGGAACTTCAACTCCCTCAGGCATTTCAATCACAGCTCTCCCAATGACCTCAGATCTTGACAGAGCAATCATTGCTGCTTTTAGCTCCGTTACGGGAAACGAAGTAAGAGGCAGAGGCTCGAGTTTGCCTGAATTAAAAAACTCGTAAAGCTCACGCAATAATTCATGATGTCTCTCCGGCTTTTGTTTGACCAATCGATCCATATCAACAACAAAAAAGGAACAGTTCTGGCCCAATTGCTCTAGGCCCAACCGCATGTTGCGGTAGATATCAATTTTTCCAATCTCTACAAACCGTCCAAATGGCGCTAGACATTCGACAGATGCAGCCAGGAGCTCGCCAGCTAGCGAGTTCAGTACTACGTCGACACCACGGCCATTTGTGGCCTTTTTGACCGCATCACGGAACGATACTGAACGGGAATCAAAAACCCCCCGAACGCCGGACATCTTTGCCACAACTTCACGCCGTTCGGTCCTTCCGGCGGTTGCATATACGTGTGCTCCAAGAGTATGGGCGATTTGAATCGCTGCCATCCCTACACCACCAGCAGCGGCGTGAATCAGGACACTTTCCCCCTCCGTGAGTTTGGCCAAAGACACAAGTGCATAATATGCAGTTGACATAGCCCCAGCGACGGCAGCAGCTTGCGCCAGGTCATGTGCCTTTGGCTTGAATTGAACTAGACTTTGGTCGGTGACAATATTCCCGGCGATGCCGTTAGCCACTCTAGCCACAACTTCATCTCCAACTTCGAGGCCTTGTACTTTTTCGCCAATGGCAGAGACTGTTCCCGACACCTCCATCCCGAGTGTGAGCCCGGAGAGGGACCCAGAAACTGCACGTTCATTCAACAGGCCTAAGCTATTGATAACATCCTTGAAGTTTAAACCTGCATAATGGATGTCAATGCTTACGTCCTCAGGTCCAAGGATACCTGACCGGGGGGCACATTGCCGGAACTTGATTCCATCTAGTGAGCCTCCAGGATCGGGTTCGGCAAAGTAACGGCCGCCTCGTGCGGGCATCGTGAGGACGGGGATGTCATCCTCGCATCGTTCATCTTCAGAACTGAAGAGGGGGATAAGTCGTTTCACAAATATTCCTCCAGGACGCAAGGCGACCACATTTTCATCACAACGCAGCCGACCCTTACGAAGTTCACATTCGAGCAACTCGAGATCGCTATCATTAGCACCAAGTGCAAGGTCAACCAATCGGATTCGGACCCATGGAAGTTCGTTCGCCGCTACTCTTACTGCCGCCTGCAGAGCGGAAGAGAATGGGTCGCATTGAGAATCTACTGGGGTCATACAAGCTCCCCTACTAATGACAACAACGGGTGTAGCCCCTTGGCGTGAATGAAGGCGGTTTGCAATTTCCACGATTGCATGGATGATCAGCTCCAGGTTAACCTGTAGATCAATAGTTGGATCATCTTGGGGAGTCAACAAGATGCTTGGGACTACAATGAGGCCACGCCCATCCAAAGGGTAGTCCAGCATTTCTGGTATCTTGGGCTTTTCTGGAGGGGTGTATTCGAGTTTTTGTATATGAGCACCCGGAAAAGCAGAACGAATGGCGGGGGTACAATCCATAACCCCTGATTGCGGCTCAAATAACACCACGTTATCGCACATGATTTCGAAGGAATCTTCTTCTGGCTCTGGAATAAATAAGATATCGTACTGTGGCACATCGCCAATACTGCGGCCTGGAACTCTCTTCCCAGAAAACCCCTTGGCTATAGCGATCAAGTCACCGGCCGAACTCCAGACGGTTACGTCGCCACAAATGAACATGTCATCATGGCGAGTAATCTGGATATGGACAGCAGTACTTACTGCCCCGCGAGCATCAAACATTTCCACCTCCTCGATGGCATAAGGGAGGTAGATTTCTGTCGGGTTTCCTCGGTACTGTTGGTCAGCGTATAAGGTGTGTAAACTTGCATCTAGAAGAGCAGGGTGGATTCGAAAGCGCGCTGCTTCTTGATGAAAGGCTTCGGGGAGTGCTGCAAATGCAAATATTTCGTTGCCCAGTCTCCATATTCTTTGTGCGCCGCGAAAGGCATCGCCGTACCGAAGACCAGCCCTGTCTAAGTTCAAATAGAATTTCTCAATGTTAACTTCTTCTCCTGTTTGAATTCGAGCTCGCACGGACGATAGCTCTTCTATTGAAGAATGCGACTCTGAACTAGTCGAGCCGTTCACTCGTCCGCGCGAAATTATTTGCCATGGGTCTCCAGGTTTAGCATCTGCCGCGCGGGAGCTAATGATGAAATCATGAGCGGCAGAGGTGACCTCTAACTGTGCCTGTAGAGGGAAATCCTCCGTTGAAGTCATTACCAGAGCATGCTCAAACCTCATATCCGATATTCGGATGCTCGTGGCCAATTGTTGATGAGCTAGTACTGTGGCAGAGAGAAACCCAACCTCTGCTTGTCCAGTCATCGGGAAGACTATTTCCCCATCCACAATGTGGTCTGCGAGGAATGGTGAAACTCCGGTGCTGAGGCGAAGACGCACGATACCACGGCCGTCATCTAACAACGGCGAATAGCTTTCAAGGAATGGGTGATTCTCTTTCATTTGGCGGATACGATATCCTTCTGGGTTTTCAAACCAGTAACGCTGACGCTGGAAGGGATACAAGGGGAGGTCGATGACACTCCCACCATCCTCGGTGAATGGTTCTAGCTTTACGGGGAACCCCATAATATGTGCTACTCCAAGCACGTGAACAAGGGGTGCAGTATCATTATTTCGACACATGGAGGGAAGTACGGTGGCAGGACTTTGCAATGACCGTGCGATACGCCGTGTCTCGCCCACGAGCACAGGGTGAGGTCCAATTTCTATGACTAAAGTATGGCCATCTTTGAGTACTTCACTCACTGCTTCTAAATATTTCACCGGACGGCGAATGTTTTTGAACCAATACTCTGCCGTTAGGTGTGTCCCCGACTCTTTGGTTGCGGTGACGGTGGAGTATAGACTGATGGCGGCTTCTTTCCCCTGGACGGAAGACAAAGACCCTATGAGTTCTTCTTTGTAAGGATCCATGAAACGACTGTGGTACGGGACATTGACCTTCACGAATTTGGCAAAGGTTTCCTCTTTTTGAAAATCTTCCAGTAACTGTTTGAGAGCCTCTGTCTCGCCACTTAGGGTCGTCAATTGAGGCCCATTCAGACCAGCAATCTCGACTCTATCTTTCAGTCGCCGGCGCCATATATGTTTCTGTGTTTCAGTTGATGACAACCCAACAGCTAGCATTGCCCCTTGGCCCTGCGCTTTACTTTGTATCTGGGATCTCCAATATATGACCTTTACTGTCTCTTCCAGGGTGAGTGCACCGCTAATATGGGCGGCTGCGACTTCGCCAACGGAGTGGCCAATTACGGCGTCAGGATGGACTCCGTATGAGGCCAATGTTTTGGCTAATGCAATTTGGATCGCCGCAATAGCTGGCTGAACCACTGTCGTTTGGCTTGTAGAGAACGGGTCATCAAGGGGGGCAGAAATCTCTGCGCGAAGGGACCATCCCGAGAGTCCAGTAAAGTGGGCATCAAAATCAGCTAAGGATTGCCGAAATACTGGTTCCTGGATGGCGAGCGACATTCCCATCCCAAGCCACTGGCCTCCCTGTCCGGAGAACACAAAAGCAACCTTTGGGTTTTTCTCATTACTTTGCAGATGCAAGGACAAAATCTCCTTTGTCGCACCACCAGAAGCAAGCTGATCAAGATGGAGGCAAAGGTCATCAAGGCTGCTTGCGGCAATAACTGCAACTTCGGAATGGAAGGTCCGGCGCCTATTCAAAGTATAGGAAATATCCTCTGTCGTAGGATGGGTTGCCCGAATGCAGCAAGCAAGTTCCTTGCCTGTATCGTCTAATGCAGCTGTAGACCTCGCAGATACGATGAAAGGCTTTAGGCTGTGATAAGTTGCTGGAGTTGGCCTGGTTCTGGGCTGGCATGTGTACGGGGATGCATTTTGAAGAATGACATGTCCATTAGTCCCCCCTGCCCCGAATGAGTTGACGCCGATGAAAAGCTCCTTTTTGTCTCCTAGAGGAAGAGCGGTTGCTTTCTGAGGAATAGTAACGCGGAGTTCATTAAAATCCAGGTCTGGATTTAGTGTCTCAAGGTTAATTTGGGGGGGAACCTCTGCATGAAATGCCACCAAAACGCCTTTGATGAAACCCGTGATACCTGAGGCTCCCTCAGTGTGGCCGAAATTCCCCTTGGCGGAGCCTACTAGAAGGGGTCCATTTTCCTCTGGACGGGCCTGCCCAAGTCGTTCCCCTAGTGCCCGCAGTTCGATTGGGTCACCAATTGGGGTTCCGGGCCCATGTGCTTCGACATAACTGACACTACCAGGATCAATTCCAGAACGCTCATACACTGATTGCAGGAGGGCCATCTGGGCAGCGGGATTAGGAACAGAAAACCCGGCTTCTGTATAACCGTCCTGGTTTAGTAGCGACCCCCGAACCAGAGCGTAAATCCTGTCTTTGTCCCTAAGAGCTTGGGCCAGAGGCTTAAGGTAAACAACCCCGACACCCTCACTTCGCACATAGCCGTCTGCCTCTTTATCGAAGGGTTTACAAACCCCCTGTTTTGATACGTAACCGCCCATGGAAAGAGAAATGCTTGCTTCAGGTCGTAAAATTGCATTAACTCCACACGCAAAGGCAGCTGTGCTCTCTCCCGTCCAGATGCTTTGACATGCAAGATGAAGAGCTACCATACTAGCTGAACAAGCTGTATCCACCGTGACACTAGGCCCCTGCAGATTCAGACGATGAGATACCCGGTTCGAAAGACCACAAGCCCCGGCTCCCAGGTTTGAATGCCCGCTGGCTTGATCCCGTTGTACACTGGCTCCCTGTATGAAAGCGTAATCATACTGGAATGTTCCTGCGAATACCCCCATACGCGACCCAGACACCTGGTCTAGTCGAGTACCTGAGTCCTCGAGAGCATGGATAGAAGCCTCCAAGATTAACCTTTGTTGTGGATCTATTCGGCATGCTTCCTTTGGAAAGTACCCGAAGAATTCGGCATCAAATTTATCTATATCCTCCAGAAAACCGCCCTTTACATTGTTGATCCGGCCCTTATTTTGGGCCGTGGGATCGTGAAATGCATGGACGTTAAATCTATCCTGCGGAACTTCTGATATCGTGTCTGTTCCATTCCGAATGGCATCCCAGAACTCATGGACGGTTGTAATCCCTCCAGGGTATCGGCATCCAATTCCAACCACCGCGATCGGTTCCACCTTGTTACCATCCATCTAGGGTACAAATATCAGGTTCCTTGAGGGTTAAAATTCAGTGATAATTGAGACGACGTAAACGAGTTTTTGATACTTTTGTAAGTATATCTCTTCCAAAGGACACGGGAGAGCCTTTTAAAAAGGTATCTCTCATTAGTCACCTATCCAGGTCCCGTCAAATTCCAGTGTTGGCTGCAGGTGATGAAACTGAAATCACACGCCGTCCAGCAACGCCGTAGCACTCGACATGCAGGATTTCATGTGCTCAAAAATAAGTCTGGGTGATACTAAAATAAATACTTTACCCGTAGCCACTCCTTCGGTTCTTCAATAGCAAAGGAAGTAGAACCTTTGTCTGCGTATCATAATCTCGGATCCATACTAAAGGCGACTATTAGCTAGAGAGACTATGGAAATACCTTGATCTATTCTGTGGTAGTTCCAATCCTCGCGCCCATGTAAGATAGTCACCAGGTCATTAAATAACTACTTGGCAGTGCTCTCTTTAATGAGGTGGAAACAATTCTGATACAGCCTGCATGGCCACATCACCAACGAACGGAGCATATTCAAAGAACAACACAAAGTTATAATGTGGATTCAAGTTTTCTATTTGTTGAATCAAGCCTCAAACGCCGATGATGTGCCCTGCATGGTGACTTCCTAGCGGAATACGAGATAGCTATGAAGCCACCAAGCCACTGAATTTGATAGGTAAATAATACCTATGGCGCCAACTAGGGCATTGATACTTGTGAAAGATGACTAAATCTTCGTATACTATCCTACATGGTTCTGAAAATTAACGGGTTGCTGTTAGTTTCAACTGTGAGTAGATCTCTACCATAGTTGAGAGAATTGTTGTAAGTGCTCCGTACAGCTATGGTAAATCCAAATAAACTAGCAAATGATACGAAACCAATTCTGTGGCCAAACACCGGCCGAGCATCTATGATCGCGGCAGCCGTGAATTGTCATTATTCATAGAAAGTATATTTATTTTCCCTTCAATGGGCCAAATACATTCACCCACAGTTCACTGGCCTCACCTACATAGTAAGTAAGATCCATATCTGCCATTCCCGCCTCCTCGTCACCTGCAATAGTCTCAAGCTGGGAAATAATATTCTCCAATCCAAACGCCTTTCCAGTTGCTTGGGTACTGCCCGCATCAAGCATGACGTTGACCACATGGATGTGGAAGTGGTAGTAAGTAGGCTGATAGTGGACATATAATTTTATCTGGTCCCCCTCCATTGACGGATAGACCTGTACAACGCTGTCTACTATGCGTTCCCGCATGTGCTTCAGCCATGGTACATGTTTCTTCTTCAGGTCTCGTAGGCTCCAGATGTCCCGTCGTTGAACGAGGGTTAGCAGTCGAAGTGTACCCATTGTCTTGCGATCCCAGTTTAGGTCTGGGAGTATCAGGAACCCTTCCTCCTCGTCTTGGTGACGGTAAAGCACATCCTCTTGCTCCTTGCGGCCCTCGATGATGTTATAGACCCAGTTTAGACGGCCGGCTTCACGCTTGTCGGACATGTAAGGGCGAACATGCTGCTGGTAGATAGTTGGTGTCTCCGTGACCATCCGTACCGGTTGCACTGAGTATTTGGCAACATGTTGGGGTGTGCACGGATGAATGAGGGTTAGCTTCAGGTCTGGTGAAGCAGGCGAGGATGGGGAACAAGCAAGGGCCCAGTGGTAGATGTCGTTTGCACTAATGAGAGATACATGGGTGAGAGAATTGCTCAGGGAGGCCAAGAAAGCCTGGTCAACGGCAAAGGCGGCGCGTTCCACTAGCAGGATGGCGGGTTGGTTATCGATGGAGCCAAGCAACGAGATACGCCTGTCGTTCTGGTCTATGGTATGGGTTAGCCGCAACTGCACATGTGGGAAGGGGTCAATTATTATTTAGGACACCGTGCCTTGATTGAGCAGCCGTTCGAGACTGAACCGTTTCACCAAACCGGTGATATCTACTTGACTCTCCGCCATAGTTATGGTTATGGCCCCGCGGATCTCTGTGGTCTGATCTGGCTTGGCGGAACTGTTGATAAAAATGTATGTACACAATTAGTTATGTGATTTCTTACATAATTAAAGAAATCCTTACATAACGCTCTTTCTTCCTCGCGAGGACAGCAGCTTGAGTGGGCTCGGAGATGCAGCTTTACTCCATTCATTGCGGGGCATGTTCTGTGGAAACGAACCCATAAGCAGCACCGCCATTGGGTAGGAGCCCAAGCTGTCCGAGACCAAGAGATGGACCCGAGGACCGACTATCTGGTCGAGATGGAGCAACCAACACTTTGCATGTACGCGAAGGGACAAGGCAATCTTCAAGGCTGTCTCTACGGAGTACTCCGTAATCTCTTCTCTATCCTTTCTGACACTTCCTCAACTTGGCTGGAGAGACTTGGCTCGCTTTGGTCTCTTTTACCCACCGCGACTTCGTCTGTCCTAACTATTGTTGACTTCCCTTTTTGGACAATCTTATCTAATCTAAGCTATATATAGGACGGGATGACATAATTACGGATAAATCCTTGGCGAGGCTTGGCGAGGCTTGACCTGGTTTAACATCCAGCACGTGCCTTCCCGTGACGACTCTACTGGCTCTTCAGTACTTTCTGGCCCGCGTCTTTTCTTTTTCATACGACAGAAACTTCCCTGTCGGTATAATGTATACCTAGCTGTGATTCGGAGATTGCAGTCAAGGAAGGAAGGAAGAAAGAAAGAAAGAAAACGAACAGCTAAAAAGGAGGACCAGCCTTTCGTGCCGCGGTCAGCTTGCCTCTTGAGCTAGTTACTTAGAACACGGAATCCTCCGAACCATGTCCGGAGAACGGAGTACATACTGTACTTATGGAGTATGCCCCAAGGAAAACAATAGCCTGGCCAGGGCGTGGAGAGCACGTTGCGGTAGTTGAAGCGCTGACTCGCGATGTAAGATGATGCAAAGGTACGCCAGCCAAGGGTGCGCACACCTTTCTTGGACAACGTGGGAGGTGGGCCGCGATCAAAGCCAATATCAAAAAGCAAGACGTAAGAAGGCGAGCAGAGCAAGGGTATGGAGGGCTAGGGGAGGCGAAATTCGTGTTGACACTGGACATATAAGAGCCAGCTCTGCCGACCCGTTGACCTTTTCGTTCTCATCTTGCACTTCCTCGTCAAAGCCAAGCAGACAGGCAAGATGAAGTTCACCGTCCTCGTCGCCTCCGCCTTTGCCTCCACGGCTTTTGCCCAGACTTTCCAGCGTCTGGGCGGCTGTCCCGAGCTCGGATGCATCTTCCCACCGGACAAGTAGGTTGCCTACAGAGAACCTCGCATTGAGGGATAACAACGATGCTAACAAACGCGGTAGGGCCGAGTTCTTGTCTGGACAGTTCTTCGACATCCGTCTTGAAGTGCACTCGCCAGTCAACGGATCCGAAGCCCGTGTCGGTGACCCGGACGAGAAGTTCACATTCACCATTGAGCGTAAGGGACGCGGACACCAGCGACCAGAGCCAGCCACTAAGTTCTTCAAGACTGAAGAGCCCAAGCTTGAGAAGTGGCAGTTCTCCTGGTACGAAGATCTCTTTGCCAAAGATGCAAAGAAACCCTCCGTCGTCAATGTCGCCTCCAAGGCCTTCCGCCGTGTCAGTCTCGACCGTCCCGGTATCTACGAGGCTGTCCTGACCTACTACAATGGCAAGAAAACCACTGCCACTTGGGAGGTCAAGGAGCTGCGCACCCGCCGTCGTGCTAAGAATGTCATCCTCTTCATCGGTGATGGCATGACTACCAACATGATTACTGCTGCTCGTCTGATGGCCCATCAATCCATCAACGGCAAGTACCAGTCCAAGATGCAAATGGACCAGTTCCCCGTCCTTGGTCACCAGATGACCCATTCCATGGACTCCTTCATCACCGACTCTGCCAACTCGGCCACTGCCCTTTACACCGGCCACAAGTCCACCGTCAACGCATTGAACGTCTACCGTGATTCCTCCAAGTCTCCCTTTGACGACCCCAAGTTCGAGACTATTGCCGAGATCTTCCGTCGTGTCCATCCTGGTGCCGGTATTGGTATCGTCTCTACTGCTCACTTGTCCGATGCTACCCCGGCTGCTCTGACTGCCCACACCAGTGACCGTGGCCAGAGTGCTCATGTTATCGACACTTACTTCCACGGTCTGTCTAACTACACCTGGACTCAATGGGATGGCCCCGATGTTCTCTTTGGTGGCGGTGCCGAGGACTTCCTCCCCAACGATGACAACAAGAAGCAAAACTACTATGAGATGTTCAAGAAGAAGGGATACTCTCTCTTTTGGAACGCCACCGCTCTCGCCCAGGCCTCCAACGATGATCGTGCCCTTGGTGTCTTCTCCACCAGCGTCATGGCCAAGTGGCTCGACCGCAACGTCTACAAGGACAACCTCAAGAACCAGAAGAACTACCCCGACGGCTCCGACAAGGATGCCGATGACCAGCCCGGTCTCAAGGAGATGACCCTCAAGGCCATTGATATCCTCCATACCCGTAACCGCAACAACCGCGAGAGCCGTGGCAAGGGTTTCTTCCTCATGTCCGAGGCCGCCAGCATCGACAAGCAGATGCACACCATGGACTACGACCGCGCACTCGGCGAGCTTCTCGAGCTTGATGACACCATCCGTGCTACCATTGCCAAGCTCCGTGCTCTAGGTGAATTGGATGATACTCTCATTGTTGTCACCGCTGACCACGGCCACGGCTTCGATGTCACTGGCTCCGTCGACACCAAGTACCTCGCCGAGCAGAAGTCCGACCGCGAGAAGCGTAATGCTATTGGTACTTACTACAACTCTGGTCTATCCCAATACACCGTCCAGAAGCAGGGCTCTCTCAAGTACTCTGAGGGCGTCCACTTCCCCGCTCAGTGGGATCCCCGATACACTCTCCACAGCGGCCTTGGTGCCCACCCTGACAAGCGTGAGAACTACCAAGTCCACAAGGACGGCCCTCGTCTTCCAGCCACTGCCGCCCGCGGATCCAAGGACTACTACGTCAACTACAAGGATGCCGTCAGCGGCTTCATCGTCAACGGCACCATTGCTCCCGACGAAGGCCAGGGCGTCCACTCTCTCACTGATGTCCCTGTCTTCGCCATGGGACCGTGCCAGGAGGACTTTGGCGGCGTCTACAACTCCGTTGATGTCTTCTTCCGTATGGCTCAGTGCCTTGGTCTCAGCAAGACCAGATGGTAAACGTTGTTGTATAAACGCGCTTTTCACGTCTTTCTTTTATGATATTATTTAATGTCCGCAATGGAAGAATATGTATTATTTTAATTTTCACGCTAGATAGTGAATCAGTACTATGGAGTGAATGTTGGACGTGACATTTCAATCTACCTCTAATCTGCTCCCGAATATGATAATTGGCTGGTTCAATTTTCAAGTTGCTCAACTTTGGTTCCATCATCATGTATCTACATTCCCTTGTCAGCCAAGGTCCCTCCCCTCCCCGTGAAGTCAATACTTACCGAATGTGCAAAAGATACCCATTCTTCCATAGATCGAACGTACACATCGTCGTCAGTTGGAAGTTTCTCATGCTCCCATACTGTAAGTGTAGAAAATGTCCCAACTGTCTCGAGTTGAGAAAGGGGTTCTTCATTTTCTTCGTCGACATTTTCATCTCCCACTATGCGTTTGATAGCAGTTTCATTTTGTGGTAGTTTGGTTACCACCAAACCTATTCAACATTAGAAATAATAGCGCATTGCAATATTAAACTACGTACCATGGTACCCGTCCGGAAGGAGTACGGGACGGCCACGCAACTTTCGACCACGGAAATATGCCGTTGAAACTGATTGTTCTATCCAAATCAACAAGGTTTCGGTGAATAAATGTTGCTCGTAAGAAAAATTAAGTTAATAATTACATACTTTCATCAGTACCTTCGTCACGAACAGGATTCCAATGTCTTTTCGAGGCTTCTATCGAGCCATCGTGGTGAATTCGACAAGGTAATATGTTCATCGACACAGGCATTGCTGTTTGAGAGCTGCTAATATGCGGTTGGAAACGTGGCATCTTTTCTTGGTCTGTTTGTGATTTCTCAGGCTTTTGGACCTTCTCGTTGGTTGCTGCGGGCCGCAGAGCAAGCATTTTTCTGGCAGATAAAGGGAGTTCTTTGCAAATTGATTCGATCTCTATTTGCACGCCAGGGTATAAATGTGAGTGCTAACTGGGTATCAATGAGTTTCTTGATGTCTCCATTGCTGTGTTAGTTATGCGTTGACGTTGAAATAAGGTGTGTGAGATTAAATTGAATTTGACGCGTCGCGTTTGTCTCCATTCAACACGTCGCTTACACAGTAATTATGAACTGACTAAAGTTATAGGATGCAACATTACTTAGCGGAGAATCACCCATTAGTCACCCAACTTGCTTCAATACAGGATATAGATGGATAGTTTAATGGCAATTGAGACATAAGACTATTTAACTAATACTTAACGCTTTCGAATGCACCTCTGTATGTACAACGTAGCAAATCTATACCAATAGACATGAAATCGTAAAATGAAACACAAACGGGAAGGGGTATCCAAAAACAACCATCTATCTGCGTGATAATCAGATTACTTTTTCTTCTTCTTCGGCTTCTTCTTTTTCTTTTGTTCACCTGATCCACCATCCACAAGAACGGGCCGTGAAGGCCACTTCTTCGCATGCTCCCTCTCAAAACCATCCTTATCCCTGCGGAAAAGCATCATGGTCGCCCTCGCATCTTCAACGCTAGAGTGTGCACTGCCTTGTATCTCCAGGCCTAACAACTCTGAAGCCAGTACCTTCAATTTTGGCGACCCGCCCCCTGCCAACTTCCGATATGGCGGGTAGCGACTAGTATCTCTAATATCCCGCTTTGAATGACTGAGTAGAAGGGCCTCTAGGTCGTTTCGCACCGCGTGCCCGACGAGGATACGGCCGTCAAGTAATTTAGCTACGTCTTGCTGAACAGTTTCTAGGGATCGCGCCTCAACCATGTGTTTGGGTAGGATGCCGCTTATCGCTGAGCGCCAGTCGGTAACCATTTCTTTAGGCCGAACATAGGAATCATAAACTTGATCCCCGTTATAATTCACGATACTGACGCGGGCGAGGGCTGAGTCCTTGTCGGGGTCCGGGCCTACGCCAACCATCTCGCAATCGATTGCAATGTATTTCCCCACTTCGATTCTGCCATGAATATGTTAGCGCTTCATCACCAGTAATGTTATAGGGCAGCGCCTACTCAGGGGAGAGACCTATATTCACTAGGTCCTTGTCTGACAATATTTGACTGGGCTGTGTTGCCGCACCATCTTCATCCGCAGCCGCCGTAGCTGCGGACATGGTTTTCCGCCGTTTAGATGGGTGTCCACGATAAGTGTTCCCCCTAATACCCGTGGAGGTCTTCGAAGAGAATGATATTTTCCTCGTCACACTGTCATTGTATCCCGCTGAGCTACCAGTTGATGTCCTTTTTTTTATCGCTGAACTCTTACCAGTCGTAGTATTGCTGGGTTTCAGAGTCTGCTGAAGCCTTCTCCAATTGCTCGAAAGGTCCTTCCGCTCCATCCCAGTTATACAGTGTGTATTACAGGGCCATTCATTAATGGAGTATAATGGAAATACTTCTCTCTCCCTTTTCTCCTCGATTGTGCCAAAAAAAAATATTCATCTGAAGTTGAAAGGAAAGAGCTTATCGTGAATACAAACAGTGCAAACGGTACGATGATTATGTAATTAAAATTTGCGTGGAAATACGCACGGGCAGAACCTTAAATATACCATGAACTTTTATATAGGGGAGATGATGCTCCCTAATGGTCATCATCATCAAAGATGTTTGATTTAATGATACGCAGGTGAGATAGGAGATGAAGCTCACAATTGAAAGTATTTAAGATTAAGAGAAAAAACAACCATTTCTCGTATCTACATGACGCCAGAATTACCAAACACCTCAGATTCTCTTTTTTTGGGTCGTGAAGGTAAAGGAGATTATGATTAGCTATATTAAACCGATGGGACTTTGAAGTCCTTGTACGTCCACTTTTCCGTCGCTTTTCTCTTTGCCTTTTTAGCTTGTGTGATTGGATTCCGGGCCTCTAACTTACCCTGCACCATCAACGTTCTATATCGGTCAGTTAGTAAATTCCCTTCTGGCTTGAGGAGTAGGAGAGAATCTTTAAGTTCTTCTGGAAGGACCAACTCCAGTGGCTTGGCCGGTATGCTGTTGAAATTTGTTAGTGGCGGGTTTGCACTGAGTGTATAATAACTGCACTTACGGATTTCTGCCACCGAATGGTCGCTTGCGGAGTGTGGGTTCCTCATCTTCAGACAACTCCTCAGCCGTAGCCACGGCCAATTTCGCCTTCTCCTTCTCTTCAATCTGCTTAGAGATAGCTTTAGCTTGCGCAGCTTGCTGCCCCCGTTTCTTCATTTTGGCTTCTGCTTTTGCTTTTCTCTCCGCCTCCTTCCTCCTTAGAATTTTATTTCTCTGCGCCTTCGTTTTCCTCTCGGGCCGTTTTTTCTTTATTGACTCGATTTCGTATTCGCTTTCAAACCCTTCCCATGCACTTTCATCGTCAGATTTTATCTGCCCATCATCGCCTTCGGCGGCTTCGATACGTGCGATGCGGTCCGCTTCCCGCTTCTGTTCTTCTAGTCGTAATTTCTCGGCTTCGACTTCCTTCTCTCCTTCCTTTGTTAGGAGCTCATCCCACTCCTGGAAAGATGGGTTGTAACTTGTTCCTGCCCTTGGCTTTATAACTGACGGTATCGCTTTGCCATTAGCGGCTAGAGAAATAGGGGCATGGGACAAAGTTTTCGGGGCAACTATCGACTTCTTTTTCTCCAAGAAGGAAAATTCCTCCTCTTGTTTAGCATCCATTGCCCATGGGTCATGCGCAACACTAGGCTGGATCGCTGTTTCATCAAGTTTGGCTTCCCGTGCCACCTTTTTCAACCGTAGCCATTCTTCTCTAGTTACCCAGTCGCTTCGACTTCTTTTTGTCTTGGGCTCTATAATTCCATCTGTAACCCGGGAATTGGACGGCCGTTTACGGCTGTCAACTGCGCCTATAGCTGAGCGCTGTGCAATAATCTCATCGGCACGTAAAGATTTGTATTTCTTTTGGACCTTCTGCTGAACTTCTTCATCGCCGGTAGGGTCAAGTATAAAGAGTTCCTCCGATGGCTTCTCCGCCAGTACACCTCTACAAGCCAAGTATTAGTATATGAATTACTCTAGGTTGCACAGAAAGAAAAAGAATCTCACATACCCTTTGATTTCTTCGTCCCGAACCAGCTCAAGCCCCTCTTGCACTTCAGTTACATCAACATTTTTCCTCCACGCTTTCTTGCCTTTTCGAGAGGGCTGTTTATACTGCTGTGGGGCTCCCACCGTGGCCGACATGCTGTAAATCGTGGTCTTGAGAAAAAACGTATCAAGAAATTTATCTGTAAGAGATCGATTGGGTTGTTATCTGCTGTCGCAATTTTCTTCATGGAGAAAAAGTTTTAAGTTTTGCGCTTTTGGTTAGTTGCTTATCGCGCTTGGCGCTAAAATGCGCTAAATGTCTGGACTTCACGTTTCTTCCAAAGCCGTAAAGTAAGAGCTTTAAACGACTCGTTGCACTCATCTTCATTTTCTTGGAGAAGGAATCCAGGGGCGAGTCTCGATACAAAAATACAATAAGCATCGAGGTCTACCCATCCGTCAATATGCCCGTCGTAAAAGGTGGCGTTTGGTAAGTCTGCTTTCTATTTCTTTCAACGCGCGTTATTGACGACAGGCTACTGACTATTTTTCTAGGACGAATATCGAAGACGAAATCGTCAAGGTTGCTGTTTCCAAGTACGGTCTCAATCAATGGGCTCGAGTGTCTTCGCTTCTTGCGCGCAAAACACCGAAACAATGTAAAGCCAGATGGTCAGAATGGCTAGATCCAGCCATCCGGAAGATTGAATGGTCTAAAGAGGAGGATGAAAAATTACTTCATCTGGCAAAGCTGATGCCTACGCAATGGCGAACCATTGCACCCATTGTTGGGCGAACAGCTACGCAATGCTTGGAAAGATATCAGAAACTATTAGATGAAGCTGAAGCACGGGAATCAGACGAGCTCGGTTTGGGCGGCCCTGCAGGCGGCGAGGCTTCTGCACCTAGTGCAGATGATGTTAGGAGGCTACGGTAAGCTTATATTTGATCAATATCATCTTTGATCTTTGCTGATGATGCTCCTACAGTCCGGGAGAACTTGACCCTGATCCTGAATCTAAGCCTGCGCGCCCCGATACCATCGATCTTGACGAGGACGAAAAGGAGATGCTTAGCGAAGCACGAGCGCGCCTTGCCAACACCCAAGGCAAGAAAGCGAAGCGAAAAGCTAGAGAACGCCAATTAGAGGAATCCCGCCGACTTGCAGTCTTACAAAAACGAAGAGAGCTCAAAAATGCGGGAATCAATATCAAAGTCGTTACCAGAAAACCTGGTCAAATGGACTACAATGCAGATATACCGTTTGAGAAAGCGCCCGCCCCGGGCTTTTATGACACCCTCGATGAACAGTCAAAGAACGAGCGTCAACGTGCGAATTTCGACCCCCGCAAGCTCCAACTAGCAAGCAAACGGAAGGGGGAACAGGAAGAAGACGACGATAGGAAGCGGCGGAAGAATGAGAAAAACGGTTCATCTTCTGCTTTTGCGGCTGCCGCTAAAGCGGGCCAGATGCAGCGAATTCGTGAAGCAGAGCAGAGCAGCAAGCGTCGCGCACTGGTTCTCCCAAGCCCACAGGTTGGTGAAACAGAACTAGAAGAGATTATCAAGATGGGGATGGCTGGAGAACGTGCAAGTAAGATGGCTGGTGAAGATGGTAATGATGGAACTCGAGGGCTTGTTGGCAATTATTCTACTATTGTAGGGAACACGCCTATTCGAACACCCAGGGCACCACCGGAAGAGGACAGGATTGCCAATGAGATCCGAAATATAAAAGCGTTGACAGAGACTCAGTCGTCCCTTCTAGGTGGCGAGAATACCCCTCTCTATGAAGGGGGCTCAACTGGCTTCGAGGGAATAGCGCCTCGCCAACACCAGATGGTTACCCCTAATCCTATGGCAACGCCATTCCGTCAGGGTATGGGCAATGGGGCCAACGCTACCCCTATGCGTGCTGGGCCCGGTGCTACGCCGCTAAGAACCCCCAGAGATTCTTTAATGATTAATCCAGAAACAGGAGATCCTTACCAGCTTGTAGGCAGTACGCCCAGGGAAGTCAAAATGCGGGAAAGTTTTGCGAGACAAAATTTAAGAGCCCAACTTTCTAGCCTACCCAAGCCTAAGGAAACCGAATGGGAGTTAGAGGAAATGCCTTCGGAGCAACCTGTGCCAGAGTCCTCTATTGAGGTTTCAGAAGAGGATGCATCTGAGCGCGACATGAGAAACAGGGTCGCAGCCGAGAAAGCAGCAGAAATAGAATTTAAACGGCAGACAAAAGTCTACCAACAGGGGCTTCCTCGCCCAATCTCAGTCAATATCCGCCTCCTAATGGAGGATGCAGATAAAATAGACGACCCTGCTCGCCGCCTTATCATGCTTGAAATGGCTAAACTGATTGCGAATGATGCTCGAAAGTTTCCTTTGCCAGGGTCCAAAGTTGAGGGTAAAATCCCGAAGCTAGACATGTTAAGTGATGACCTGATATCGAAGGCAAGAGAAGAGGTCACCGCAGAGGCCGCGAAACTTGGAACACAGCAGCAGTGGAATGACAGTTTCCATTCATCATGGTCGGTCCATCATGAGTCTACCTCTGCTTTGCCTGGACTTTCCCTCTATAGCGAGGAAGAGGAAGAAGAAGATCAATCCCGTTTCAGGCAACAGAGGAATGAGATGGCTCATGCGTTTGATAGTGTTCAGGCCAGTTTGCTGCAAGCCGCTGAACAAGGCAACAAACTGGAGAAGAAAGTTGCACTACATTATGGGGGATATCAGGCTCGAGCAAAGGCGCTACGAAATAAGATAATCCAAGCTGATGACGCCCTCAGCAAAGCTGCCACAGCGCTCGACTCGTTCCGCACCCTACAAATTGCGGAGGATGCAGCAATTAGCTTACGATTCGAAGGTATTCGGGACGAGGTAACCTTTATTACGAGGCGAGAGCGCGAGGCACAGGAACTCTACAGGGCTAGAAAAGACGAGCTTGAATCTTTGGGTGGAGTGAATGGATGGCATTGAAAGGGGGGTTTATTATTTCCAGCTTCTTTACCCGGTGGAAGTCTTCTTTTTTTTTTTTTGTAGTTACCCTTCCATTTCCCCTCATCTTGCTGTATTTTTACTTACCTGGCACTGCAAGGCGTTCCTATTGTATCTAGGGGTTAATCATGGAATTATCTACCTTCCCCTTCAGTTTTGGCTGTTGCGGTTTCTCCTTTCCGATACTTTGTCACGCGTGTCAATATTTTGGTAGCGCGTGGTAATTAGCAACGCCTTCACCCAGAACTTCAAAGGTTAATGAGATTTTCTCTCGCAACTTCAAAGTCGCATCTCAACAACATCCATCAAAATCTCTTCAACCAACGCGTATTCCATCAAATTTCTGGCCGTTACCTCGCCGAACACCATCTACAGGCCAATATGGGTGTCCCAGAAGGGGCCCAAGAGGGTGTCGGAACGCCAGACCCCGCGGATAGAGGTTTTGCCACCCTGAATACCTTGAGGTACGCTATGAAATGCCTGCGGCCTTGCACCAGTAGCACGCATATTTCGCCATTTCCTACGCTTCTGATCATCCGAAACTGACGTTCGTGTACCTGTAGCATCGGAGTGAAGGTGTTTGTCAACAAAGTGAGAAATCATGCTGCCTATTTTATATCACGTGACTGATACTGACCCCAAGTGTCTAGGACGGGGAGCAGCGAAAGGCTGAGATTCTTTCAATAAGGCAGAAGAAAGGAAGTCCGATATTCTAGTAAGTTGCACTGTCTCTGGGCCGGCCATTATGGGTATTGGATGGTACTAATATTTGCATAGTGTACATTATGTGGACTTCAACAAGCGACTTGATGGTACGCTATATCACTGGTAATTGGCTAATATTTGTGCTAATTATATTTATAGAATGGATTCCCGCATCTCGAATTGATCTTACCAAGGAGGTCGAATGGCCCCAGCCGGAGAAACCTGAAAAGAAGAAAATTTCAGGGGCGGCCGCAGCCGCGGCTGCGGCTGCTACCAAAGCCCAGCCAAAGAATCTCAAGCGCGGACAGCATGCAAGCAGAGATGCTTCGTCGACTCCAGATCTTCTTTCTGGAAAGAACCAGAATATTTCAAAGGTTCCTAGGCCCTCAAAAGCTGGAGGCAAGGAAAACCAGGAAGAGGAAAGCGGTACACCGTTCGAGATATCCATGCTTGGCAGCGAGGGGCCATCCGTGAGTGGCACACCTCGACTTCGTGACGGAGAATCGGAAGATGTAGAGATGGCAGATATCCAATCTGAAGTTGAGGCTAAAGCCGTTCTCAAAGAAGAACAAGACAAGCTCGCCGCTGACACAACGCGAGAAGTCGAAATTGAAAAACTAAGGACTGGTGGAAGCATGACTCAAAATCTAACGGAAATCCATCGTGTACGGAACTTAAGTAAGATTCAGATGGGTAAATTTGAAATTGAGCCGTGGTATTTCTCTCCTTACCCTACGTCATTTAGCGATGCCGACATGATATACATCGATGAATTCTGTCTCAGCTACTTCGATAATGAACGCGCATTCCGCAGACATCGGGGTAAGTGTACTTTGCTACACCCTCCAGGAAACGAAATATACCGGGATGATTATATCTCCTTTTTCGAAGTCGATGGCAGGCGACAACGGACGTGGTGCAGAAATCTTTGCCTCCTCAGCAAGTTGTTTTTAGACCACAAGACGTTATACTACGATGTGGACCCGTTCTTATTCTATTGCATGACCACACGGGATGCCAATGGATGCCATCTTGTCGGATATTTCTCTAAGGAAAAGGAGTCTGCCGAGGGATACAACGTTGCATGCATCTTGACTCTGCCTCAGTACCAACGTCGTGGTTTCGGTCGACTGCTTATCGCCTTCAGCTACGAGCTTAGCAAGCGGGAAGGAAAACTAGGGTCTCCCGAGAAACCCCTTAGTGACTTAGGTTTACTAAGCTACCGTCAATATTGGAGGGAAACACTGGTTGAGCTTCTTGTCGAGCCAGGTCGGGACGCAATAAGTGAGAGCGAGTTAGCGACATTAAGTGCTATGACTGAAAAAGATGTTCATGAGACATTAGTGGTGCTTGGATTGCTACGGTATAATGTAAGTTCCTGCCAACTATACTCGACATCAATTCATAACGTGTTTCTGACTGCCGTCAACAGAAAGGAAATTGGGTACTAGTTTTAACAGATAGTGTTATGGAGCAACATAAGAAGCGTCTCGAAAAGGAGAAAATCAAGGGTGCTAGGAATATTGACCCTTCACGCCTCCAGTGGAAACCTCCAGTTTTCAATGCCTCTAGTAGAACATGGAACTGGTAATGGAGCCGAAGTATGGAACAGTTATATTGACGTTGTTTTTCGGGTGGTTTTAGCAAGCGATGCATTTTTATGGTCTTTGTTTGGTTTTGTGTTGGGTTAAGAGATGGTTGATTTGTGTAGTTACTATATGTATATTAGTTGTATTTAAGAAGACACTATTTTTTTTACCCTAAACACATATTCACTGAGCAAGACGGTCTATAATTGGTATACTGCTTGCCAACGTTATACTCAAATACAAGGACATTGAAAAAAACCGATTACGAGTAGAGGAAAGTAATAATATTACAAAGCTTCAATTTCGGCCACCTATCGCTTCCTTTAAAATAACAAAGAATTAGAGATAACTAGTTAAGTAAGAGTCTGGACTTCCTTCGGGAAAGTCCCTATCACAGTGTTGAGTATCACGATCTCAGTTGCGAGGTTGCAGAGGCTTGAGCGATAGTATTAAGAAAGGTGAAGACGAAGCTAGTAGGGAGAAAAGCTAGACTAGGGAGGCAGCTAGAGAAACAGGATGGCGAGGCGAAACGAGAAAGGATTGATGAATGGTGATTGATGACCGACAAAGAGAAAAGCAAAATAAGGTAGAAAAGGTATCTGTGCTTAGTAGAATCCGCCCGAAACAGAAAGGAAGAAAAAGATACCAACCTGACTTGCGGAAAGGTCTGGTCTGTGCCAACTCACGAACTTAATTATTCACGGCTATCACGACGTAAGAAGGCGAGGAATAAAGTGACGGTGGAGAATGGTGAAGTCTGCAGGGTTACTTTGCGCTGCTTTGATGGGATCTGTGAGAACCCTGGCGAGTGGAAGTTGACAGCGAGGTAGGCGGTGAAGTGTTGGCCGTAGTAGACACAGTCTTCTTGGTAGGGTGTGAATTTTGATATGACCCGCTCCCTTCTCTGGATCTTGGGTTTCGTGAACGATTCTTTGGATTTGAACGAAATTTCCCTGCGCTGCTTCCACCTCGCTTAGGCAAGGGAACCATTTTCAACCCTTTTCCTGGTGGCCGAACGATGACAGAGATTTCCCCGTTGCTATCACGTTCAAAGCTTCCAATAGTATATGGTTCAATGCTTTGTGATAACACCGGTTTCTGGTACTTGGTTCGGAAGCGAGACTGTTTAGGGGCTGGGTGCCACGCAGCTCGCGGGGCCATGTCAGGCACTTTGACGACGGGTAACGATCCTGCCTCGCGATCTTCAAATATTGCTTCCTCATCCTCAACCTCTTTAGTCGCTACTTTATCAGGATCCCCTGCAAATTTCCGCTTCTCATCATATTGTGGGAAAGATACGGCAGCAGATGAAGCAGTCGATATTACATCCAGGGGCTCCTTAGTTGCAGAAGCAACGGCGAGAGAGCTGTTCTTCCTCTGGGCCGGTTGGGACGTCTTCTTTCCAAATAGTCCGTTGAATCTGTCTTGCCAGGATGTGGTACTTGCAATTGGCTGCGCTGGCGTTCGTGCAGGAGGGGGTGAAGCAACCATAGCAGCAAATGTTGCAGGAGCTGGGGGAGGTGGTGGGTTAGGCGTATGGAGGGAGCCTGGAGGGAGCTTGACGCGAGGTTTGGGGTTCGGAAGGTGAACTAATGGCCGTTGAGAATCTCCTGTGAACACAGGGTGGCTAGACACTTCTTCCGGTGGGGGAGGAGATTCGCTGCGAGGTGACATAGGCTCTTGGTTGCTTGGGCGCTTTGGTTCAGTGGCTGGTGGGAAAAAACGGGAACCTCGGGTTGAGGGCGGAGGCACGGCTTTCTGTTTATCACTGAAAGAAAGACCGCCGACAGAATCAATTTGGTGGAAGGGAGAAGATTGGGAATCTTTATCAGAAGTTTTAGAAACCACTCCAATGATATTTCGATTCCCCGGACGTTCTCCAGCTTCAACTTGTCTCCACGTTTCATTGAAGGTTGTTTGGAGAGATGGGGTGATTCCTGTCCTGGCTTCTTCTTCATGAAGTGCTTTGAGATCTTGATGAAACCTTTCATTCTCCTCCAGCTCCGCTTTTCTAGCGACCAAATGAAAATTACCCCAAGCTGCAGTTTCCTGACCACGGTGAGGTAATCGATCTTGCTGCCATCTTTGACCTTGATTATAGGATGGCGGCGCAATCGGACCGGGCGGAGCAATCGGTTTTGGATTATCACCTATGCGATCCGGCCGCACATTATCAGGAGATGACAGGGGGGATAATGGCTTTGCGTTATCCGGAACTGCTTTAGAGGGAGGAGGTAGAGGGCGTGAAATTCCCTCCGGCATTTCGGTCCCTTCTTGGGCCTGTTGGGGATAGAGATGTTGCTGTTCGGTCAAGCCCAGAGAACTGAGTTCTGATGGAAAGCTTGCAAGACTTCTATCAAATGTGCCATTGCCCAAAGCCTTATCATTAGTTGGTGGTCCCCAAAGAGCTCCAAGATTCGCCGCATGGCCTTTTGAACTCGGCCAACTGTAGGTAGACGTTGATGGTACGGAATACTTCCAATTGGGCGGCCTTTCTTCTGGTTGCGGCCCATAGATAGGCTGTGAAGATTTTGTCTGGGTTTCTTGTGGAGTTTTTGAACCATTAACAGTGACATGGGCCTCGGGTAGCGGTTGCTTATGGGAAGGCGATATTTGATGATTCTGCACCTCATTTCCAGCCTGATGGGGTTTCTCAGGGGGTTTCTCAGAAGAGGCTACCAACCTCTTCACTGATTCGGGGTGATGCACCTTCATCATGCCGTACTGCTTGGGTTCTCCTGTTAATTCCGGGACTGGGGGTTTCGGAGGTGAGGATATCGTAGTAGCGGATGTTGATGGTGGGTTGGTTGGCCGTTTTGATTCTGCGCTTGAAGAGGGCGTGGCATCTTTTGCCCCTGGGAGTTCATTGGCAGGTACACCCATAGATTGGAGTTTTATCCTTATGCGCTCTTGTTTTGCAGCTTCTTCTTTAGCTTCCTGTTCTAGTCGTCGCTGTCTCGCCATCTCTCGTTTTTCCCGCATAATCCTTTGTTGCATTGCAACTGGGTCTTCAACAATGACTGGAGGCTGAGAGGTTGAACCCTCCGCAACACCTTGAGACGGTACGTTGCTCTGAGAGATAGGTGAAGCCTGATGATAGCCGGGTGGTCCATGATCAAGACTCCTGTGTGACTGCTGAGACGGGGAGCCAAGGCTTGGAGCGATTTGGCCATTTTGCATTTGACGGGCATTTGGTGATGCGGACCTCTCAAGTGTCCCTGTGGATGGTGGGCCGGCTTTAAAAGGAAGTTCGGGTCTGGTCAAAGACATCCTTCTAGCGAACCCTCCACTACCGCCACTTACATTTGACGAGGCGCGTCGACGGCCCCAAGGGCTAGCTTCCGTAGGGCTTCGGTGAGTCTGGAAAGCAGGCGACGGTTCAGCGGGCCCAGGTTGTTCATTATGCATCGACCTTTGAAGAAGGGAAGCAGGCCTGAAATGGCCGTCATTCTTCACCGATCTATCATTCCTTAAAGCGCTATGTCGGTTGTCTGGAACGGGTTCGTATCTACCTGAATGAGAGTTGTAAAGTTCACGAGGAGCGGCGGGTTGTCTATCCCTCCAAGACCTATTGAAGTCATCGGCAGCAATTTCTTTCGTTGGAGGAGCTGGGCCAGCATCTAGCCTCGGAGGCTCGGCCTGGTTAAATCGATGGCCTTGGCTCTGAGCGGGGGGGTTAAGTGCTAGAGGAGACGCTTTCTCCACAGGTGGTAATGGGGCCCAAGGTGATCTCACCGCAGAAGGGCCTTTTGATGTTAATGTGGGCTTGTCATTGCTAATTTTTGACAAGTCGCCACCCTGTTTAGATTGCTGCTTTTCGGCGCTTGCGCCGACTTTCAGGATTGTGGTATTCGACCCCAGAGAGCTTGACGGTTTCGAAAGTAAAAGCCTAGGGGCTTCACGGGCTGGTGGCGCATTTTTTGCTGGTGACGGTTGCCTTTTTTGATCGCTTGAGTTGATAGCTGGAGCACTAGTCTCTTGAGAGCCTGGCGCAGTGCCTTCAGTATGAGTCAATGTAATTTTGGTGCCATCGTTCCATTCGATAGTTTCAGGAGCCCAGTCATCTTCGTCGTCATCAATATCCGCCCATTTGGCCTCTTTCTCATTGTCATCGGTTTGTATGCGTGATGTCATGTGGATTCCATATTGCTGCTTCAATTCTTCGTCCGTAAGGTGCTTTGTCGGGGGCGGTTGAACAGCTATATTATAAAACTGTTAATTTATAGACAGAGTTGCTGTGGTGAAGGAAAGCTTACGCCGGTTTTTATTCCATACTAGATTGGCGTCAGGCGCCCCTGAGACGCTTTTACTCCCAGCAGTAGATGTCCGGGGGGAAGAATCTCGAAGCCCACTTCCAGATTTCGCGACTAACCGTGGCCGCGAGCTGAGAGGGGTGGATGTGGATGACGGCGGAGTTGATGATAGAAATGGTGCTGTGTATATAGAGGATCAATATTCAATCTTTTGAGAACGTAAAAAGCTCGTCGTTAAAAATGAAACACACAGAGAGAAAGAGAAGATACCTTTCTCCGGACCTGTTTTGCTATTCCCATTCGAACCCAGGGGCTTTGTCACAGAGAACTTGGCGAACGAAACTGGTTTGAATGATGCCGGCCTTTTTACAGAGCTTGTCCTAGAGTGTTGAGCCCCGTCTGCGTTAGATCTTGCGTCCGGTCGACTTGCATCTGTATCGGATCCTCCACTCCCATCTCCAGCATTTGGCGATAAGCTGGTATTTGCATCGTTATTCTCCGAACTGACTCCGTTCACTTCAGTTGACGATGGGTTACCCGTTGATATTTCCTGCGACGATTCCGTGTTTGCCGTTGGTTTTGAGTTGTTATCAGAAGTTTGAACATCCCCCCGGTCCCCTCCAGCAGTCAAATTGTCAGGTTTGCTCGCAGGAACGTCGGAAGGCGAGAGGTCGCCGCCCGACCGGGTTTGGTTTACCACATCGTTGCTGCTCTGCTCTGCCATAACAATGCTCTATAGCTTCAAGTAATATGGGTCAGCGCCATCCAGTACTCGCAGATCTCGCCCTCTATTTGCGGCAAAGAGCCTAGACAAAACCCAACTGGGGTCTAAACGAAAAACGTACGTATTGTCAAAGACTATTTATTGCGACGGAGAACCACCCAAGTAGCCTATCCGTAGAGAGGAGGACTTTCACAAGCAGGCCGTTCGAACACGCGTTGGCTGAGAGTGCAGTAGAAGCTTCCTTGCTATCCTGGTGAGGCGAAAGAAGAGGTCGAACCAAAAGTGCCAGCTACAGTAAGCCCAGGAACGCCGATCACAGGCCGGAAACAAGACGCCGGTTGTTGTCAAGATAGTTGACGATGTTGTAGAATTCAAGATCAAGAGCAGAAGTTGAAAGGTGACACTTTTGAAAGACGAAAGTCGGCCAGCTGTGCCAAGACGAAGCGCCCGATCAGGCTAGCGCGATATCTACACACCAACTGGGCCTGAATATTTTGTGGGTGATAAAGAAAAGCAGGTCATAAGATGGCAATGTGAAGGTAGAGAGTATAAGCTAAAGCAAGTGATTCATTCTATTGAATATCTACATATATGTGGTACAGCGTCGTTTGTTATCCGACTAGTGAGGGTTGTTCTTGTGGTGGCCTGGAGGTGGAAGGTGGCAGTTAGAACCTAACTCTGTATTAAAGGGACGACAGGTGTCAGGAGCACTCACGGAGGTGGGTAACGTATTGTATGCTGTAGCCAACCAGGGTCAGGCCGATGATGAGGTGGACAAGAGCTATAGAGAAATGGTCAGCCATGAACCCCCGACACTCAGGCTAAAGTCAAGCCTTTCTGCCAGTAGCAAGAAAGGTATACGACATCGCCCGATAAATGCACATATGACCATGGGTATGTCTAGCCTGAGACTTACGAGCAGAAGAAGCATTCTTGCCGAAGTAGGCGGCCTGGTAACGGGCAAAGAGGCCAGAGGGCTTGACCTCGGGAGCCGGGCCGCGAGGGAGTCTGGCGTAAAAGTCACTCACGCGCTCCATGCGGGCAGCATCCTTGGCAGCGCCGATTGCCTAATAACATTGTAAGCCTGCTATATCATTTCCCACGTTGTCTGCTTGTAATTATGGTCGTTTTGATGTCATCCACGGTCACAACAGACGGCATCAAGAGAGATTGTGTTCAATTGAGGGGGAAAGGCCCAGTATACGAACCGAAGGAGAGGCAATCTATACTTGGTCAGCTAACATACTCGTTCCCTCACGTTCCGACACCAGAAACAGAACATACCTTTGGGGGAATGAGGGTAGAGATCCCTCGTCGGGCGATGAAGCTCATGATGATCGGATCTGTCTGCGAAAAGCTAGGTTAGCGCACCGAGAAAGACAAGCAGCCCACCAATAATTCCTGCCAGAAGTCAATTACCGTAGAAACAGGTCACCGACTACGTAGTGATGATAAACAAGCGGGAGAATTCGTGCTTTTCCGTCGATGGCTTTGCCGACGTTCAGACTTGGAGAGTCAAGTTGAAGTTGCAGAGAGATCGCGTTAAACCGCATTTGGACGCCGGCACAACCATAATTCCGGTCGCTTCTCAACTTCCCGTGACTTTGGCCGCAACCCGAGATATCAAAAGAACGTCGCTGTTTGAGCCAGAACCACAACGCTACATAGGCCAAACGCCAACGTATCTTCAGCTCCACGATGCCATTACTGCGAGCTGGCGGGCCCTCCGCCATTGGGGCTACTTGCACCCGCGCCGTTCGATCCACATACGCTCTCAATGCCCGGTACCTAAGCTCTTCCGCCACCCGTCAAGCAGCAGGCGAGATCAAGACCACCACCGAAGATGCTCCCGCGACACCATCAACTGGAAGTGCTATAACCCGCAAAGAGACTGCTGGTGAATCGATTCCACGCCATCAACCCGACTATAACGCCACCGTTGACCATGGCACATCGTAAGGACCCTCGGCACCTGGACTCTCATACCCGTATAAAAATAGACACGCATGCACACACATTTGCTAATTACCATTCTCATTAGCCTGTTCTCCCCAGTCCCCAAGCGAGTAATGGACGGAAGTGAGCCAAGCGAAGTAGTTGCTGCCGCCGTTCTCTCCGGTGCTCCAACAGACCTTCAAGCCCGAACAGTCAGGTACCGTTCTGCCAAACCCTGTTTCTAATCTAGTTCATGATACAGCCTACTCACCCTTGTTCCATCACAGAATATACCGTAGCGCCAAACCAGCCACTCAATCCGGCAATTGGCGCAGCCACCACTGGAGAATGGACTGGGATGTCCTATCCAAAGGTCACCGTTGGGAAAATCCATTAATGGGATGGCAGTCCTCCGCAGATGCCATGCAGGGAACCCATCTCAATTTCAGATCGAAAGAAGATGCAATTCGATTTGCTGAGAAGCAAGGATACGAATACTTTGTTCAGGAGCCAAACGAGCGTGTTTTCCGCCCCAAGGCCTACGCAAATAACTTCCTACATGAGGCCAGGAAGCTCAAATACATCAAGACAAAATAAAGAGCTTGCGGCTTTCAATCGTTTCATGTTGTGTATATAATATTTTCCACAGCAGTAGTTTGTACGCTGTCGTTCTAGAAATCCATCACTGTGTTTTTAGATATCTTTTTGGCTTCTTTTCTCGTGACAGTAAAGTATTTACCATACTAAATAAATACAGCAAGGAGCAATGTTGCAGGATAGAAAATGTAAATCTATAGTTTTATCAAGTATGCATATTTAATCACAGATCACCCCCGTCATGTAATAATAATAATAATAGACCTCTGGTCTAACTCCTCTGGAACCATGAGTGCCGTTTCGCCCACCAATATATTGCTCACCATATGATGCTTGTAAGTTTCGATAAATGAAATCAGGGGCTGGTAGAATGGCCCATGCGCCCCATCGCTGCCGTAAACAAGATGAAATGACATAGGAAATGGTATAATAATATACAATGTAAGGATGGGAGTGACAGAATCTCTAAATGTCACTGTCCTCGTCTGAGTCTTCACTAGGACGTTTAGTTCCCAGTTTTGGCCTTCCTCGTGGTCTCTTCTTTGGTGTAGTGGCACTAGAGATGGAGCTCTTTCGCTTAACAGGTCGTCCTGCAGCCCCAAGCACGCTGCTCATGTCGTTAACTTCGGCAAAGGGGTCAGGGCTGCCTCGGTCTTCATCACCAGCGATCTTGAGTTCGTCATCCACCGACATTAAGGTAGAAAATTCACGGCACATGTTAGCCATGGAGTCAATACCGTCCAAAGATCTCATAATTCGTGCTATAGTCTCCCAGAACCGGTCGCCGTTGATGCCAGGTACTTTAGAGGCGGGTTTGTTTAGTTCTTTTATAGAAACTTTGCCCTCTTTTTGTAATGAATGGAAGTTCAGGTTATAAAGCCGACGGAGATAGGACCTTGTCTCCCATAACATTGAAAGTCCTGCGGCAGCCGTTGCAAGTCGCTTTAGAGCAGCAGGGTCAACAGGGGGAGCAATACTACTAGAGTCTCCTTCTTGTGGTTCGGTTGGTTCGATTGGCTCTGGCACCTTCACAGAGAGAACCTCTGTGTCTATGGAATGTGCAACTGCGGTGCCAGTGGTCCCCACAATACGTTCCATGCAAGATATTGCAGCCAGAAGTTCGGCGACTTGGGCATAATCAAAGAATGCAACGTTTTGGCACACGAACCTTGTAAGTTCCAAATGTTCAGGCGGTGTCCCTGAAGCATCGAGCTTTTTAAGCTCAAAGTTGGCTTTGGAGCAAAAGTTCGTGAGGAATTTCTTTTGATACTTGCTGTTGCTAAGTTTAATGATATCGAATAGTAAAGCGAGTTTTGAAGTGAACGGACGGGCTGAGGCTCCAGTTGAATCTCCGACAACGTCGCGCTGATAGTAAAATGCCTCCTGGATTGCCCTCATGTACTCACGATCAAACATAGACTCATGTTGCTGGTGAAGCATTTTGTGGATATCATATGCGGTTGTAGCGATGGTTGAGTTAGGGGAAGTTTCCAAGGACACCAGTACGCCTGCACATTCTTTTGGATGGATAAGGCCTTGGCGGTTGATACTCGCGATCAGTTCGATGGCTGTTAGTGCAAAAGAATCCTGCTTTGACATAGCGGCATGAAGCATTTGGGGTAGGAAATTTTGCGCTATCAAGGCGGCTGCACCATCGTTTGCATTGGCCTTTAATGATCCTCCAAGTCTGCTAGTATCGGTATTCTCACCATTCGTTTCAGTGGTATTCACAAACTTTTCTGATTTACCTTCATGAATGGAGAAAAAAGCGAGGAACGTTTTCAGGACAATATCCTGGAGGTCTCCACTGTCTTCCTTGAAGACCGAAGAAAACGCCAACCTGGCTTTCTCTTTACCGTATTGTTCGGGCCATGTTTCACATATTGAGCCCAAGCTCTCTAAAGCCATAACTCTGAGCTCATGAGGGTATGTCGAAGACGCAAATGGTGCTATAAACTCCACCATGAGCCCAGAAACTGATTCGGTGCTGGATTTTGGGAATGCGTGGGCAAAGAATGAAGTAAATTTCTCCAGATTGCAATGTTTCCCCACACAGCCAGCAATCCTTATATAACTTCGAACTCGGCCTAAGGCATCGCCACTGGTAGAAACATCAAGTTTGCTGTTCGATGCCTGGTAAATTCCTTTTAAGACAGATATTGTAAGTTTGACTAATCGCTCGGTATTCTGCAAAACACCATTGATAGTCCACAGACAGGCCATGACCTCATTGAGTTCGGTCCTAGCAAGCTTGGAAACGCTCTTGAACAAGTCATTTTGAATCTCTTTGAGGAGGTTATTGTGAGCAGATGAGAGGTTAGGTAGGACACAGCGGTATATTACCACCACAGAACGGAAAAGTAGGAGATCATCTGTGCTTGAAAGGTGTCCAATGTAGGGGTGAAGAGTCTCGAGTTGGTCTGGGGTAAGTAGCTTAGGATTCGATTTCGCAAATACTGTTAGCGTCCGAAGATGAGATTGCAGAGATCGCTGGTCGGCATTGGATCCATGGACTACGTTTTCGAAGAGAGTAGCAACCACTGCCTTGCATATTTTGAAGTTTTGCGCCACCGACCTGGATTCTGGTTGAAGGACCGCTTTGAAGAAGGATTCAAGGTTCGATACTACTTCATCACCTCGTTGAACGGCCCCTATGAAAAGCGCGACCAGTTCTCCGAGAGATACCTTGGCCTGCGGTGTGTCGAACGTCTCCGCGGAATGGAGTGGTGATAGCCAAAGTTCCTCCAGAGCTTGTCGTGCTAGTGTTGCAACATTGGTTTCATGATCTTGGACTCTCCTTAGTATCTGCTCTATGATAGAAATTCTCAACTCCTTGTTGGAGGTTGCCGTGTATACGTCCTTCATCAGACCAATGCATCGCTTTCGCACACCAACCGTTGGATCAGAAGCACAGGCTAAGATTGCACGGCAACACTCATTTTCCAATGCTGGCTTGAGGGAAATGCATCGGGCCGTTAAAGTAAGGGCAGAGTCGCGAACCATTGGTGACGAGTCAGCTGCGCATCGAAGAATCAAGTCCATAATGGAGTCATCACGGTCTAGCAAGCTTGGGTCGCGTTCAAGCATATGAATGACACTTTTTAAGCTTCTACTGCGCACTTTTGCCTGATCACTGGAAATGGAACTAAGTAAAACCTTAACAATGGTATCAAAGGCCTTGCAAAATCCACTGCTCAGAATCACAATGAGGTAGGCGAATCGAGCTTGTTGGGTTGAAATAGTTTCAAACTCACTACGATCTAATTAGATACCGGAGTTTGCGGAAGCTAGAGAACAGGATGCTACATACCGATGTTGTTCAAGCCATTGAGGTTCTGAAATCAAGCTTTTCAATGAGGTTGCTAGCTTTCGGACAGAAGAGTCGCGAGGCATAGTCTCATTCTGAGAGGTATCAGAATAAACAGTGCATGCAGTTTTAGCCCAGGATGTAAGGAGATAGTCTCGAGCACTTGGGAGGTGTGAGCCTGCCACATCTTTAGTATTAAGGTATTCAAGGGCAATACGGTAAGGTCCATCGCTAACGACCAAGTCTTGAACATGCAATGAGCGGCTAAGATGGTTGTCGAATAGTTGCCTTATGTACTCAGTTAGCTCAGAGTCACCCTCATCTGTTGAGTTGTTCAAATGTTGTGCTGTGGAAGTCAGATCTGAGATTGCAGATCCCATCCAGCCTAGCAGTTCCAGGGCCATATTTTTTGCATTTGCTGTGCTCTTGTCATGCTCTGCTATCCCCACCATTTGAGAAGCAAGCACCCGTAGAAGCAGTTCAACACCAGGCCATTCTGAAGAGCCAAGAATGCTTATCAAATCTTCCGTAAATAAATCTAGAATATTTCTGTAAGGTTGATCACCAGTTTTCGTTGAGGTCATAGCTCGTTGAACAATAAATCTGGTGATATATTGTGCGCTGCGTACGGCATTATCATAGGCCTGGTCCACCTGCTTAGAGAGGTTTATAAATGGAGACGTATCGTCTTCATCCTCAGACCCCGACTCATCATCGTCTGAATTCTCTTCGTTCTGACCAGATGATCGCAGTTTAGGTTTTGCCGCATCGTATGACGAGCTTCTAACCGCGGTCGTTTGGACAAGCTGTATAACTAACGCGGATAGCAATTGGATACTTTTCCCATCTGTGAGCTTAAATTGCCTAGCGCTTTGCCTTGTCGACGGAAGCTTTTCGAGAGACACAAGAATCTCGTCGAGGATAAAAGATCGTTGCTCAGCATATTTGGCAAATACCTTGGCAAGCATGTCCATGGCACAACGTCTAACTGCCTCGAATTTCTGAACTCCAATAGTGGAGTCTTTCTCATGATGAGCATTTTCGACAAATATCAATTTGGTAGCCATAAACTCCATTGCCGTGATTGCACCTTCAACAAGGTCAACTGCGGAGAGAAAAACGCCTAGCTGAGACAGGACTTTTCTTGATTGTAGGGTTAGGCTTGATATCGCTTGCTTTTGACTTGCGAACATGCTGAAGAGAGCTGTATCTTTACCACTTGGTCTGCATTCAACCGCTGGTATGATACAGCGCTCGAAAACGTTGTTCAAAGCTGTTGGGATGAGTTGTATCATATCTTCAGAGCAAAGTTCCTTTGCATCCGTACGGCCATCCATGGTGTGTAGCAGTGTACCCATCGCAAGCAATGCGTTTTCCAGGTCTCCAAGTTGTTTTGCCCAGTTTTCAATGCTGGTTTCAGACATGTCGCTTTCAACCTTGGTGTCAACTGACTGTGCCGCCATGATGGAGCCTTCACAAAGCTTCTGGACACGCGTTATAAAGTCATTAGGGATATCACCAAGCTTCCCATATCCGGAAACACTCCTAAAAGCCTTCTGTAGCTGCTTATGGGTCTCTGAGGATAGACACGGCCTGCTGTCTTCTGTTGTATCCATGGTGTAAAAGTATTTATTGGTATTCTGCCCTTGACCTTGGGAGCCGTCAAGCTGTAATTCGTCTTCGCATTCAAATACATCTTGGAGAAGCGACTGAAGGTTTGCTACAGCCGTGTTGATCACTTCCCTTTGATCTCGCATTTTTACTGATTCAGCGTGTTGCGTAGCTGGAGACAACAACCGCCGTTTTGCATGGGTATTTGGAATATGTTGGTACTCGCTCAGTTGCGAGGGGTCGGAAAACGATGGAACCAAGACAACGGGTTTGACGGCCATACCTGGGACCTGGGTATTTGAAACCGCCTTTCCTCCATCATCACGGATATTCCTATTATGCTGGTCTAGAGCTGGAGCTGGTTTGGACCGGTGCACTTGTTTTGGCGGACTTGGAGAGCTTGGTGATGGATCTGCAGCTGTATTAGAAAACATGGAGATCCAAGCATGGGGCGCTAAAAGAGAGAGGGAAAGAAAGAGGGGGCATACATCTATACGGGATGTTGGTAGTATCAAGCACCATCTTTGCAAAGGGCCCAAGACGTTCATGAGCAGTGAATTCCATGTTGGTTTGAGGTGCCTGGGGCTTTTCAGAAGGGCGAGGTTGATAGCTTCGCGGGGGGGCTTTAAAGCGACTACACGCCATCTCAAAGTCAGCAATGTTGAGCCGTAGAGAAAGGAAGGGGGCAAAAGAAGCCTGTACATTGTTGTCAGACCGTCGCCTGTCAATCCTTCGCCTATGAGCAGGTTATGTATATTCTTGCGGACGGTCTCGATATAGGACGAGTCTGTAGAGCTTGCTTGGGTCTCATTGTCGAGGGTATCTATCAATCTGCCGGCGGTGTGGGAGTCGTAGGTGCGCGCCCAGTTGGCAAGTGAGGGCTGCTCGATATCCGGCCGCAAGATAGAGTCTACAGGGGAACAACAGACCGTTCCGTCAGTACGGCATCACTTGTCAGACTGTCAAGTCACGCTTCACTTACCCAGGCCGAATATTGGCGCACTCGTCATGGGCGAGAACTGCAGAGCTGCGTCTACCGACAGCGGACGAGGCAGCCGTCGAGCCGCATCGTAGGTCGAGCTGCTGCTCTCCCGCGGGATCGCAACCTCAAACGGACGCTGCATGGTAGTGTCCTACTGATCAAGAGCTTTTGATGGCAGGAACATAAAGCTGACAGCATTTCGGTAGCTCGTTCAGGGCCATTGGCAGTGTCCTATGTGGCCATCTCTCTGCACGAAACAACAGCTGCATTGAACGCCAGCATTTATTTCGATTTAGCTCGTCGGATTATTTCTACTATCAACTCCTTGCAAGGGTCGCAAAGAACGATTAAACTAGCGCCACAGCGGCGTTAGATAATCATGCATACTGTCTCCAGTTGGTTATTAGCTACAGGCTCCTGTGGCTGGGCTCTTGTCTCCTGGTCTACGGGGTACAGGGGAGCAAGCAAGCACCAAAGCAACTCCATACCCGCCACTCTTCCCATAACTAGCCATACCCATCTTAAACTGGACTAAAAGTGATAACAAATCCGCTTTAAACCTTTCGTTAGCTAACTTGCTACAGATAGTTAATGCATGACCTTCCACCCTGTCAGTTCAGAAATAAAGTAGTTGACTGCTTTTACTTTTTATATCCGTTATTCAACCGCAAGGAATCTCAGTGACCGACTTCCTTTCTCAATTTGCAGTCAAGTTCATGTCCAGCATGACCATATTATGCCCAATCGCATGCTCAGTTCCACGGAAATGAAGTTCAAGTCTTGAGATAAGACCCTCCCTATCGCCAATGGAAGACGCATCCCCAGCGAGGAGATCAACAGCTGCTTTGCATTTTGTCGAAATATCTTCATCAGGGAAGGCATAATGCGCCCTAATATGGCTCACCGTAGCCTTACCAAACCCGTGCCCTGCCATATACTCTTTGGCAAAGTGGAGAAGACGGCCTTGGTGCCTTGCGCTGGGAAGCCAGGAGGTCGTGTTAAGGAAACGAATGAATTCATTGTCTGGTGCTCCCTGAATTATCATGATCCGAGATGATGGATTTGTCCTCGTAACGCGCAATATCTCTGCCAGTGCTCCTTCCATATCGACGGCAGACTCGAGTTTCCATGATACCAAGACAACGTCGAACTGCTCTGCCGAGAATGGCAACTTTTCTATAGAGCCGTCAAACGTACGAATGTTTGGCTTGGTGCTCACACAGTCTTTCGGTCTCGCCGGTTTTCGTCAGCATTGTCCAATTACAAGACATGGTCAAAACTACCTACCTTTATTAATGCATCCGAAACAGAGGACTTCCTCCTTCGTATAACTTCTAAGAAGAGCATCTAACTGCTCGCTTACTAGGTTGTTGGCAGAATAACAAGCAGAGGACGTGGTGGGCAGTTCATTTTCAGTTGGCCACGGATATGGACCCAGAAGATGCTGATCTTCAACCTTCCTTGCTAGTTGGAGATATTGAACCTCAGCGCGGTTGAAATCCGGGTCATTCGGGGTGAAAGAATAGCGAGATTCTGACTCAATCTCAAATCTAACACTGTGGAGAATCTCCTTCCACTGCTCCTCAGAAAAAAATGACTCGTCGGTATAGCTGTTCATCCATGGTTTTCCCATTTGGCGAGTGCAATTCCATGTGGAATCATAGATGTACTCGCCGGGAGGCAAGTCTGTACTTGGAGTAACGCCAATAGTCAGATACCCGCCAGGCTTCAGCCATTCGGAGAACTTGAAGCACATAGAATATATTTCGCCTGGTGTAAATTGAAAAAGGGATAGAATCGCAAACACGCCATCAAAGGTACATCCAGGCTCATATATTCTCATATCAACTTTCTCGAACTTGCCGGACGCTTGACTGGAGGCAATGTTGATCATGGTTTGGGAGCTATCGATTCCATGAACTTGGTGGCCTGCAGATGCAAGAGTATAGGCAACTGGTTTACCGGTTCCGCAGCCTACATCTAGGACTCTGCTATGCTCTGGCAGCCTTTTTAATGCGAGTTCTAAGAATTTATGGAGATTGGGGCAATCAGCGAAGGCGTCTTCGTATCGTTTCCCAAGGGCATCGAAGAGTTCTTCTGCACTTGCCGCCATGGGTGATGATGGATGGAATTGAATATGCCGAGTCTATGGTGGAAGGTACTGAGAAATAAGACAGAATGCAGAGAAATACCAATCTGAGCAACAACAAGTTTTTTATATTCAAAGGGCAACATGATCTACCATGTCTTCATGCAATAAACAAGAAAAGGTTTATTTGAATTTGGGCCAGTACCGTCTTGCATCCCTTCCCTGCAATCGTTCGCCTATATCACAGTATGTCCATGATATCGACCCATCTATGTACACGTAGTGACAGGTGCTGTCAATGCGTCAGACAGCACCTAGATGAATACTTTGCCCTGCGGATACTGGCAGCATTTTATGCCTTCCCGCGCATATCAGATACCAGCGGGCTCTCTGTCGCTTGACTCGTGTCATGGATGTGTTGAGCCTTGTTACGAGCCTAATAATTGGAGGTGGCGGGCTATGGGTGTGGCGTGCTGAGTTTCCGAACTCAGAGTTCCTAGACACAGGAAACTAAGTATAACTAGACCTTAACCAGGTTCGGACACGATCGCATCGGAGGCACCTTTCTAAGGCTAGTAGAGCGGTTGCGCCTACTATATCAATGACCGGCCATCGATGATGTAAACATGACAGCAGTAACGGAAGTTAGAATTACGCTGTAAAGAAGTGGAATGGTACTTCTTTTGATCCACGCTATATTGACTTCAGGAGAATATAGGCTGACTCGTTACATGCAAGGGTATGATCGAATATAAAGATCTAGACGTATGAAAGTTGAAGGTAGCTAAGGTAACAATATTTAAGTACAGCAAGTCAGCGGCGTTTAGCCTTCCACAAAAGTTTCCGCCAATGAAAACGCGGTTACGATATTTAAACTGCTGAACTTTGATCATCTGGAGATATCGAATCGACTTTCTTGAATAAAAAATTCTTCCTACAGCCAGTACAAAGTAAACTAACAAGATAGCATACTCCAATCAGTCCCCTTTTCTTACAATGTCCGCAATTGGATCTTTGATATTCTGTGTCGACTGCGGCAATCTTCTAAGCGAATCCACAGGCGATGCCAGCACCATTCTTACATGCGATATCTGCGGAACCCAGAACAGAGGTGAATACAGATGCTCTTTTGCGCTGGGTGGAGTTCTTTTCTGCTTAGAGCTGGCAACTGACGTACAGCCTTAGATCGCGCTTCCAGGACCATCGTTTCCGAGTCCAAACCGAGTGCCTTCCCATCATCTCTCCGAACGAAAAGTTCTGCTGTCCGCACATTATCTGAGCAGGGCAAGCAGGATGATGCTGTGATCCAAGAGACATGCCCGGATTGCGGTAGGACGGAGATGAGATACTATACATTGCAGCTGCGTAGTGCAGACGAAGGAAGTACTGTGTTCTACACTTGCGAATGTGGGCATAAGTAAGTGAACTTCTTTAGAATGTGAAGAGTTTATAAAATCCCCTGTTACTAACTATCTATTTTTCCAATTCAGACATAATACAAACAACTAAAGGAGATTGTCCTGTGTGCATCAATTCGAACGTCTACTGAACATGCAAAAGGCCTCCCGAGTGAGCAAACATTCAACCAGCGGCAGCTGGCTCTGGAATCAAACTATACTCGAGGTCGCCATTCCTCTCATATTCCGCCATATCGAGAGCGACAACAACGCTGTCCTTGACAACAACCTCTGGGTCGTCCAGGAACTTCCTTAGAACCTCTTCTACTCCTTCCTCATCACCTAGACTTCCAAGGGCCTCTGCGGCCTCATGACGGACCATACCAACCTCTTCCTTATTGCTGAGGGCGGCCACCAAGCTTGGGATACTAGCAGGATGAGAGAGCTGTCCGAACACAAATGCAATTTCGTGTCTGAATAACGCTGATTTATCCTTGAGACCCTCTGCCAATGCCTCGACTGCTTCACGCGCTGTTGACAGGTCTGGCGGGGAGGAGAGATCACGCAAAGCAAACATTGCACGATACCGTTGGAAGAGAGGAATATTTGTGTCGAGGAGAGTTTTCTTGAGCTCTGGGATCGAGTGTCCCTCTGAGGTGAGCGCGGTTGGAGGAGCAGGGTCTATGGAAGTGAAGTCGCTTTACCTGTCCGTTAGCATCGTTTGTTTTCTTTTACTTTTACTTCAGCGTCTTGAGCTTGATCATCACCAAGGTGTACGCACCTCTTCTTAACCTTCTCTGCCTGTCTTTCTTCCGAGTTCTCCCACAGAATTCTATCCACTGCAATCTCGCAAGTTTCCCGAACAACATCTGGCTCATTTGGATCGTCTCTTAGCTTCCGTAGTAGATCTAGGCTTGCTGTATCTGACAACGCGCCGATAGCCTCTGCTGCCTCATGTCTGCACATGCTATCCTCGTTCTTATCTTCCAACACATGACGTAGGGATGACACCGCATGTAGGTTCTTGGTCTGGCCCAGACAGTAAGCTAGCTCATGTTTTAGCAACGCGGACGGCGAAGGGAAGGCTGCAGCAATGGCCTCTATAGCTGGGATAGTGTCTTCCGTAGGTGGATGCAGGCACGCGAGATGTTTGAGGGAGAAAAGAGCCCGGAAACGGCGGGCCAGCGGGGTAGTTTCTGAGGTCAACGTAGCTCTCAGTGTCTTTACTGTTGAGCTGACATTATCGATACCAGTACTAGAGCTGGTACTTTCGTTCGCCATCTTTATAACTTATGAACTATTTGCGCCAGAGACGTTATAAACAATTTGGGTGGGATGTTGCGAGTTTGACTGCCAGATAAAAAAATAATTAATGTCCTTATCAAAGTTTTTCTTTACTTTTTAGTGCCCCTCGCCGTCGGCTGTCGGCCTCGTCGTATATAAAACTCCCTTAACTCCGGGGCGGCTTGTTATTGATAGAGGCATGTTGAACAAGGCCTCATGGCTTTGGTATAACTGGGAAGACATGTATATAAACGAGGTTGTGGAACTACTTGGTGGAATTGGCTGGCAACTTGATAACTTGTGAACATTTACCTAGGCCAAGTGACACAACCAAAAAAGAACTCAATACAAGTGGCATGGAGAATCAGTAGACGGTATAAAAGACCTAGTCCTATTTTCATAGACCAAAGCAAAGAATAAGTGAGGTGGATTTGGACATGCTTTATCCTTTTACTGTGCATTGTAGAGACAATAAATTGGATGCCCCAATTCTAAAGATCCATGAATAGCAAACGGCATACGAAGTTCAATACCAAAGCAATTGAATCGCTAGATACGGAGTACGGGTGCAACGGTTTGTACTCCGTGATTATAGTGGAATCGTTCCTCATAGCGAAGTCTTTTCATGGTTGATACCCGAACTGCCCTCTCTGCCTTACTTGGTTGTTTTTAACTATATATATTTACTCCGTACACTCCATATACACCAAGAAAGCAGAATTGGGAGGCTAGACGGCGCCAAACGCGGCGCCAGTGGTGGCTTCTCGAAAAAAACGCCTCCCAGCACTAGTGGACCCTCTTTCTGCCCCTGGATTCCTCTTTGACGATCCAGCTGTCTCAGTCTGCCTCAGAAGGCGAAAACATGCATAAAATAGTGACAGCAAGTGAAGAATTTTCTTGGGAAAAAGGGGAGGAAAAGGAGAAGCAGCCGAAGTTGAGATGTATTTTTAGTAGAAGTAGAAAAAGGAAAACGAAGTTACGGCGGAAGTCGGCAATACATACGTTACTAGTTTAATCTTACCTGCTTACCTAATGCCCCTGACTAAACAAAAAGTGACGCAGCTTTTAAATAAAATCAACAGGGAAGAAGGCGACCAAGGCATCATCTACCATCGCCAACATTCGACGCAGCGAGAACCAGGTCGACAGATGTTCAAGACGCTGCGGCTGCCTTTATATTCACCTGCTGTGTCCATTGGCCCCGGAGTCTAGCCTCAATGGCTGGGATGCAGTCTCTCTCCTGAAAAAAAAAAGGCTCACTTCACTCATCTAATACTACCATGCTCACCCGTTCTGTACGCTCCCGACTCCCGGGATGCGCTGCATGCAGGATCATACAGCGCTCTGGATACAGCACAGTGAGGTCTCTACGGTCGCCATCCAGGAATATACCTGCTCGCCAGTCTCTCACCCTCCAGCGACATTCCCTTTCCTCCCAGAACATCTTCCGAAGCTCCCGACCCCTCTCTGTCTCGAGCCTACAATGCCGCTCTCTAACCACCGAGGAAGGGCTAGCGGCCTCCAAAACCCCAAAGCAAGTACGCCGTAGCCGGATATTACGCTTTGGATTCAGGGTCCTGGCCTTCAGCGGAGGAGTGATGCTGTTCGGCGTAGGTCTTGTGTTTGCGTTTTTCGTCTACGATGCCACCACCTACCGCACCGAATCTGACAACATCGACATCCCTGTCTCGCTGAATGCGCTTAATCCAAGACGGGGCGGCCCAAAGAACCTTCCAATTGCCGAAGTTCTCGTGGACGATCATGACTGTGACATGAAGCTGGAGCAAAAGGATAAGCCAAAACTTGTTATACTTGGTACTGGATGGGGAAGCGTGGCATTGATGAAGAGTTTGAATCCTGGAGACTACCACGTCACTGTTGTCTCCCCTGTAAACTACTTCCTCTTTACTCCAATGCTTCCTTCGGCAACGGTAGGAACTCTCGGACTTAGCTCATTGGTAGAACCCATCAGGCGGGTTGTACAGAGGCTCCGGGGACACTTCCTTCGAGCCGAGGCGGTGGACGTAGACTTTGATGAGAAACTCGTTGAAATATCCCAAGTCGACTGTGACGGCAACAGAAAGAATTTCTATCTGCCGTATGATAAACTGGTTATCGGAGTGGGTAGGTTTTCCTAAGTACTCCCTTTAATCTCCATTTCTCTTACTTATCTCTATCTAGGCTCTACGACCAACCAGCACGGCGTCAAAGGCCTTGAACACTGCAACTTCTTGAAATCAATTGATGATGCCCGTCAGATTAAAGCAAAGGTCCTTCGGAACTTGGAAGTGGCTTGTCTTCCTACGACTAGTGACGAGGAACGGAAACGATTACTATCCTTCGTTGTCTGCGGAGGCGGCCCAACCGGTGTCGAATTTGCTGCTGAGCTCTTCGACATGCTGAACGAAGACTTGTTCCGATCATTCCCTAGGATTTTGAGGAACGAGATTTCTGTCCATCTCATTCAGAGCAGAAGCCATATTCTCAACACTTACGATGAAACACTGTCTCTCTATGCTGAGGTACGCGGCCCGATGGAAATTTGATTGCGTCACAGTTATACTGACTTTGTCTAGCGACGGTTCGCGCACGACCAAGTAAATGTACTTACCAACTCAAGGGTCAAAGAAGTTCAGTCTGATAAAATTCTATTCACCCAAATGGAAGATGGAAAGCCTGTTGTTAAGGAGATTCCAATGGGTTTCTGCCTGTGGTCAACTGGAGTCGGTGAGTTTTCCCATGACGACCCGTTATAGCGAACGTGGAATTGACAATATGCAGCCCAAGCGGAACTCTGCCGAAAGTTGTCTAAGAAACTTGAAGGCCAAAACAATAAGCACGCTCTAGAGACAGATACCCATCTTCGAGTACTTGGAGCCCCACGCGGAGAAGTCTATGCTATTGGAGATTGCTCTACTGTGCAGAACAACGTCGCAGACCACATCCTATCCTTCTTGCGCGAAATTGCATGGGAGAAGGGCCGTGATCCCCAGAAAATTCATCTTACATTTGGAGAATGGCGCGATGTAGCGCAGCGTGTGAAAAGACGCTTCCCACAAGCCTCAAACCACCTTAGAAGATTAGACAAACTATTCGAACAGTACGACATCGACCGCAGTGGCACACTCGACTTCCATGAATTGCACGAACTTCTCGTTCAAATAGATTCAAAACTCACCTCTCTCCCCGCAACCGCCCAGCGCGCTAACCAACAAGGACATTATCTCGGCCGCAAGTTCAATAAAATTGCTCTTGCAGTGCCTGGCATGCGCTCAAAGGAAGTCAACTTTGAAAGCCTCGACGAAAGCGTTTATCGAGCTTTTGAATACAAACATCTCGGCAGCTTGGCGTACATCGGCAACGCTGCTGTATTCGATATCAATGGCCTCAGCTTCGGAGGTGGTTTACTCGCCGTATATCTATGGCGAAGTATTTATTTTGCTCAGAGCGTTAGCATCAGGACTAGAGTTATGATGGCCATGGACTGGGCTAAACGAGCTCTATTTGGAAGAGGTATGATATTTTAACCCACAAAATAACCACCTTTACAGTTATGAATGCAAGACTAATACTATCTCCAGATATGATGAATTTCTAGTTTATTACGCCAAGGAACATTGATTGCATTTTTCTGCATTTCTTACCGAGTCACTCACTTAGACGTTTTCCTTCTTCCCTGGACAATACCATTTTTTTGTTTACTCCCACCGTAGACTCTGCTGTTTAACCTCGCCTCTCCTTTATGATATTTTTTTTTTAAGTTTTCTTTTAGCAGTGGTTCTGTGATATTCAGTCTCCTCATCGGTTTCCTGCATATGCTTTTTGTATCTAACTCGCTTGTTTGTCTTATCATGTTGTTTTCTATGGCTGTTCCCCAATCTCCTGGTGTCGCTGGCCGAAGTCCCTGCCTCGTATAATATTTACTCCTTTATACATGTTGCATTGATCTGTGTGTCTTAGAAAAGGCATTCTAGAACTGTTGATACTCGTTAATAATTCATATTGTTCAAAGCAGGTTGGGTGACTGAATATATGGAAACAATACATGAGTGAAAATACGAAGGCTTCCTATGTTACTACAAGACATCTAATAGACGAATTTAACATTCAATATTTAGAAGCACTGAAATATCATTATACCACCATAGTTGGTGAAAAACATGTTCTTAAAAATGTAATAGAACATATCGAGGAAGCTAATATACCTCGTAAGGGAAACGATAGAAACCCACCCCACTCCGAAAAACCTTGCGCCATGCTAAGCGATTGAAGGAAACAAAGTACGCCAAATAGGTATGATGAGGAAACCAAATACACAACTTGAATGCGTACCGAAGGTTCAATGGACCATCGAGTCAAGGTCGCCGCGCTCTTGCATGACAACATCATCTTGACTGGCAGAACCGTTGGTTTCACTGCCATTAGTAATATCGTTATCAAACCCGATATCTAATTTATCTGGGATATCCTTTTTGGAGTTTCTGGCCATTTTTTCAGACCAGACACGAAGTTTGACAAGAGCACGAAGCCTAGCTTCACTTATGGAGCCTTGTCCTTGAAGAATGGCTTCGTTAACCCTGGCTGCAACGGTTTTACGCATAGTGGGGTCAAGAAGTTCATTCAAGGGGGCTGAGAGATTCTCCGGAGAGAAGATTAGTAATGACATGGTTTCTTCGAGCTCCTTAATGAATTGGGGTTCAGTCGGAGCTCGGGGCGCTAACTGTGAAGTAGCAAAATCTAGAGCTGGTGTAATATCCGCATTTGGAGTATTTATACAATCGCGAATCAACTCGATGAGCTGGAGGCGTAGTAAAGAGAAATGAAGCTCAGGCTTGTCATCAAGAAGCTATTAAACATATCATTAGCAACAGATTCATACGAAGGTCATCTCGCTTGCTGAATAGATATATAATTCCAAAAGAATCATACTGAGGACTGAAGATGAGTAGATTTCATCAATGCCCTTATAAAAGGGTCGTTATGCGTGGTGCATGAAACATCGCCTAATCATGTGGAAGGAAAAAGAAAAAGGAACTAGAAAAAGGAAGGAAAAATTACCTGTGGGTTGAGCTCATTGAGCTTTTCGATTGCTGACTGAATATTGCCCGAGTAGATTGCATTTCGAATCTCGACACGCTCTTGTACTGTGTCAGAATTGTGACTCTGCGGAATATTCGCTTCCGCAGCAAACTTATTTGCTGCTGAGGGGTAACCGTTCGTGACAAGATAATCCATTACTAGGTAGTTGATGTCCCTGCGAAAGCCCATCCATTAGCGAACACGTCGAATAAAACGCACACAAAAATAGTGGGGATAGATGTTTCAGCTCAGGCAACAAGTTAATTTTTTGTTTCCTACACGAGATTTTCGGAGAGATTCCCAACTTGAGTTTTACCTCATCATGGCATCGACATCATTCCACAACCAATCCACAACTAAGAAAGATTGTGGTGAAAGATCAGGGGGAGAAGAGGGTGGAAACTCACATTTTGGACGGCTTATGCTCCTCCATCTTCTTCTCGAAGTTCGACCATGTTGGAGTGGCCGTGGAGGAAGTTGGTGACATCTAAGCAATTTAGTAACCTCTCCGTGGTGAGTCTTTGGAAGAGAGAGAACTCGCTCCACATACGGGGTTCACGGAGGCCATTGTCACCAGCTTTTCAACGGTCTTCAGGAGCGCAGAGAGGGCGTGTGAAGCTATGTTGGTCTATTCCTCAGTCCGTGTATCTGACCATTGCCCTTCCATGAGAGAGGGAGTGGGTGGAACAGGTCACTGGAAGCAGAGGCGCTGATGCTGAAGCTAGAGAGAAAAAAAGAAGAGAAAAGTTGGAGGTTGAGAAGAAGTTTCTGCTTTTTGTACTCATGCTGACTAAGCTAGTGTGATCATGTGACAATATTTTAGCGCTGGAGCTGGTCGCGTGTTCAGCACGGAAGAAAAGGCTCCACCTTAAGCTTCTTTTTTTTAACACAAAAGAGATAGCAGCGGAACGAAAGACAGCCAGGAAAAAAACCCTTCCCTTTCTCTCGGGCGCTTTTTCTTTTGTCAAGGATATATTTTATATATACGGGGAGCTGATCTTACTGTAAATAGTGTCGTGGCTTTGGAGACCGGCGTTTACTTGTGGTATGTTTTACCCCCATATAACTAAATGCTTTGGAACGTATATTGAAATCGCATATAGGTCGTGGTTACTGTGTTAGGGGATGCACCAGGGTTGAAATATTACTATTATCTTTGGATAGGACGGTAGACTGCTGTCATTTATATTTACGAATATATCACGATACCAATATGCTTGAATCAGAGTTTCGGCACTTCACGATGAGTCGGCAGAATACCCGATATCACTGCCCCTGGGAGCCGATGATCATCGTTGGTGTTGCTGGTAGCTCCGGCTCTGGCAAGTCTTCGGTGTCCCAAGAAATTATCAACCTGCTCGATCTCCCGGGAGCCTCCATCTTGGTCATGGTATTTTCACTTCGGGGACGGGTGCTGGCACAAACCTATAGCTGGAACAGTTATGTCTGACTTTAAATGCGAAAAGGACTCGTTTTATAAGACACTCACGCCTGAGGAAAATGCTATTGCACATGCAGACGAATATGACTTTGACTCTCCTCGTGCAATAGACTTTGACGTCCTTGTTGAACTTTTGCGAGACCTGAAGAAAGGGTATCTATACGCTGATTTAGTATAGAGTCGCATAAAGCCATGTCTAACATTCCAATAGCCTTAAAGTTGAAATACCCGTTTATTCGTTCAAGAAACATCAACGCGAACCTGTAACGACTCCGATGCACCCCCCGCGAGTTTTGATCCTCGAGGGTATACTGGCCTTCACCGACCCAAGAATACTGGAACTGTTGGATCTGAAGGTATGCAATAGATCACATTTATACTTTTGAACGCTTATAACTAACATTAATACAACAGATATTCGTTGAAGCAGACATGGATGTTTGTTTGGGCCGGAGAAGTACGTACTTGAGTGCTCAAAGTTGATATCCCAATCAGAATCTCGGCACTAATATGGGTCACATGAAGTTGCACGAGATGTCCGTGAACGAGGAAGAAGTATCGATAGTATATTGAAACAGTGGTTTAAGTTTGTGAAGCCATCCTACACCAGATATGTTGAGCCTCAAAGAATTATTTCAGGTACTTAGGATTCCTCAACGACGGGGGAAATTAATACTAACATTTCGTCTAGATATCATCATTCCTCGTGGAATTGAAAATAAAATAGCGATAGGTATGCTAGCACCTATGGATTCCTTTTGATTGTATTTGATGTTGACAGCTATAGACCTTGTGGTTAAGCATATACAGCGAGGCCTTGCAAAACGGGCCAACCACTACAATATGCGTGACAGGAGGCCCTCGATCAATCGCCGCCTTTCCTTCTAATCTGGGTAGTTGGTTTATTTGATGATTATTAACTTTTATGGAGCAACTGCCCATTCTAGATCCACACTCCTGGAAATAACATCGGTTTGGCTGACTGGCTGCGAGAGCTTTTGACGACGTTCGTTTACATATTACTTTTATATTTACTGTGAGGTTTAGGACATATATGGCTTTTTTGGAGAATGCTGTTGACGACCTGGCTTTATGGGCAATTGCGATAACCATATATGGGGACGTATTAGCTTGAGTTTACGATCTAACGATTTTGCTCCTTAGTTTAGGATATTTTTATTCAACCTGGACCTTACTATTTCCTCATTTGGGTATCCTTACGTTGAAACCATGCAATAAATAACGCCGTTAAAAAGATAGCGTCTCATTTTATCGAGTACCAACAATTTTATAGAGTTACCGGTTGTCTGGCAGGGCACTTAGCTACCTACCACAGGAAAAAGGGAGGTTCAAAAACCCTTAACCGTAAAATTCAGATTTATCTGTTATTCTAATATAAATCTTGAAGTCTGTGTATGAAGAGCCGTAAATTTTCACACTTAAGGGTTTTTTTGAATCCCCTTAATTCTCCTATCCATTCCAAGGTTCCAAGGTTGGTACGTAACTAGTTATCTTATCAGATCGTGTGCATGAACCTAATTTAAGTTTGCGCAAAAAAATCCCTTTGAACCTCCAAATTACCAGCCATTTTGGAGGAAGATAAAAAAACATTTTTCCACTAGCTTTCATAACACCACTTTTATATCACAAATAGTATTTTGTGTATACTTAGAAAATTTCTGCCCTTTGACTACACCTCTAGTTTCGCTCAGTTAACCTGTTAGAACGTCGCGCGTGCGTACAATGAAGGAGAAAATGGCCTCGAAAAAGAAAAAGGCACGATCCTCGGGTCAGAGCTCTTCCAGTGTGATATGTGAGTAGAAAGACATCTCGGCTTTGAATTAATACCCATACTTTTCTTTGATTGAATGTCATATCTAACCATGGTCTAGCTGATCCTCGATTCGCAAACATTCAATCTGATCCTAGATATCGACTGCCGAGCAAGAAGCACACCCATGTCAAACTTGATAAACGCTTTTCGCACATGCTGCGTGACTCCGATTTTTCTAAGAATGCTCCTGTTGACAGATATGGAAGAAAGCTAGCTCGAGATGATACACGGAAACAGTTAGAGAAATTTTACCGGTTTGACGACGAAGAGGACGAGGAGGATAAGAATGAGGAAGATGGGGATTCAGAAGAGTATCTTAGTATTGATGATGACGAAGAAGTTCAAAAGGAGCTGCGAAGGGTGGAGAGGACAGGCTATGACCCAGCTCGTGATGGTGGATTTGAGTCATCCTCTTCTGACGAGAGCTCAAGTGATGAAGAGGAAGAGGAAGATGATGTGGACGACGCGGGCATGGAGATCCCTGCACCCGGTCAACAAGATGCCGATATCCCTACCGGAGAATATACGGAAAGGATAGCAATTGTGAACCTTGATTGGGATAACATCAAAGCCCAGGACCTCATGGCTGTATTCACCAGTTTTCTCCCTGCCGGCGGCGCTATCCGGAAAGTATCGGTATACCCTAGCGAGTTTGGGCGTGAAAGGATGGAGATGGAAGAAATGGATGGGCCACCGAAGGAAATCTTTTCTCAGAATACTAAAGCTCAGGACGAAGACTCCTTATCGGAAGAGGAAGATGAAGAGGAAGAGGAGGAAAAGATCAAGAAATCTCTTCTCGTTGAAGGAAACGGGGACGACTTTGATGCTGGGAAATTACGGCAATACCAACTTGAAAGGCTCCGGTATTTCTATGCCATTCTAACATGCTCATCAAAGGAAGTTGCCAAACACATATACGACGCTGTGGACGGAACAGAATACATGAGTAGCGCAAACTTTTTTGACCTCAGGTTCGTCCCTGATTCCACTGACTTCACGGAAGACGTTCCGAGAGATGAATGTGTGAAACTGCCAGATGATTATCAGCCAAGTGATTTCGTCACGGATGCTTTACAACACAGTAAGGTCAAATTGACCTGGGATGCGGATGACCGGGCCAGAAAAGATGCCCAGGAAAGAGCCTTTAAGGGAAACAGAAAGGAGATTGATGAAAACGATCTCAAAGCATATCTAGGTAGTGATAGTTCCGATGATGAGGAGGAGGGAGCTGAAGCTGCGGGCGTGGGAGACGCACCCAAGCTAAGCAAGAAAGAGGCGGAGCGTGCGAAGGTTCGAGCTTTGCTTGGCCTTAGTGATAAACCTGCTGCTGGTAACAAGGAAGCAAAACCTGTTGGAGAGATGGAAGTTACATTTTCAGCTGGTTTAACAGCCGCCCCTGCAAAGGATACGGTATTTGAGAACGAGCCCGAAAAGGAAGAAACGACGAGAGAAAAATACGTTCGAAAGGAACGAGAAAGAAAACAACGACGAAAGGATAAGCTAAAGGCTAAAAGATCCGGCGAGGAAGCTTTGGACGAGCAGGGAGATGGAAAAGATAGACAAGAGACTAAGGAGGCTGAGGAAGACCTTGGCTTCGACGACCCTTTCTTCACTGCGCCCGAGCTTGACGCAGCTAAGGCAGCCAAACAACGCAAAGAAGAAAAGAAAAAGCAACAAGAGCAGCGCAGAGCTGAGGAGGAGGCATCCGCATCCAAGAGAGCCGAGCTTGAACTTCTTATGATGGATGACGACAAGGCAACACCTATCGCGCACTTTGATATGAATGAGATTGAAAAGGCCGAAAAAAGGGCTCGAAAAAGTGGCAAGCATAAAAAGGGGAAGAAGAGCGCTGCGGAAACTGCGCCTGTGGATAACTTTGAGATGAATGTTAAGGACCCCAGATTCCAAAGCCTCTTTGAAAGCCATGAATACGCCATCGACCCAACCAATCCTAGGTTTAAACAAACTAAGGGTATGAACACGTTACTTGAAGAAGGTCGAAAGCGAAGACGCAATGTTGATGATACGGGCTCCAACGAGGAGAAATCTGGTGATAAACCGAAAAAGAGTAAGAAAAGCAAGTCAAGTTCAGCCAACACAGATGACGGGGAAGCTATCAACAAGCTTGTTCAAAAAGTGAAGGCTAAGACCAAAAAATGAGGCCCTTGTATAATAAAGGCTTATATCTTTCATTAGATAGATAGAGTAAAATGATGAAACTCATGAACTGTGTTACTGTAATGATTACTCCTACTTTCCGCCGCTTATTTCATAGACCATTTACTTGGTTATCTCTTTCTTTCTTTCAATTCTCTACATCACGTTCTATATATGTCGTCGGGGCTTTCTCGGAGTTAAGGAGCCAATTGAGTTTATATATCACGTGATAACTTTAGCTATTAACTGTAACTCTAACTTTGGTGAAGGTTTTCGAGGAAAAGCGCAAAAAAGTTGATATCAATCACATCAAGGAGAAAGATTAAGCCAGAGGCACTCACAATGGCTAGTTTTGATGATAACGCTGCCCGAGCTAAACGGAGAAAGATTGATGACGATGCCTCCGCCGCTGTAACTACTGAAATTGCCTCCTACCAGCAATTAAGAGACATTCTGAGGTTCCAGCAGTGCATATCACAGGAAACGAAGCAGGGTATGTGTACATATTTTGGCCTCGCACTGTACTAATTAATCTAACAAATTGATATAGGGATCCGTCAATTTAAAGATTTCTTGTCGTCCATTCAGGGGGATATCTCAGAGGCTGAAAAGTCAAAAAAACTTCAAGTCTTACGAAAATATTGCGCTTCTCAATATGTTAAAAGAGGAGACGAAACACCACCGATTTGCTTCACTGATCTTGTTAGCATTTGGAATTTTGCAGAGAGCAACAACGAGGAATCAACACTTTCTCTGATACCCTCAGTTCTTGCATCCTTCCTGAAAACCGTTTCCTCCCAGCTTGAGTTCAGAGAATTTGCGACTGAGCTTAGTAAATACTTGCTATCCGGGGATAATATCAAGCTCTTTAACCGAGGCCTTACTGCAAGCAAATCAAAAGAGCATCTGATATCGCCTTGCCTTAGGCTTCTGACTGAGATCGTGGGTTTCGACGGTGGTGCAGTTGCAAAGGTCGTCTATGCCAAACGAGATATCACGCTGAAACGGCTCGATGTATTCCTTACCACCCGTAAGCTACAGGCGGGAGAAGCAGCCATGGATCGACGTAAGCCCACGCTTCGCAGGATTGCCCAGCGCTACTTACTTGCGAATTTAAGATATCAAAGCCCCGCGGCTAAAGCTGAGCTTTTGGGACAAGGGAAACTTGTGAAAGCATTTATTGAAGACATCAAGAAAGACTCCGGGGACATAGTGGTGGATATTATCAAGACACTGGATAAGTTCGTTGTTTCGGATACTGTCCTCTCGCGCAGTATCAAGAGCCGCCTCCTAGGTCGGTGGAACCTTGAAAGACTCGTAACTCTCTATGGATACGAAAAGGACTCTGAGGAAATAATGCCGGAGGACGTGTCTGTTTCTGATGAAGCCCACAAGTTTTTACTCCAGGTTTGCACAAACGTCGACAAGGGTGTCCTCTTGTCAGATAATGGTTGGTACTCGTCAGGCAACAGTACCGAACAGTTCGTCAATGATGATGAAGCTATCTCTCTTGGTCTTGATGCACCAAATCACTTCGACAAATTCAACAAGACAGTACCAATCCGTAACGGAAATCTTTCAGCTTTGATTCAGTTTCTTCGCCCGGAATCGGACACCCGACAGATGCAGTTACTTCTGAAAATTTTCCGAGCTGCCCCTGAACTTGTCTATGATTATTTTTCGAAATGCAACTTGTTTAATTCTGACCCAAAGCCGACACAGGCATGGCTCGGAGAGTCTGCGTTTTTATTTTCTACTATCCAACTGCCTGTGCCTCAGAAATGCGGTTTTAGAGAAGGTACACCTGCCATACCTCCGCCGGTGTCCGTTGCTATTGAGAGCATCCTCCCACGCCCTCTTACGCAGAAGATGTTGACCCGCTGTATAAACCAGAACACTGAAATTGTTACGTTATTTGCAATCAAGGCAACAACTGCGGCTCTTCGAAAGCTTCAAAATGTGCTAAAAATGTTTGACTCTATGGGAGGTTCAAATCCAGAACTCTGGAGTCAGGCATCTATAAAACTTATGGATGAGTTCACCACCAGGAGTCCTACGATGAAAGATACCATTCTTGCTTTCCGCCAGGCCCCAAAGGATGACTTGCAACAACGAGATGCACTTTTAGAATTGCTTTCCTTGTATTACCAGGTTACTCCGACTGTAGCTTTCGAAGAAAAGTTCGACGTATCATTGGTCTTAGTTGAAGTCTTGAGCCAGCTGAATAATGACAACTTGCCTGAGGAAACCCGTCAACTATTATTCAGCCAGTTACAGCATATTTTAACAATTTCAGAACATTCGCCGGCTATGCGCTGGTGGCAAAAGCCAGGTGAGTTATGTTTTACCGGAAGGCTTACTGATTAGGTAGACTGACATTTTAATTTCATTACAGCACCACTGGTCTTGTCGGTATTTACTTCAGTGCTTAAAGTCGCTGTGGAAAAGCGGGAGCATGGCGCCCAAACTAAAATGAACTCCCTTCTACAAGACGTCTTGATACAGGATTCAATCTTGGCACAGCCCAGTTCTTTCGAAGCTCTGATACTTAGCATCCAGTCGACGGATGAGAGTATCTCCATACCCTGGTCTTTCATTGATAACTGTCTCACACGACTTGCAAAACGGCCGGTCCCATATCTCGACCAAGTGAGCTCCCTACCTAGCAAGTCATCGCTGATAAGCCCAATTTTGGTGGTGATCAGAGAACAATGGCCCTTCATCGTGAAAGGACAAGATGGCATAAATGAAATTTCAATAGCTACATGGATTTCTAAACTTTTAGGCTATCTGAAGGCATATGGAGAGGATAAGAAAGCGCTGATTTCCGTCCGTGACACAATTTTGGATGAAACCGAGGTGAAAAAGAGCCGGTCGTTACTCAAAAAGGCCTTCGATCGTGGTATAGAAACAGACCGGCTTGCCGTGACTAAAAAGGATACTCAAATGGGCGATACTGAGGTCCTTGCAGCGTCCTCAGCTACACAGGAAGTAAACTTGTCCGAAGTCTTCGGTCAAATGCAGGCGACTGATGAAACTAACCCTAGACTGCACAAATGGGAAAGAGAAGACCTCGAACTAGCAATAGACCAAGGGTATATCGGGGATCTAATACTCTGCGTCTGCTCTGAGCATGAAGAAGTTCGCCGTCAAGCTATGGCTGGTTTAACGCGCTTCATGGCTAAACTCAAGGTTCGTTTTTGTCCTGTCAAAGTTGCGATAGGGTAATATTTGTTTAACTTTAGTTGAGCCAAGCAGGAATCGTCATTTGAAGAGCGCCAGCCAATATATATACTTATTGGCGAATTAATGGAAACAGTGAAAGGGCTAGTTCTTAACACACCAGCACCATTCATTGTTGGAGAACTTGCCGTCCGCATGCTAGTCATTCTCACGAATCCTAGCCACAAATTGTACGGAAAGATCAACACTTTCCTGAACAAGAGTCCTCAATGGGAAGTGGGGAAGATCCCCTCATATTGGATTGACAAAATACTCTACCACGAGCCAGAGAGCGATGACGGCTACCATGAAGAACTTGGTTGGTTGCTAGATTTATTTGTTAACGGACTTCGATCCGAATTGGTGAGTGATGCATATTCAGGAGCATTCTAATTCTACCCTGGCATAGCTTTTCTTCTATCAAGCAGCTGACCCTAAGCCAGGACATGGACATATATCGACGAGCCGGCGTTTTCGAACGACTATTCTCCCTCTACAGCTCTCCGGCATTAACGGGAGGTCTGCGAAAGAAGATCCTTCACTTGGTATATCGTGTTTGTGAAATTGGGGGCAGTACTACACTGATCACTCGAGCTGCTGCTCTCAGCTGGGTGCAAGGCCAGGCAGCGATATCCGATGGCCACAGTAGCACCCTGCGAGCCCTCGCAACGGAGCTGTACAGAACCAGTTCTAGCGAATGGGTTGATCGCTGGAGTGGCTCTGCGTTGGCAGCGGCTGCTATGTCGACAGGGGCTTTGAGCGTACAGCAGTCGACGTGCTGAAGCGTCCAGGGTGCTGCCTACCGTGGCATCCACAAAGACAGGACCGACAGCAAGAGTAGTTAAGATGAAAAGAAAAAATAAAAAATGAAAAATAGACAATATGTTTCACTAAATCCCATACATCCACGCTTCTCCGTATTCACATATTATCATCGGCTCTCGTCGTCTGCTTTGCTGGCGGTTTTGCTTGTCTCGCTCGACTTTGGTGGTGCAGAGAAGCAGAAAACTCTAAAGCTAGCGACCGCTTTGTATCGTTTTTTCTCGATCACAGAAAATTCACCTATTTAACTATTGCTTCTCTCGCCTCAAAAAAAGATAGCCAAACCAACACAGCCATTGATCTATACAAACCGCCTCTCTACGCACTCTACTCCTGACCGCAGCCCCAAGCCTACGCCGAAGAACGACTCCGAAAAATCCCCCCTGAACGCCCTCGACTCTTTCCACAGACCCACCACACCTTAGCTTCGACCGCATCCCAACCAGCAACCCTTGCCACGAATTGACAGCACTTCTTTCCACTCAACCGCAATATCAAGGACACTGTTTAAACGAGATCGGACTTCTAAAGGCTCTCCCAAACATCTCTAGCCTGTTACGCGCTCGAGATTTTTCTAAATTTCCACCGAGCGTTGGGCCATGCGGCTTGGTTAGCCGATATAATCTCCCATGGCACGCAGATATTCACAGGAGGAGCTTTTACACCTGCGGGAGTCGCCTCTAGTGGTAAAACCAGATGGCCTACCTCCGATAGAAGAATGGATGGGGTACGTTTTTGCTATTTTCTATACGCCTTCTCGTGTACTCTTGATGAGCAAATGCTAACGGCTATTTGCCAACCCACATAGACCGCTTGTAGATGCATCTACACAGAAGAAACACACTACCTCTAAGGAACAAACGAACCAGACTGAGTCTACTGCTTCAGCACGTAGATCAAGTTTCTTTGAGCCACGCCATATATCTCGTTCCTCGAATTCGGGTATGTTATGCCCTCACTGAACCGAACCCCCCGCCTTAAACTGATATTAACACTATATTTTAGAAGATATCATATTAGGGCCTCCTAAAACCTCATTTTCTTCAGCCACGAGAGGATTTGGTAAATTTAGTGACCCTGATAGGTATAATAGCTTGAAATCCCCCGACGGTGATGTCACCAAATCCGACCGTTTCCCACACCGTGACAAATTCCTAAAAGATAAAGACTCAAGTGATAGAGACAGAGATCTTGACAAAAGAGACTCCAAATCTCATGCCACAAACGGTCGAAGAAGTGGACGTGATGATAAAGATGATTGGGGAACGCGACCCAGACGTACCTTCGGCCAGGAAGAAACTAGTGACAGGAGAGTGAAACGAGAGGGAGACAGATGGGATAGCAGAGATTTTAGAGAACACCGTGATCAGCAAGAAGCTAATGAACGGGGCCATCGTGGTGAGCAAAGCAAATACCCTAATCGGAGGGATGCCCAGGGTAAAAGCCGTCACGATCATCCTTCGTGGTTTCGTGATGGCGATTCTCAGGAGAATGTTGAACAAGAAGACGAGAAAACTCCTATACGGAATCGGGAGTGGCGTCGTGGTGTACAAGGCCAGGATAGGGATAGGGACAGAGACAGAGACAGGGACAGGGACTGGAACCGGTCTACAAAGCATGAGCAGGACCCTGAATGGATGGATTCATCAAATAAATCTGACCACAAAGAAGCCCATACCCAGGAAGACTTCCAGAGGTGGAAAGAGAGGATGAAATCTGGTGGTGCTCCACCATCGGATGAAACGAAGAAGAAGGCTCCAGAGGTCACAAGTAGCGTTGAGGCCAAGCCGGCTGAAGTAAAGCGAACGGAGGGAGAGATGTTTTCAAGTCTTGAACCAGCATACAAGACTGATGCTGGATTTGATGACTTTTTTGGAGCTTGGGGAGGCCCCAAGCCTACCCAGGATCCAGGACATGGCAGTGTTGCTGTTGGATCCGCCGCAAAGGAGCCTCAAGCTGCAAAGCCAGCAAAGTCCTCCAGGTTTGCCGGCTTTTTCAACTCTCCCACTGAAGCAACTTCTAAAGAAGCAGAAGCTACAGCTTCTCAACCACGGCCGGTGTCGACAGATGCCGATCAAGAAGGCTTTCAGCGAATCTTACAGCTTCTTGGTGGTAATAAGTCTAGAAACTCAACTCCTCAGGCCGAAGAAATGATGCGACCAAAGCCAACACCACCGCAGCAAATCCAGCAAGAGTTCAGCCATGCACCTGCTCCTACAGCTTCGCCACATCGTGATGTTATCAATCGACAGCCTTATATGGGTTATTCGGAGCCTCCCCGCGAACAGACAGCCCATGGGCTTGAGCAACTTATTGCACAAAAGGCCCCCAAGGAATTTCAGCCGTCACCATATGATTCCAATCTTCTGCTGCGTCTAATGCAGCAAGCCAAAATCGGCCAGTCTCACCAAGGCCAGATGCCTGCCCACACACCACTACAGAGCCCTGGTGCGCAAAATATGCCTGAGATGCAGCCTAGGAATCATGAGATACCAAAACAGAAAAGCCCGTTATTCTTTGACGACCCTGCAATTGCAAATATGCAACGTCCAGATCCGAATGATCCTCGAAGTCAACTTCGCCGGCGGGCCACTGGAGGCCCTCCTGGTTATTTTGATGAGATGCAATACCAAGGCCCTTCAAGTGGAAGCCATACTCCCGCTAACCCTCCTGGCCTTCGCACTACTCAATCTGCCTCTCAGCCGTCCATGATCCAACGCCCACCAGGCCTCGAACAGGTTACCTCCCCAGGTGGATGGCCAAATCCCCAGCAAATGCAGCAAGGGGCTGCCCAATATATCGGACGTCCAGGAATGCCTAACCCGCCCCCTAATCGTAATATTAACCAGAGCTTCCCACCTGTTCAGCAGATGCCGATGCCGGGCGGAATGCCTCCCCTTAACGACAGACAGACCTTCCAGCGAGGTCCTGCGGCCGGTGGCCCCTCGAATTTTGGTCCTCCACCCGGGATTGTCCCGCCTCCAGGATATATGGCTATGAACCATCCTCCTCCTTCAGCCTTCCCACCTATGCCCCATAACCCCGAGGGTATGGTAGGCCTCTCTCATGGTCACCCTGCCCACTTTGGCGCAGGGCCACAGCCAGGTGTGGGTGGCCATCAGCCATCGTCTCGCCAGCTACTTGAAATGTTCACAGGACATGGCGGAGGGCCAGGAGATGGGGGCATGGGAAACCGAAATGGTTCCGGTATGATGGGGCCGCCATATCGCTGAGCCTCCCTCGTGGAGTAGAAGCACAACCCTTTCTTTCAACTCAAATACTCTGGATTTTTCCAGCCTATCATAAGGGACTCCGACCTGCTTGAACTTTCTCTTCTTCTACCTCCCTTCTTTAGTTGGATATACTCATATTCATCTAGCTGTATAGCTATCGATGTTTTAATGTGCGTGCCTGCTTGGCCAATTTTGCCTTCTGTCTGTCTTTCTCTTCTTTCAACGTTCTTTGCTTCTCCTTTGTGATACACGGGTCGGGGCCGGTCTGCAATCTCGCATAGGTCATGTCATGAACTCTTACTCTTGCTGTATGCCTCTGAATGTCCGATGATCTGACTGCTCTACTTCTTCTTTTGCTTCTTCTTCCAACCTTTTATATGTACCGTCATTTTACTTCATTGTTACTATTTCCTTTGTTCAACCATTTTGTTTCAACCAATTCTTCTCTTCTACTTATCTTAACTTGTAGGTATCATGATTTCACTGCTACCTTGATGCCTATTACCTTGTTATGTGCTTATTGGACTCGCTTGCCTCGCAGGCGCCGCTCATTGATATAGATATCAATGTCACAACATCAATCGCAAACGCCTCTGATGCACAATTTGCTTTACTGTTAATTCTCGTATGCCTCCTTGACTGTGGATACGGAGCAAAACCCAGCTAACCAACATTTAAATACTAAAATGACGTATATTTTATGCCAGATGCCTTAGTTTCCTTTCGCTATGCCCTTTGGGTATTCATTGGGAATAAATACAGCATGGCAAGAAACAAAGCTCTAACTCGTTAACCTGTAATAGCAAAAGCAGATATCTGTGTAACCGTGGTTAAGGCGATACCATTGCTATACAACGTCACGTCATGTATTCGGCCTTGACAATGCACCTGATCATCTCTATCTAGTTTTCAACATCGTATTGGTACATTTTCCTCAAGGGAAAGAAATATAGAAAATAGGGAACAAACGCTACAACTTTGCTATAAAAACCTGAAAATTAAACCGTGCGAGAATAACCAGTGTAGTTTGGGGAGAAAAGTGTTTGAATACGAGTCCATATAGGAATCATCCCCATGTTCCACCACCACCGCCACGACCCTGTCGTCTTTGAGCTGATAGTCGCCAATCGTCTTCGCCAGCAAATTTGTTATGTAGTGGCTGAATGCGCTCAGCTCTTTTCCTTTTTGATAGTTTATTGGTACTTGCTTGTTTATAGAATGTTGGTGCTGCCTCAACGAGCCACTGAAAAAGAATTAGTATTATAAAATTTTTAAAAGAGGATTACATAGGATAGGGACAATTGCATACCTTTGGCTCTATTGTAGTAGCACACTGCATGTACTCTTTTGTTGTAAGGACAAGAGTATCAAAAATGACATGCTCAGCGGCTTTCCCAAAGAGTGCTGAGCTAGGGTGCATGTACACAGGAGTGCCTTCAATTAAAGTCTTATACCCTTCCTGTGGATCTTTTCTGGCAGCGTTCCTGAAAAAGCCTGAACAGAAAGCCTGGCGAACTCTCGTGGTATCCCTACCACAAGATACGATCTTATGGCGATATCGATCCATAATGGTAACTAGTTGTTGGCGTACATCCTGGGCTCGACGGATTTGCCGCGCTTGAATAAAATTTTCAAAACACCAAGGAGTGCTGAACCGTGACTGTTTCCATGCATTATACACGTTGAGCAAGGTAAGGTGGTCGCCATGGGGGTCATGGAACTTAGCTTTCTTTTGGTCAGCCTGCTGTTGTTTTTCCTTAGGTCTATAAAAGATTCCTTGAGCTACGGAAAGCATAGCAACAATGGTCAAGACTTCGTCAGAGCAACCCATATCCACGGATGCAATCAGAACCTTAGCGAGTCCGGGATCCATGGGGAAATCAGCCATCTTGCGACCGAGACGAGTCAAAAGTCCTTCATCGTCAAGGGCAGAAAGGGCATATAATTCCTCAAGAGCTGTAAGCATGGTGTTGGTTGGGGGAGGGTCCATGAAGTCGAAATGTAAGAGATCATTAATGCCCATTGCCTTGAGCATAAGAATTGTCTGGGTAAGATTTTGACGCTGGATGTCCGGAATTGATGTCGGTAGCATCTCAGATTGATATGCAGCTTCTGTGTATAGCCGAAAGCATTTTCCAGGTCCTGTTCTTCCGGCACGACCAGCTCGTTGCTTAGCTTGAGCTTGTGAAATTGGTGTGATCACCAACGAGTCCATACCCAGCTTTGGATCATAAGCATTCTGTTTAACGAATCCAGGGTCGATGACATAGTATATTTGATCAATTGTAATCGACGTTTCAGCAATGTTTGTTGCAATAACGACCTTTCTCCCTCCCGGAGGAGCTGGCTCGAAAATCTTGCTCTGCATTTCGCTTGGAAGAGCGGAATAAACAGGAAGAATAACAAGCTCGGGTACATTTGGGCCCAGCGCTTTCATTCTTTCATATAAGATCTCTGCGCTAGTGTCGATCTCTTCTTTACCAGTTAAAAATAAAAGGATATCTCCTGGCGGTTCCGTGAGGTGAATTTGCATCACGGTAACCAAGGCTGCATCTAAATAATCTGATTCGGGCTCCTTCGAGTACATGATCTCCACGGGATATGTCCTTCCTGGTATGGAAAAGATAGGGCAGCCGTTAAAGTATTCCGAGAATTTGTCTGCATCAAGAGTGGCTGATGTTACAATAAGCTTAAGGTCAGGCCTTCTCTTAATGGTTTTCTTAAGCAATCCAAAAAGTATATCGGTGGCAATAGTTCTCTCATGGGCTTCGTCGAGCATTATAGCAGAGTATTTCTTTAAATCTGGGTCTAAAAGAATCTCTCTTTGAAGGATACCATCGGTCATATACTTGATCTTGGTATTAGGGCTAGAGCAATCTTCAAAACGAATGGTATAGCCAACTTCCTGGCCCAGCTGGCAGCCAATTTCTTCAGAGACCCGCTTGGCAACAGACACTGCGGCCACTCGTCGAGGCTGCGTGCATCCAATCATGCCATTGTTTGCAAATCCTCCTTCTGCTAGGTATTGGGTGACTTGCGTTGTTTTTCCGGACCCAGTGTCACCCACGACAATAAGTAGTTGATTTTCCCGTACAGCTTCTAGCAGTTGCTTGCGGAATTTGAACACCGGAAGACTTTCACGTTGTTCTTTCATTGAAAGGTTTGTCCTTTTTCCGTATGACACATCTTTATTCTGCGCTGCTCGTTTCCACTCCGGAACTGGTTCTGATGACTTTTCAGTGGTGGCGGTGCGCAACTCGGATGCGAATTTTCTCTGCTCCGGGGCTACCATTGGATCTTGCCATTGCGCATTGAGATCAACTTGAGCTGCCTTTTCCGCTGCCTTGTCTTGGGCTTCTTGTTGTCTGATCTCTCTCCTTTCTTTCGCAAGATTTGCTCCAGCCATAGCAGCACGGTTAAGTGAGCCATCCGGTGCTCGAACAACACGAATCGGAGAAAGTTCCAATGACTGTTTGGTTTGGCCGGCCAAAAACGGAGGCTCCTCCTCGCGTACCTCAATATCAATATCCTCCTCCTCTTCAAAATCCCCCTCTCCCCTTAACGTAGCGTGATACTCCTCATCCAAATCTGGGTAGTCTGCAGCAGACACAGCACCAGACGCAATAAGTTGTTTAATTTCCCATCTCTCTGGAGAATTTAGCCTCTTCTTGCTTCTTTTAGCGCCCGAATCACGTTCTATAACGGGGACGCTAGACCCCAGATTTCCATATCGATCATCTGCGCCGGTTCCGTCTAGCCTTTCCATATTTGCTCCTGATGCAATTCGTCTCTGGGGAGCCAAATCATGGCCAGAAACTTGATCAACTTCTTTCATCGACAGGCCAATTCTTGAATCCTGTATAGAAACAACCTTGACCTTGACTTGCTGTCCACGAGATACAAGGTCGGATGGGTGATTTACCCTTGCACCCTCTTGCATCGCAGACACATGAACCAGGCCATCAACCCGGCCCCTAACCCCCTGCAGGTTCACAAAAACACCGAAATCTTTGATACCGGTCACCTTCCCATCATAGATTTTGAATAGAATCGGCCGGTCGTCCACCTCTAGTGTAGGTGGTCTCCTGAATTCATCATCATCATTATAAGCGCGCCCGGAGCGCCCTCGTTCCTTGTGCTCATCAGGATATTTGCGACTTCTGTGGGAGTATTTGCTTCCATGCCGATCTCTGCTAGGCGATCGGGATCGGGACCTGGACCTGGACCTGGACTTGTATCTCCCACGACGAGGCCGGCCACTATCGTAATCGTCAATTTCGGGGCTTCTGCTTCGTTTTCGACTGCTTGAATATCCATTTTTTTCCGCCTTTGCCTTTCCGGCCAGCCCTTCCAGCATTGCAAACGTGTCATCCATAGCCCCTGTATTCGTGTCATCCTCTGGCTCAAGCTCCTCTTCAGTCCAGTTGGGTGCTTTATTGTCTGGGACTGCAAGCCCCTTGAAAACTCTTGCTTTCTTCTCAATGTCGTCCGCTCCCTCATCTCGTCCATTATGTTGATTTTCCTGTTCGTCTGGTTTGGCTCGCTTTGACTTATACTTAGGATGCATTGTTAGCACTAGGCGATCCACACTTTCCACCAAACTCTGAGGAAAGTCTGCTCCAACAGCCTTCAGGGAGCTCTTGAATTCGTCGAGAGACTTGCATTTTAGATGCTGGTCAATCACAAACTCTGCGAGGGTCTTCTCGTTGACTCCTAAGTGATTTTGGAGTTCAGTTGTCACTCTCGAGACGAGGGACAAGAGTTCAAGCGACTCAAGGTCATCCATGCTGGCGATGTTAACGAAAAGCCGTGGGTTCTCGTTATCTTGAATCTATCAAAGCTCCAGATTTTGCGCTTTCGCGGTAAAACAGAGGGCCAGTCAGAAGCTATCCGGATAATAGATTTCCCTTATGCGTTTACGTGAGTCTAGACGCGCGCTAAAAAACTTAAAGTTACGAGCCGCGGCACATCCAAAGGAACCTTGTATTCAAAGCCGAACTCGAGAAGAAATTGGGTAGGAATGGTATTAGCCTAGCTATCTTATAATACATTTTTTTATGTAGTAGAAATACAAATTATAAAAATACAACTCTAGAGCTACTGTTATAGTCAGAGATTCTAAATTTAAAGGGGTGGAAATATAGTCATGCTGGGATGGAAATGGGTATGAGATCAGATTCGGAATACGGGAATTATTTAAGCTGCCAGAGCTTGTGGGTATGATGTCATATGTCAAGAGCAGGGAGAGACAGATCCTACGTAGGATATCAAATTTCTAGAGGACACACGGTGAATCTTAGGGGTATAAGAATGCTAATGTTATGGTATAGCGACCGAAGCATGCTGTGCGGAAGGTACAGGTACCCTTACACGATTACCTTTCAGAACAGAGTCAGCATATTCAGCTTCCAGATTGTCCTCATCGGAAAGAGTATCTTCAAGTTCGGGAATATCGGAAATCGTGTCGGTGACACCTGTTGGTTCTGTATTAGCGAGGAATTTGTCCTTAGCCCCCTTGATTCGTTTTTTCCGAAGTGCTTGTTTCCGAAGTTTCGAATTCGCTGAGAATTCGGTGAGGGTACGATCCATTTTCACTTCTGCCATCTCTTTAGCATGCGTAGCTAGCGTCCGATCCGTGAACACGCCACCAAATCTGTAGCCAAGCCAGAGATAGAGAATGAGAGAGCGATGGAGGGCCTCTAGTGACCGCAAGTATTCCTTGTCATCACCTGAGACAGGTTTATCCAGAATCTCAAGATCCAATTCCGGGATATCAAGTAACCTTCCACTCTTCTGCTGGCCCACACATTCTGCAAATGCTTTGATAACTCGTGCCATCACTGGGTCAGTAGCACGTAATGGAGCGCTCATAAAAACCATTTTATCGATGACATTTAGTCCTTGGATGTTATCAAGGAGACCAAAGGTCGCCTCGGTGTCTTGGATTTTGCACATGAAAAACGGCGAATCAGTACGTGATACACGCTCTAGGCGCTGGTAAATATAGCCGAATGGGGTATCCGGGGGGAACATGTTGGAGTAGCTGTCAATCACAGAATCTAATGGAAGAATTCCAGCTGCATCCAAAGGTTCGGCCTCGGCCATCATGGCTGCTCGAATATAAGGAAGATCTGCCTCATCAAGGCAAGTGACAAGGCCAACGTTTTCCTTCTCATTAACATTTGTGGAGTTCGATGATTGAGCTGCACTGCGGTATCGTCCTGCTCGCCCGCCTATCTGTTTGACCTCAGATATGGAGAGTCGCTGGATGCCAGTAGGTAGCCTTTTTATCACTGACTCAAAAATAATTCGTTTGCAGCTCCTATGATAACAATTAGTACGATCCCTAGCCTCACATAACTTGATAAGCTTGACTTACAGGTTCAAACCCATGCCAATAGCATCACTCGCGACAAGGAAGTCGTAGTCATTATTTGGGTCATTAAATAGGTCAGCTTGCTGAGCACGAATCTCTGCTGGCAAGCTTCCGTAAACGATTGCCGCTCTACGCCCTGTTGTCTTTTCAATTTCCTGTTTCAAGGAATGAATCCCAACCCTAGAGAAAGCGACGATGCAGTCTCCCTTTTCTAGACGTCTGATATCACCCTTTAAACTTGATGCCATTGTCTTCAGAGGATTTAGGCGTTTATAATTATGAATCTCAAGGGTATCACCCATCAGTGAGACAAGGCGTCGAATAAGCGGAACAGCTCTCTCTTCGCCGCAAAGGTGTAGTTCCTGGGCCTGACATCCTAGGACAGCTCTTGTCCAGGCCCATCCTCGATGTGGGTCAGCTATCATCTGGATTTCATCAATTACCCCGACTTCTACCTCTTGGCCGATTGGTACCATCTCAACTGTGTTGCTGTAAACCTTAACGGGGCCACTTTCTGGCACCCTGACTTCATCGCCCGTGATAAGAGCACATGATATGCCCTTCTTGTTAAGGCGACTGTAAATCTCATGCGCTAATAGACGTAACGGACCACCGTAGAAGCCACTTTTTGCTTTCTCCAGTCGTTGCAAAGCATGGTATGTTTTCCCTGAATTGGTGGGCCCAACATGTAGATGTATCTTCCTCTGCATACTTCGGGCAACGGGGTACCATTCGGCTGGGTACCTGAAGTCCGCCAGCGAGTCGGTCTTAGTGGCAGTGGAAGAGAACGCTGTGTCGAGCTTATGGTTCCGGTATTGCCTTCTCAAATAGTCCACAATTCCTTCACGTCCCATCTTCCCGAATGTCCGCCGCAATGTGAATCTCTGCCCAAAATGGGCTTCATCACCGTCATCAATCAGAGAGCTCTTGCAAGCCTGCACGATAGAGGTAAAAAAATTATCCCAGAGGGCGAGTTCTGTCTTTGTTTGTTCGAGCTCTTTCCTGACGACATCCGAAGACTCCAGTAATGCGGATTGGAACCGTTCATCAAAGGTAACATGAGTGACTTTTCTTATCTTGGTACCTGTGCCTTGGGTCTTCCAGGGCTATCATCCAGGGCATACAATGGTTAGTTTGATTATGTATTCTAAACTAATAGAGGCTGGTATAAGAAATGCTTACCTTGAGGTCTTTGCCCTTTTTTTGGTCATTTTTACCCTTCCTACCGCCTGCCCAGTCAAAGTTAAGCTGATCCAGTGGCCTATTCAACGCCGTTATCCTAGCCCTGTTCTGGTGTGCGGATCCGCTGAAGCTCCGGCCTGTTAAAGTGGTTGGCGCGCGCAGAGCGCAACGAAGGCAAAGACCTTGAGCCGGGCGCTGCCATGGTTGCATCCCCGCAATGGTTCTATTGGGCAGTCCTCAAGCGGAATTAGGAATTGGCAAGAATAAAACTGGCATCGAATGCAGTATCCAGCGTCATCATCAAGAACTTTCTTGAAGTCGTTTTTTTTGGTCACCAACGACCGAAAAAGCATCAAAGTTTGGGTATGATTAAGGTATTCATGTGACGCGGCTAAATATCCCTCATAACTATGATGACTAAGCAAGCGGGTCCATGAAACGCGCTTATTCCAAAAAGCGAGCAAGATCGGCGAAAAAGAGTGGGATATTAACTGTTCGGAAGTGAAGGTGAGTGTCTCAAGGAGAAAATAATAACAAGACAAGTTGGTTTCTAGAAGTCACACCCACGACCGGTGACTGTCGATAGCTCTGAGGCGAGCAACCCAGCGAAATATATTTGGGCCTGGTGTCCTCTACTGAAGAGGGCTGCCTAGGTGCACATACAAGTGATCTACTTTGACACATGCTCTGCGGCTAACAATATGGACGCCTCCTTGATTGAGGTCCAGCGCCAGGGTGGGTAGTACTGGTCCTCTGTGCCTCCTTTTGCTTAAACGCGTTCGGTGGAAGGAATACTAAGTCTTGCCCTCTAGCTATCCTGGACACAGTTCGCCATGCCGGAGGCAGAGAAGTAAGCGTCCCTCGAGATCTAGCTAGCGTGACGTGGGGCTAAGTTCAACGCTGTATAGTGGAAAGTGCTTGTGGTAGACGAAGGCAGCAAAAGATTGATCGATAACGCCGTTAAGGAAGACGATATCTTGAACGAGAATGTGACCAGTAAGTGCATTCCTGTGGGCCTAATCTACATCTACATAAACTTACTCACACTTTACAAGATATCGAACAGATCGAGCATCGACGGCCGATGAACAAAGAGACAGATGCCCTCTATATATTGTCCGCACTTCCTCACATTGTTGACTGCGTCATGGCAGACTTAGAACGACGCCGTTACCGGAAATATTTTTTAGTTTGGACATCAAGTATGGAGATGAAAATCCACCTCCCTGACATTTGATCGACTGCTTATACGATATCTATTTTAGATCTTGATCCTTTGATGAGGAGCAGAATCAACGGTTTCAGTGCTGCAAGGGAGCTCATTGCCAATATGCATGTAATGAATATCAATTTTTTCCCTCGAGAATCCCGCCTGGCTATCTTCCGTGACCCGTGGAGTTTTCCTACACTATTCCACCCTGGATGCAACAACCTTGTGAGGGAGCACCTCACCGAATTGGCGCAAAAGGTATCTTAGTGCCACCATTAAAGATAGCTTATACAGCCCATGCAACTGACACCCTGTAGATAGTTTCTGTCTGTGTGTCACTAAACGAATACCCCCTTATCCGATACTTCCGGCCCAAGGATGCATCTCATGAAGCAAGTGTGCTCTGCTCTCATCTAGCTCGGTTTGTGCAAGATGAACTAGACGAGTATGCAAAGCACCGAAGAGATTATCCCGCGCCTACCCCTAGACCGAGGGGTGTGCTATTTATTACCGATCGATCTATGGATCTCGCCGCGCCTCTAGTCCATGAATTTACCTATCAAGCCATGGCTCATGACCTTCTTCCTATCAAAGAAGGTGATAAACTAACATACCGAACCGTCTTAAACCAAGGTCAGGAGACTGAAGAAACAAGGGACATGGAGATTACCGAGGGGGATAAAATTTGGGTGAACAGTCGACATTTACACATGAAAGATCTCCTTGGAAAGCTCGCTGAGGACTTCAAAAAGTTTAGGGCCCAAAACCCTCAATTTGCCGACAGGTAAGTACCCTTTTCCCCCCTACTTCATTTAGCCCCCGTTATCTAACATTTTCCAAACAAGCGACGTTCCTGCATCTGTCAATACAGTTAAAGATATGCTTGCGGGGCTGTCAGATTTCCAAGAAGGCAAAAATGCCTATACACTTCATCTCAATATGGCCCAAGAAACAATGCGGCTCTTCCAAGAACGCAACATGGCAGATATCGCGACAGTTGAACAATGCCTTGCCACTGGAGTTGACGAGGACTTCAAGAAACCAAAGAACATTGCAGAGCAGCTAGTTCGCCTTCTTGACGATGAAGCCGTGGGACCGTCCGAGCGACTCAGGTTGATTCTGTTATACCTCTGCTACCGCGGTGGACTCCTCGCCGGAGATATTAAGAAACTTCTTGCTCACTCACAGCTTCCCCCGCAGGACGGCGAGGCTATTTATAATCTTGGGCTTCTCGGTGCAAGGGTTGAAAAGCCACTTAAGGATCCAAAGCCGCCACCCCAACCCTTGTTTCCGCAGAAATTGCCGCAACAGCCTCAGGAAGAGGAAGTCAGCATATCACGCTTTGAAACGAACGTGAAACTAATGCTACAGGAGCAAATTAAGGGCACACTGGATAACTCCATCTTTCCGTATACACGGCCATATCTAGAGGATGAGGGCTCGCCTCATGATCAGGTAGCTCAATCATCCCTGAGAAGTGCAAAACCAACTTGGGCGCGCACTCGGCCAGTTGCTGGTGACCCCCGCCAGCGAATTATTGTATTCATGGCCGGCGGTGCAACATATTCCGAAGCCAGGAGCTGCTATGAAATATCCCAGCAAAACAACAAAGACGTTTTTCTAGCGAGCTCACACATGCTTACCCCGGGCTTATATTTGCGGCAAATAAAAGATCTGAGCGTTGATAAGAGACGGCTAGATCTTCCGAGTGACCGGCCTAAACCACAGGCTCCCGCCCATCTGTTCGAGAGAGAGCCTTCCCCTAAACCCAAACCACCAGCGCCTCCACTTAACGGGATGGCGTCAATGAACATCAACAACGGACCAGGTGTTATCAAGAGAAAACCAACAAATGAGTCCACAAGTGCTACTCCAAACCCGCTCCCGCTAACTGAAGCTCCCTCATCTTCAAGTGGAAAATTCGCTAAAAAGGAAAAGGAAAAAGGCAAGGAAAAGAAGAAACGTGGGTTCTTTAAATAAGTCAGTAAGCTTTCCATGCCGGTATTCTGCATTCTCATTTCCAGCTTTGCTGTCGCTATACCCCCGCCCTTTTCATTTTCATTCCCTTTCATGGCATAATGTTTCTTTCCTTTCGATACCATCTATTCACCACCTGCAGCAATTCTGCTTTTTGGCATTGGCGTGACTGTTTGCCTAGCATATATGTGTTAGAGTGTAGTATCATAGTATATATACATATATCAATAATACTTAAGCCTCTGATTACTTGGGCCCCACAAAACTCCTGGACTCACAGCTAGATATCAGAAACTTGTTGGAAGTTACAAACAAAGTGCAAGGTATATAATATCTTTCTCGGAAAGGGCAGGTTGCGATCAGCTGTGGCAACTCCTACAATGACTTGTAATCTATAGCATCGCAAAATATACAAGATTCTCATCAACTTCCTAAATATTTTTCCATGTCCTCACTTCGGTAGAAAACATCCCGTAGTCGATCCCCTTGCTTCTTTCTCGCTTCTTCCTGTAGCCGAGCTTGTTTTGCATTTAGCTTGGGTGTATTTTTTACCCTATTGGCCTCCTCCCTTTCCCGCAACTGCTTCAGTCTTCGTTCGTGCCGCTTCCCTCCTACATTCTCTATTTCATCTTTCCAAGAGCCTACTCCTAATCCAACAGTGTCGTTTTTTATTTTAGGCTTAAGTGGGATCTGAATACCCGAACCTGTAGGCCCTAGGCCAGTGCGAGAATCAGGGTCCCAGCCATATGAGGAGAGGTATCTGTAGCCTTTCCCCATCCGGTCAATGGCAGATGGTGGGTGTGAGTGTGGAAGACACACTTGGTGAGCCAGAGAAGCCTCATGTGGCACAGGGTTAGACGGCTCGCTGGTTGAAACCGGGAGCTCTTTTTCATCATTCTGCTTCAGACGCTTAGAGGCACCCTTTAACGGCAGACGGCAAACCTCACATGTTTCTGTATCCGTGGAAACATTATTTAGTAAGTCAGTATCCGACCGACTGCTCGACGGGAGTACGATCGATAGGTATTTTTCCGCTATAGAGGATGCTCCGGGGGCAGGCGAGGAAGAAACTGTGACAGGAGCGGATGTTGTTGAGAGGGTACTTGTGTCCTTGGATGGAACAAACGGAACGCGTTTCCGTTTTATACCGGCACCAAAGGCCTGCTGTACAGTGTATTCTTCGTCATCGGAAGCCATTATCTGCTGGTCGCGTCATTGTATCTTCTTGCAGTGTTTGGAGTGTCTGAAGGTTGTTTTAATGTTGAGGCTTAAAAAGAGTGTATAATATTACGTAATAACCTTAAAATCGACACCTTTCCAACATTTTGGCTGGATTGTATTTATTTTTCCTGAGCTCAAATTCATGAGGAATTGATAAACTATGTGGCGAACATAGCAAAGGTCTGATTAAGATAAACACACCTCGGACGATTAATGTCACTTTTCTACGAGCCGCAACGAAAACATACGAATATACCTATCATTGCGCAACATTATCAAATTGCCACGTCCTTACCACCAGGAATGAACTTTCCATTTAGATCTCATATCCGTACCAGATTCTGAGGTTGGGAGAAAACCGCCGCCATTATGCCTTTGCCTATCCTCGCCGAGGGTGCTATCCGAGGTATTTCAGCAATTCCCTACGGGTACACTGCCTTGAAAACAGCAGCCGGCCTTGCTGTAATTACCGCTTTAAAGCGATATTTTGGAGGAGCTACCAACAAGTCGGACCGCTTAATGCACTCTAAGGTGGTTATGGTTACGGTATGGGCGCACCGATATATGGCATTTAACTTGATACTCTCTGCTGACCCTCTCTTGCTTTATTGCGAGAAATAGGGCGGGACGTCTGGAATTGGTGCAGCAGTCGTACGAGAGTTGGCAAGCAGAGGCGCCCAAGTCATAATACTTACCCAACACTCGCCTTCTGATCCGTTCATTGTCGACTACATTGAAGACCTTCGTACTTTGACCGGCAACGAGCTCATATACGCCGAACAAGTTGATCTTTCCTCCCTTTATTCCATTCGGTTATTTGCTACAAAATGGATCGATAATAGCCCGGTACGGCGGCTTGATATGGTTGTACTTTGCGCAAACACACAGAAGCCGTCCTCTTCCCAGGCATCTCACGGAACAAGTGAAGGACTACAGGAAGAATGGCAAATAAATTACCTTGCGAATTACCATTTATTGAGCATTTTAAGCCCCGCTTTGCGAGCACAGCCTCCCGACCGAGATGTACGAGTTATATTCACTACATGTTCAAGTTATATTGGGGCCAACAAGCTAGATCTGAAAGTTTTGGAAAAGGCGACAGTCGCACAACATCCGACTGACTTGTCAACAACAAAGAAAAAGACCACCCAGGGCCCTGAATCTTTCGTGTCCAGTAGTGGCATGTATGCGACCTCTAAGCTTGCTCTCATGGTTTTTGCACGTTCGTTTCAGCAGCATTTAACTTATACCCCCCGAACTGATAAACTAAACAACCCTCTCCCGCCTCCGCCCGCTCGTGTCTTGGTTGTGGACCCGGGATTTTGCAGAACGCCAGGGACCCGTCGGTGGCTAACCGGAGGTTCCTTATGGGGTCTCTTATTTTACCTTATAACTTGGCCGATATGGTGGGTAGTGCTTAAGTCGTCTGAGCAAGGTGCTCAGACTATCCTTATGGCAGCAATGGAAGCAAACTTCAGCGGCGTTGGGAACACGGCCGCTGTTAGCCTTGATGAAATGAAGAAGATGGCGGGTGAAAATAGTGATATGACTGGCCGTAAGAAAGTAGGCATCGAGGGCGGGACACTTTTAAAGGAATGTAAGGAGCGTCTTGTTCTTCGAAAGGAGATTATGGATGAGAAAGCAGGCAAAGAGCTATGGGAGTTCAGCCAGCGGCAGATTGAGCAGAAGGAAAAAGAAACTGCTTTGCTCAGGGCAATGGAAAAGAAAGCCAGAGAAGAAGAAGAGAAAGAGCAGAAAAAACCGTCATCATCCTCGAAGGAGGCTAAGAAGGCTACTGAAGTAAAAAAGAAGAAATGAGCCTCTGTTTTGAGGCATGATGTGGTTTTATGACTGAATATAGATGCGGAAACGAAATGAATATACAACTCTGGTAGAGTCGATTGATTTATCATAATAAAGGGTGCAGGATTCCTTGGGGACTGTCCCATCCGTTTCCTAACTGCCCTATACCCGTAACCCCACAGTTCCTTGTGTAGTATGACCAGGTAAATCGAAATCTAAACATAAGAGGTAATAAATACAATAAACTCCTCTTTCTTTCTTTCTTTCTTTCTTTATTTACTCTTTTTACTTTTCCATGAAATGCTGCAAAGTGTACCATCTATAGACTATCCCATAGGATAGATGCCTCGGTTTTACTATGCTCACGTTGATGTTGCTTTCACCTTTTCAAGCAGCTCTGCTGGGGGACTCTGTCGGTACCCCTGAGGGTTATTGTCAGTCCATCTCCATAGGTCCTCACAGGCCTGGTGAAGATCTCGTTTAGCGACCCATCCAAGTTCCTTGTTGGCTCGTGACGGGTTGCTGGTAAGGTCGAGGACATCTCCGTCACGACGCGGAGCAATCTCATATGGCAGGTCTCGTCCGACCGCTGCGCTGAAGGCCTTGACCATCTCTAGGACAGTGCTTCCCTTACCGGTACCGAGATTCCAGGCTCTAACGCCGGGGTGATTTGCACGCAGGTAATTAAGGGCCTGTAGATGGCCATCTGCAAGGTCAAGGATGTGAATGTAGTCGCGGATGGCGGTGCCATCGTGGGACGCATAATCTGGCCGTTGGTTAGGAACAACGCGAAATAGATCAAGAGTATATAACTTTCGAAAAGGGCAAGATACACATACCATTGCCGAAAACAGAGAGTTTCTCTCTCTTTCCATTTGCAACCTGCGCCAGCAAAGGAAGCAAGTTATACGGAACGCCTTGGGGGTCTTCTCCCATGATCCCGCTAGGATGAGCACCAGCTGGGTTGAAGTACCGCAGCAAAGCACCATTCCATTTCTCGGCATCTTCAGGCTTTCCGGCTCTCTTTGCCCTAGCTCTTTCCGAATTGACCATGTCGGTTATGGCTGATTCAATTGCAACTTTGGTGTTCCCGTATGGGTTTGTTGGGCCCAAGGGACATTCTTCTGGAATCGGAATCATGTTTGGGAAGCGAGTAGCATCTCCATATACAGTTGCTGAACTCGAAAAGACGATGTTAGATACATTATGGCGTACCATCGACCGCAAGAGACAGATCGAGCCATGAACGTTGACGTCGTAGTAGTCTAACGGACGTTCAGTAGATTCGCCAACAGCCTGCGCAAAAAAGAAAGTCAGCAACGCTATTCAACAACGGCATATACCAGTTCATAACTTACCTTCAAAGCTGCAAAATGGATCACGCTGTCAATATCCGGGTGCGCATCGAAGACCTTGTCGAACGCTGCCTCGTCTCTGACATCGAGATTGACAAACTCCGGGCGCTTTCCACAGATTAACTCGATTCGATTGAGTGCCTCCTCCGAAGAATTGTACAGATTATCGACCACGACGACTTTGTAGCCGGCTTCAAGAAGGGCGAGGGCAGTGAAGGAGCCGATATAGCCCGTCCCTCTTCAGGTGGCGCAAACCGCGGAAGTCAGTCATTGGCAGCAGCCCGCACACTGGAACGAGGAGATGCTCACCCTGTAACAAGAACAGATCCGGTAGCCATGGTAGCGAGCGTGAGAGTGTGTGCAACTATATGCGAGGCGCGACTTTGGGCTTGGTTGCTCGACACCAGCGTAAGCGGCGGGGTAGTTATTTAGTTAGCTGCCCTCGGGGCGTTTAGATAAGTACTCCGTAACTAGGGGGTGAGTTAGGCTAGCCCGAGCCGCATTGATGACGACACAAGGGCGTTTCAGTGTCGGACAGACGACGCAACTTGCAAGGTTGATAGATCGTTGAACAGTATAACTAGTTAGCTATGCAACTGGTCAGATTTACTAGCTATGGAGTCCCCCGAGTTTGAAAGTGAAGCACAAGAGACGCTGATAACTAACCATCTGGTTAACTATCTCGCAACAGCGGCTTAAATATACTCGCAACTAGCGGCGCGAGAACCACCGGGTTGAACGCTAGCCTAGAGACACAGTGGAACTGGCAACCGCAGGTGGTTGACGGACGCAAGCAGAGAGCAAGGTGGAAGCACTTGAGCTGGCCCTGGAGCAGCAGCGAGCGCCTGACTATAAGTATTAACTAGTTGACGGGTTCCCTAGTTAAATAACTACCCATCCATCAAGCCAGACCATGAAGCTGCTTATATTCGGGGCCACAGGAGCAGCGGGAGGGCTGACTGTCCGCAAAGCAATTGAACACGGCCATGAAATAACGCTGCATGTCCGTGATAGGAGCAGGGTGCAGGAAGCTATATCGAGTTCAGACAGAGTCAAGGTAGATCTGACCATCCTGAGAAAACCACACCACAGCTGGGATAATTAGTTAACTACTTCCTTCCAGGCTATACACGAGGGTTCTCTCTCTGACGAGCCTTCGCTGTCGGCGGCAATCAAAGGACAAGATGCCATACTATCATGCATTGGCCCCAAGAGCATATTCGGAGACTATGGCCGCCAATTTTCTGATGGATACCGGCTGATCCTCAAATTAATGCACCAGTACGGCGTTACGCGTATCCTCGCCATGTCGACGATCAGTGCTTACGACGCTCGTGATAAGTTCGGGTTCATGAGAACTGCTGCATACTGGACCGTACATACACTTGGTCGTCGATCGCAGAAAGAAATCCTAGCGATTGGGGAGGTGTTTAAGGAAGATGGAGAGGGGCTGGATTGGACTCTGTACAGGGTAGGTGTACTTGGGAATTCAAAGGAGGACGGACACGTTGCGCGGACGGGCTGGATCGGAGATGGAAAGACGACCGTTTACCTTGAGAGGAGAGACTGGGCGAACTGGATGATCCAGGAGGTTGAGAGAGAGCAGCCCAAGTGGGTGCGTGAGATGCCGGTTATTTACTCGCCTTATCCGGGGGGAATATGGTAGGATACGGATTCTGTATTATATAGTTATATAGCAGTCGTGTGACTTCTCTTCTGGATACAAGATGTCCAGGTGTCTGTTATTCATTTGCATATTATATTTTTGTTATATCCGCCAGCTACCAATAGTGTAATGGGATACTTGCCCGCTATCGTGCCAATAGCCTATTTATACCGCAAAAGCGTCAATGATGAACATCATATGCACCCGTCTCTAAGAGAGAAAAAAGGACTGGCACAGAAAAACAAGGGGTATATTGCCCAAATTCATATGCATATAAAATAAACGTCCGTATGAGGACAGCATACCTGATGCAGTGTCAAAAGCGAAACGGTTACAGTTCGTAAGACAAGAGACGATGATCTCAGAAGAGAAAAAAAATATCAACATCGACGTTGAAAAGAGGGATAGAGGGAAAACAGCGATATTGAATTGATAAATGTACGGAGTAGGAAGGGGAATTATCCTAGGAGTTCAACATCGAGTCCGATAGCGCGCATAAACAGGTTAACGTTGCCTAAACGTTGGCTAGCCATGTCTGCTGGCAGCGTTTTGCTTTGGGCAACAGTTTCCATGACTCGATCCCTATGGCAGAGGTTTGTTAGCATATTTTCATAGGCCAAGCTAGGGGATACACTTATGGAAGGATTACTCACTTTACAGCAATGACCAGCCGCTGCTGTTGTTCAGGGTTTGCACCAATACCCATAGCAGCAAGGAATTGCCAAACATACATGTCATCGCCGCTGTTAATCGTACCTGGGAACAGGTACGCAAGAGCAGGCTCCATGCTATCAAACAGCCTATTGTAAACGTTGGTCCATTGCGCCAGTTCCTGCTCTGGAATACCGCCAGCCTCTTTGACCAGTTCTGCTCGACTCAGCAGCATGGTTAGTATTCCCAGTCCTATCTTCGTCCTTGCGACAGCGTGAATGTGAGTTTTATCAATAACTAAGCCGAGAAGGCCAATAACGATGTGAATAGGGGCATCGCTCACGTAACCGAGTAAACTCGGCATTACAGCTTGGTTGAAGAGCTCGATCTCTTCGCGGACGGGGCCCGGGGGCTGGGTTTCACCTGGCTGGAGCTGGGCTCTTGCTACAACGTCCAAAGTGTCCAAGTGGTAGATAATCATGGTTAGCATGGTAATGCGCTGTTCCTGGTCGATTTGATGGAAGATTCTAGGAACAGCCTTTTTGCCCTTGGGGTACGACAAGAATGCAATGAAAGGGTGTATGGTGGCAGACACGGAGTCAATTGGTTCGAGCACCTTTGTGCTGTCCCATAGCACCTCTTTCAGCGATTGCATTTTTCGCTGCCATTCTGTGTATCGCTCTACCGCCTCTTCATCCTCTACTTCCGGATTTGGGATCGGTGGCATCAAGCGTACAAGATTCTCCATTTTCATCAGCGTAATATAAACGGTCTCAATGTTCTGCAAAATTGACTTGCGGTCACTGGAGCTGAGGTGTGTTTTCTTCGCGGTGGAGGGTCTTTGCCCGTCAGAACTTTCGGGGCGTTTGATATTGAGCAGAGGCTTTGGGGTCTTGGCATTGCTAAAGGATATTTTCCCCAAGCTTCCTTCAATTATAAGCTGCTTGTTCTTTGGCTTTAGCTTGGCGGCTTCGACAGCTCTCTGTACTTGTTGCTGCATGCGCTGCATATGGTTGTCGCCGCTGAAATGAGATCTTCTGTTCATGTTACCACCAGAACGCCCTCCAGTTTGAGATAGGTAGGTTTGTGCAAAGTGGCCAAGGGGTTGACGAGGGTGTTGGCGAGGAGCACCACGGATTTGACTATATACTTGATAATAAAAGTCTTCTGTGAGAAGGGATTCTGGATTGGCGTCGCCGGTATTACCAGTGGCCGTTACCAGCTGCTGAAGCTGTATTCGGGTGATAAAGTTCTTGTCTTGGGGGGTCATCAAGCCGTTGCCTTTGGAGAGGAGGAAAATCTTATGATTCCTCTTTGCACGTTTTGCATCTTCCAACAAAATCGCATTCCTCTGCTCTTCTGGCAACTCCATGATCTTCGGGTTCATAGCCGCAGGAACACCACCTTGTCCCATCAACGGATGGTCCAAGGTATATGGTCCTTGGGTTTTGCCCTGATGGCGAGCAGGGCCAGTCCAATGCCGAGCAGCCTGTTGCGGTTGCCGATTTTGCTGCTGCTGTTGTTGTTGCTGCTGCTGCGGCTGCTGCTGGTGACGCTGTAGTTGCTGCTGCTGCTGCTGAGATTGTTGTAGAAGATGTAGAGGGAAGTTTGGCTGCTGCTGCTGTGGTTGTGGATGCGGCTGTTGCTGAAATCCAAGGGGTGGAGTCATATTATTTGGATACTGTTGATGGGAAAGTAATTCTTCAGCGGGTAATTGGCCGTGCGCCTCTGGGTGGTGGAGCAGTGCCTGGTTGGGGAATTGCATTGGAGGCATGCCTGGAGGAGGCGCGGAGCCCATAAACTGCTGTTGTGGCGGCGGCGGTTGACTCTGAGGCTGTTGTGGTGCTTGCCGCATAGCCTGCATCCTCATCTGAGCCTCAACCTCCTCCAAACTGAGCATCTTCTTTGGAGGCTCAGAAACCGGCTGTTCCTTGGGAGCTGCCTCAGCCACAGAAGTCTTCGGCTTCTGAGTAGCTGTGGTCCCCCATACGCTCGACTTCGCTTGAATTTCGGGGATATAACCGGGATCCTGGTATTTCTCATACCCCGTCCGCTTGGGAAGTGAAGGTAGGGAAGGTTTGGCGGTGGCCTTGGACGAGCCATGCTGCAAGTTGTAGAGCACTTGTTCCTCGCCCAAGACATTTGTCATCTGAGCAGTATTTCCGAAAAAATCAAAGTCCTTGCCCACCGGCTTGTTCTCCCCACCGGCTGCATCTCCGAAAGTGTCGTCGTTGAAGTCATCGTTGGCCTCTTCGAGCTGGTCTCCAAGCCCATCGTAGGTATCTTCAAAGTCAATTCTATTGTTCCAAAGCAAACAAACGGCAGTCAGTACGGTGTTACAAGGGCACAATCAACCAAGGAGTTATCATTTATGCAACTCACGCATCGTCGTCATCGTAGCCTGCCCTGTCTGCTGTGGCGCGAGCAACCTCCGCAAACGGGTCCGGAGCGTCAAAGATGCCCCTCTGCGCAGACGCCGCGGGACGGTCCTCTGGAAGCTTCGTGTCGAACCCGAAAAAGGACATCCTGTCTTGACTGCCGACCAGGCGGCTCAAGAAATTGATAGCAAAGCTCAAGTGGTTGCTGAATGCTGAGAACTGTAGAGCTGACGAAGCTGGAGTTGTGTGTTTCGTGCTTTCGGTTCTTTTTGGCCTTTCGTCGTTGGGCAGGTCACCGCTGAGTCACCGCTGAGTCATGATGCAATATAGTGCGGTCACTTTTCTTTGTGAATGATGTTACTACCTGATGTTGATACTAATATTGATATTGCTATTGCTATTGATACTATGCTGATACTGATATTGCTTGTAGAGAAAGTGGGCGTGAGACACGCAGGGGAGAGGCCCGTAGAGGTGCCCTCCTTCTACCCCAGGCCCTCTATGTCTTTACTAGATATAGTGCAGTTCCCAGAAGCATCTTTCTCCCTGGTATACGGGCCATTGGCATTGAAGATAGCAACATAAGTAGCCACGCTGTACGAAGAGCCTTTCGCAGTATCGGGATTGCCACTGCGCACAGCCTGAGAGGTCTCCCTAAACCCGGCCCACAGGTGTGTCAAGTTGCGATTGCTGCGAAGGCTTAGATCTGGCCACATAGACTAACACTAGCCATTTATCTAGTTATGGGAGAAATAGCAGGGTCAAGCTGCCATACTCTGTACTCCCTGTTCGTAGTAACCGGAGTACGCACAATTGGGCCAGAGTAGAAACACCCCATCAGCCTATCCACCCAACTCGCTGTTTTCCCCAATCAATCATCACATCTTCGTCCTCAGCTTCAGCTTCAGCTTCGTCTTCGTCCTGCAGACAAACGAAAAGGGGCTGCTGACTAAGCTTTGCCTTGCCTCTCACAAGCTTGAAACGCCCAAGATTTGCATCTTGGTTTAGCCCAGTTCGACACTGCGACTCTCCACGCGGCTCTCATCAGCCACAAAACGCCAACCTTCGACCTTGCAGAAGGGAGCGCGAGCGATGTGAACACTTCTCTCGAATATCTGCTCCGGTCTCTGCCCTGCTCTTCGCTTCGCTTCCTCTCGCTGGCCGACCCTACATCTTCACATGCATATTGTTTGAGCTGCCTCGCCTTTCCTTCGTTTGACTCGGAGTACTGCGTCCCGGACGAAGGGCTTGTCTATAATTAATACACACCAGAAGAGACAGAAGAAACTGCTGCTGCCCCCGTTGAGCACCTCACAGCCGTCAAGATGAACGCAGCCCAGGGCAAGTACCTGCGGTACATCCTCTTCGCGATTTTGGTATGAGCTTCTAAAAAGTGATGGACATAAAAAAAAAGCTAGACGGTGATTCTGACCCCGGCGGAACAGGGACTCGCTATCATACATTTTATCACTTCTTCGTCGCTGCCGATTCCCAAGGCAGGTGATCTTGGTCTATCCTATCCCAGGCCCGGCCAACAAACCAGCTCATCTCCAACCGAGGAGGAGAAAGTGCCTGCTGCCCCCGTTCCTCCTCCATCCACACCCCAACAGCCTCCATCGCAACAGCCCCCCAAACAAGATGCTTCCAACCCAGTTACTCCTCCTACTCCGCCCGCTGGGAACGCCCCCGGCCCGGGTTACGAAAAGGTGAATGCCACATTTGTTACATTGGCACGGAACTCAGATTTATGGGAAATTGCAAAATCCATTCGTCAGGTAGAAGACCGCTTCAACAAGGACTATCACTACGACTGGGTGTTCTTGAACGATGCAGAATTCTCGGATGAATTCAAGAAGTTTACTACCAGGCTAGTCTCCGGAAAAACCCACTACGGCCTCATTCCAAAGGAGCACTGGTCATACCCGAGTTGGATCGATCAGAATAAGGCAGCGGAAGTGAGAAAGACCATGAAACAGAAGGAGATTATTTACGGAGATTCTGAGAGCTACAGGCATATGTGCCGCTACGAGTCTGGCTTCTTCTTTCGTCATGAACTCATGATGCAGTATGACTACTACTGGCGTGTTGAGCCCAGCATCGAATACTTCTGCGACATCCACATTGACCCGTTCAAGTTCATGAAGGACAACAACAAGAAGTACAGTTTTGTCATCAGCTTGCCAGAGTACCCGGGGACCATCGAGACCCTGTGGCAGAGCACCAAAAAATTCATTGCCCAGTACCCGGAGCATATCGCCAAGAACAATAATCTCGAGTTCATTAGCGCTGATGGTGGCAAAACATATAACAATTGCCATTTCGTAAGTTATATACCTCTGTTGCATTTACGTATTTTAACTAGTTGCCTGCTAACCTACTACCTTTTATAGTGGTCTAACTTTGAAGTTGGTGACTTGAACTTCTTCCGATCTCAAAAATACCTTGACTTTTTCAACCTCCTCGATCAGGATGGCGGCTTTTTCTATGAAAGATGGGGTGATGCCCCCGTTCATAGCATTGCGGTCTCCCTGATGCTAAACAAAGACGAGATACACTTCTTCAATGACATCGCATACAGGCATGTTCCATTCGTCCACTGTCCTACTGGAGAACAGACCAGACTAGATCTGAAGTGCCATTGCAACCCGGGTGACAATTTTACCTGGAAGTCGTATTCATGTGAGTTTCCTGCATCCTCCCCTCCTCTCCTTCCGTTCCGTGATCTGGCAAAAACTAACGTCGAAAAGGCACATCTCGTTTCTTCGACACAAACAAGATGAGCAAACCAACCGGCTGGGAAGCCGAGAGTCACTAAATTGTTTTTCTACAACCTCTGCTGCCAAATATTCTCTTTGAACATGTTCGTTTCATTAACCAACATATTTTTATATCTTTTTATCTATTGCCTTTCATTCGTACGATATCACGCTTCCAGATACCTAAACGTCCTCTTTGGTTTGAGGACCAAAATTGCTGCGTTAGAATCAAACCATCTTTTTTATGCTTAAGAAAATAGTGAAAAATGCCACACCTAAGAGTGCTGGGCTTTGTTCTTCCCATCCCCATTATTATGAGCATTTGACCAAACACTTTCGGGCTACTTTCCTATTCTTGCTACCTGTATATATAAGTCTGGGTTGGGATTTGCGAGGCTCCTGTTTCCATTATTGCATTCTTTGACATTTTGATGGTGGTGTTGGCTTGGATTTCGCCTTATGTATTAAATATGTTCCCCCGAAACATGATGTATTGTTCTTCGAAGTTTCACTTCCCTGATGATAATATACAATATTTATAACCTACGGAATAGAAGACAGCCACACAGTAAAGTAACAAGAAATGGCCCATGTGTTATCTATACAGCCCCAATTCCCAGACTTACTCCTGGTCAAGTCAAAACATAAAAAAACTCATCGACACTTTAACCTTCTGCTGTTGTACATTCCCAATTACGACGAGGCCTTTGGTTTCTTCGTTCCATACTTCGATCGACTGCTCAATCGGTTTCCAACACCGTTCTATAGCAATGGTTAGCACCAGCCCCCTGTCCGCTAGAGAATACTATAGAAGTCAAAACCTACCAAATCCATTGCTCCACGAACAAGTCGATATTTCACACCAGGACAATCCTGAAGTCGTCCCCCTCTCACCAAAACCACACTGTGCTGCTGGATATTGTGTCCTATAAGAATTACAAGTGTTTAGCTATTGGTCCATAGCAATCTCTAAAAAGAGTTGGGTTCCGAATCCCCTACCTTCACCAGGAATGTAAGCCGTAATAACCTTCCCACTGGTAAGCTTAACCCTTGCAGTCTTTCTTTCTCCGGAATTGGGCTTCTTTGGCTTTTCAACTTGTGTCTTCAAACACACTCCCTTCAACTGTGGTCGGTTTACAAGAGCCGGCGATCGTTTCTTTCGTGCTTTCTGGCCCGACCGGCAGCCTCGTCGTACTTGATTAAGTGTCGCTTGTAACTGTGAAGTGGTAGAAAAGCTCTTATGGAACGCATTCAGAGTGGAGGGTCGGAGGAGGCATTGGGACTGCAATGTTGAAGGAGTGTATTGCACCTTTGCGGTGGCCGAAGGGAATTGGCGTTGAATTATGTGGCGGAAAAACCGCGTGGTGAGAATTGAGGGAGATAGCGCCATTGTGGCCGGTTTGCTTCTTCTCCGAGTGTTATCAAACCGAGCGTCCTTGCTGGTATCTTTTGCAGTCGTTCGCAGCTTTGGTCGTCGTTCGATATTTGAATTTTGATATCGAGTGTCACGTGGTCATGATGGGAGAAGTGCTAAGTTGGTCTATGCCGGTCGCCGGACAAGCTTTACGTTGTTGCTTCGTGCCTGGCGGAGGAGCTTGCTTGCTTCACCAACATCAGCTATATTAACGACTTCTCTGCGCATCATTCCTTGAACCTAGAATTCGTATCCGGCGTTTGAAGGACAGATACGTATAATATTTCATACCAGTCAAGTTTCTCGGGCAATTTAGAGAGTGTTCTCATTACACCGCCAGCCATGGTAAAGTACCCTCATAGAACCAGTTATTGAATACCCTCCCAAGTTAGCGACTGGGGCTCTATAAGAGATATGTGACCGTTGCTAACGCCTTGAACAGTCTCTCCGTATCACTCCTCAGACGAACTACTCCTCAGAAACGTCCAATACCTCTAAGAAGACTCCTCAGCCACACCTCCGCAATGGCGCTCCATCTGCTCCAGGTCTCCCAGATACTCTCCGTTCCTCACTTACGGCAGCCCCAGAGACTCCTGGTCTTCAGAAGACAAACTCAACGCATCCTCTTGAAGCCCGCCTGCTAAACTGGCGCCAGACACAAGATGCCATGAAGATGGAGTCTATTCGGAGAATACATGGCATGGCGGAGCCAGTACGACGAGGTATGGAGATGAAGATAGTTCGCGACAGCCAGTGGAAGCCAGCTGTTCTAGGCGGTAATATGCACGGAAGCATACATGAGGATATCTTGGCCCTGGGAGGACGGGAGACCGAAGTTACATGGGAAGATGTGTATCCCGGTATGTTTAGTGTGGATGAAATGCTGCGTCACAACGATTAAGGAAGAGGTACTAACGCTTTCTCTAGGAGATGAACTTCGCGAGCCTCCTAGCTTCCATGATGAGCTGGAGCATAGATTGAAGATGAACTGATACCTCAATTTATCACACACGAGTTGGTTTGGCTTTCTTTGGCGTCCCATCACTTTGCGAGACGATCACAATGAGTGTATCCAAACAAATACTAGTCTAGCCTCTGTGTTGACACCAGGCGAGGTCATTTACGATAAATTTGTTCGTTCCATCCGCATTACCTGGACGTCTATATAATATAACGAAACCGAAGTCAACAGTACCACAAAAAAATAGAAGAGCGTAGGCTGTACAGGCTTCGAAAACATCCATATAGAACTCGACTTCAAATCAAAGAGGGCGAACGCAGCATTGCGTCCTCTGTTCGTTTTCATTTCGAATCAGGGGATTATGTGGGCGCATAAAGGAGTGTAAATGGCAATGGCTTGGCGAGATTAGAAGGTAGGGAAGGGATAGGTTGTTACATAGGGCATTGAGTAAGACTGGCTAAGGGAGGCAAGGAACAATATAATCAAATCGAATTAAATGCAAACAGTGAAGGGGACAAATACAGACCTCCGATTCAATCGCCTATTCCGACCATCAATTCGCTGTACATATATCATCAGGGAACTGGAAGGGAAATCAAGGCACAACGCAAAAACGACAGGAAAAAGGAGCATTTCAAACTGGTTAGGAGAGCTAAACAAGACCGGAAGGGGAATGACAGAAACTCGAGGCAGAACAAGTGTATGACGACTTATACAAACTCCAGGTTGCACCACCAAAAAAGAAAAAAAGGGAAGACGACAAACGGGCATAGAGGGAAAGGGCAGCAAAAATAAAATAAAATAAGAAAGGCCAATATTGGTTGTAAGTAGAAAGAACTCCGACTTAAGATGTGAGTAGAGGCGTGAGAAAAGAGAATATATGTGGCTCCTGCGTGGTTGTGGCATGAAGATGGAAAATATCTTCCCCAAATCACTCGGCCGCAGATCAGATCGTGGAACATGAGAGCTTTTGAGAAAATATGGGAGAAAGAACCAATTATAATATGACACAGCGGCAGCCAGGGCTCCTTTCTCCCTCTTCATGGTCCCGGCTCTGGGTGCTTTTGGCGGCTTTTGCATCTTCTTCGTCAACTATCTCTTGGGGCTTGATAGTCATATGGACCACATTTGGACCTTCTCGGTTGAATCTACATTCTGTACACAGAGTTAGTATTACATATATTCCTAGAAAATAGAAATAAAATCGTTAAACTAGAGGCAGACGTACCTGAGAGTGGCGACTTGTCATCCAACAGCTTTCCAAAGGATATAAGCCGGATAGCTGCGGGTGAGGATGGACGAGATTCCCAGTCTAATAATGATATGAAACATCAACAATCGAACACTTGCACCGAAAAGAAGGCAACAAAATATGGGCAGGATTATCGGCCAATACATACCTGACCTCCATTCTCTCCATATTAATTCTTTTAACGTATATACAGACATGGCAAATGGGTCATTATCAGCAACATTAACCTCTCGTTTCCGTAGGTATTTGCTGTCAAGCTTGAAAGGATGCTTGCCGCCGGAGGTAAGAAGGATATTGAGAAGTAAGGTAGGTCCGTCGTTTGAAGAAGGCGTAGATTGGGACAAGGAGACTGAAGGCTGGCCCTCAACGGAGGCCCCGATGCTCGACTGGCCTGCATCCTCTGGTGATATCGATGTAGCCCCGCCAGCCTCTGGTTTCGAATCTGACTGCTGAGTTTGTTGTTCCTGTCCAAGGCTCAACTGCTGTGGTGACGACTGCGGCTCTGCCTCTTTCGCGTCCACCACGGTACCCTGTACAGCCTGTCCCTGCTCACCCTCGACTGCACGCATATTCTCTGCCGAAGTGACCGAGGCCTGAATGTTGCTTGTGTGTGCGAGCTGGTCCATCTCTGGTCGCGTGGCGGGGACACCCGATTCATTCAGCGCATTATCGACCCTCATATCCTTCTCTGCCTCATTCACAGACGCCATCCTCTTTGATCACTCTAGGATATGGAGCAGCACACTTGGGTCCCTGAGTGTTCCGGTGCGTAATGCAGCAAGGCGACGGGATCAGGAGGCGAAAACGTGACGGCTGAAGATGAGCGGTCCGGGGGAGAACGGCGCGGGAGAGTCGACGAAGAGGAGCTGGCAGACAGCAAGCGAACGTACGGGGGATAGCTGATATCTTCCTACAGCATGCTGGAGGGGGGGAGGAAAAGAAACGTGATGGATTTTTTTGGTCGCCTTCCTTCTGCCGTCTTTTCGTGTCTGCTGCTTGATTGAGGTGTTGAATAAAATTATATGTAAGACGGGGGTGGAGAACTCGGGGGTTGCCTCCCAAAACACTCTAACGCAGTTTGATGTATGGAGGTAGGTAGTTATATAACTAAGGTATGGAGAAAGGGGCAGCGCAAGCAGCAGCAGCAACAACAACAGAGCTCGCCGGGTAATGCTGACAGATAGACAGTGACTTCTCGTCTCTTCACTTAGTTAAGGATCCTTCATCTCTTCCTCCTTCTCGTCTCTTTTTCTTCGTTTCTTGTTTCTTCTTCGGCTTTTTCGGCGACGTCACGTGATATGGTTTTCCCTCTGGCCGAAGCCTAAACTTCGTAGTCAAAACGAACCAAAGCCTACGGGACAAGAGAAGGACAGGAAGTGTTGAGATGCAGATGCAGATGCAGAAAGGACAAGAAGCGACTGTCTAGTGGCCTTGAATCCCTATCTGTGCGGGAAAAAAAAAGGAGTAGTATGGTCGAGGGCAGGCCTGACAAGCGGTTTTCTTAGCGGCCAAGTACAACTTCATACCAACCGGATATACCATCACCATCACCATCACCACCAGACGATGGGTTGGCACTCTATAAGCCATGGTGCTATCTGAACTTTCAAAAGGAATGTATCCGAGGGACTTGAAGCAGGGCAATGTCGAGACGGGGTCGATCCGGTCCGCGTCAGGGTCGATGTATGAACCGCGTCCCAAATCGGCCAGCACTGCTCCCTCCCAGAGCTCAGCGGCAAGCTCCAGCTACAGAGCTTGTCTCCTCTCTGTACATGATGAGAATTTCTCCCGGGAAGATGTTTTGTTCAATCGCCAGGCACTTGGAGACTGGGCTGTCAAAGTAGGAGATCTCATCGAGCTGTCTGCGCTTCATGGTGAACCGTCTTCGGATTCCCTGCTGGACGGCGAGCCCGCCAATACCACCAACTCCCAGCAAGATGAACCGGGAATTAATGCTGCTCGGGGCCAGGGTGGAGGAGGCAGCGGTGTCGGCGGCCGTTATAGCCCCTTGCCTGGCCATAGGGACTCCCGCCGCGGGGACGGCGCGTTACCGGCCACATCCCATGTAGTGGGAAATTTCCTATTTATCGTCAAGCATATGCAGCCAGAGATCCTAAGCAGACACCCAAACCTTCAGATATCGGTCTCAAATCAGGTCGCCAATCGGTTTGGATTCAAGAAGCGATCCCGGGTTCTATTGACTGTGAAACCACGGTCACAATGCTCGGCTACCCATGTGGAGCTAGTATTTCGGGACCAGTTCCTGCTACGCGCGGATATGTGGAGGATGGCTATGTCCGAGTTGCTAGACCGGCCCCTCTACAAGGGCCAAAAGATCGTGTTCATGAACTCGGTGAAAGCAACGGTCAAGTCTATTTTTCAGGATGGCCGAAAAGTTATGGCCGGCTACTTCACCCCTCGCACCATCCCAATCTTTAGAAGCGAATCTGCAAGATATGTCCTCTTTATTCAGATGTCTAAAGAAATGTGGGACTTTAACACTGAAGGCACTGGCGATATCCTGTTTAGCCGGGTTGTCGACGGCCTACTACCGGAACTCTTCAAACGTTGGGCTAGTATTGATGCTCACCACCTAATAACCATTGTCATGTTTACTAGAGTCCAGTATGATCACACAATCTCTTCCTCCAATGGTTCCAAACCGATAATTCTCAACAGCAGCTCTCTCAACCAAAGTTCAGCGGGCGACGCGGGGGCTAGTATACAGGATTTCTACCGAGTTGTTGTCAACGACATGCCCAGTGGCCGATGGACCGCTATTTTGGATGAGCTGAAGAGAGAATTTAGAACTTTCCTCCGTGATATCCTGATTCCGCCGGCTCAAACACCAGGTGATGATGATTCGCCTCCTGATGCCTCTCCACCAGTTGCTATTGCTGGTACGTCTTCTACCATTGCCGGCCACCTCACATCAGCAATAAAGGGCAATATCCTAGAAGCTATCAATATTGCTGCATCCTATCTCGACTTTGAATATGTAGGTCGTGACCTCGTTAGGACAGGAACATCTATTGTTGTGATTACTCCTGGATCTGGCACCTTTGAAGTGGGATTTGATACTCTTGCCTTGACTTCGGATGTCCTGAGCAGCCGTTCAATTGGCATTGATCTCATCTGTCTGAGCCCCATGCCGTTACACTCAGTACCGCTATTCAAGTATAAAATCCCTAATCGACGCTCCTCAACCACATCAGTTTCCACCGTAAAGAGTGACACAGCTTCCACTGCTGGACCCGCTGAGGTCGCATCGCCCACGTCAACTACGACTACAATTGCTGCCTGGCCTCATACCCCAAAACCTGCCCACCTGCCTGGTTCACTGTCAAGGGCAACCCATTCAAATACTGCCATAAAGGCAGATCTTGACCCTAAAGAATGGGGATATGGAATTCCATATTGGATCGATATCTCCTTCTGGGGTGCCCACAATTATCAAGACAGAAAATGGAAGAAGAATAACGTTACACCTCCAGCTTTCGGCACGGTTGCACCTCAGCCGAAGCTATTCCAGCCTAAAGTTCGGATGTACGAGATACAGATGATGGGGGTAATGGAAAGCGAACAGTCGAATATCTCTATACCGAATCTCCATGTTGGACATTCGGTCATCGATGAAACGGCCGTGCGCCCACGCAGCTCTGAACTTGGCACCCTAACCTCTTCTTCCAACCTGGCTTCACATACTTCCTCACACAAACCTCAAACACGCGATAGAGGGCAGCCAGGCTCTTTCATGTACAGTTTCAAAGATTCTAAGAAACTGATTATGTCTTCCCAGGATAAGAAACGGACAAATTTATCCGAGTGGATGGATTCATATGACGAACTAGCATTCCATATACGAACCAAGAAACGACCATCTAAACGGCATCACAAACCGAAATCACCTAGTCTTTCAAACCTTTCTCTCTCCTCCCGGCGAGCCTCTCAGCAGCCACCCCGAGCCCCTGTTCATCAAAGAGGCGCAATGGCGGTTGCGCCTGCCCGTCCTGCTACAGCGAATCCAATAGCCACCGCCTCGAATGCCAACTTGACAAAAGGGTTACCCACTGCCCCCACTGCATTAAAATCCAATCATAAGTCTAATCTCAAGGATACTACAAAAACATCAGCTTCACGTAATACCCGTTCAATTAGCTTTGCATTGCTAGGTTTTGGTCGTGCGCCTCCAACAGCTACTGCAAGCACTCAGGTGAGAGCAGAGTATGCAAAAGCATTACCAACAGCTAGCGGGAAAACCCCCGATGAAAACATATATGATTCCAAGCAGGAAGACCATTCTCAGTCGCCCAGCTCTTTGCTCCCCGCTGTAGCGGAACAGCAGACACAGCATGTAGACGAGTGTGGCCGTTCGGAGGTACTTCCTTCGAGACCTATATCTATTAGGACGGCAACTAGTCATGCGCCTGAGGAGCCTGTTGTAGTCGCAACTTCTCTGGAAGGCTCATTTGCCGCACATGTACCGGAATTGAGGCAGGAGCAGGGAAGTTTATATGAAAGCCATGCTGCCGGCTTAAAACGCACTGGCCGCAGGCTAGACATGGCGAATAACAATGCCCCGGTGGCAGGAACCACCTTCCCATCCCCTGAGAAAGCATTAAACCCCTGGATAAAACATGTTAAGCCATGGAACCCTCCCAAACACCTTCCTACAAGGGAGAGCTGGTTCGGGCGTTGGCATCACATTTACCCTCGTAAGCCAACTACCTCTTCCGTGAACTGGAAGAGTCTGAAGTCTCCAGCTGCACTTCCTTTGACTACTGAGGATTTTCCGACAGAAGAGGAGCTAGAAACAAACTACCTGCAAAAACCGTATACTGTTTATCAGGATGAAGATTCAGATGTGTCGGAAAGCCCCAAGACACGGGACGCCTTGTTGCGAGAAATGATTTCCCTACGGTTATCTCATGGATTCCAAATAGTGCTTCGAAATCAACGGGAAGATCTCACCTTTGGAGATACCATTTTTGATCTTGGGGCTTTGTCAAAGGATAATGTAACGATTTACATGTCAATGGGTGGAATTATTCACCGCTTGGTATGCGTTGGTGGAGGTGAAATTGAAGTGACTCAATTCACACGTAAACCTCTCAACGGCTACTTACAGGATGCTAAGGATCTGGAAATTGACTATCAACCTGCCGTCAAGACAATTCTAGGGACACAGTACCGCAAGAACTGCATCCGGTTGGCACTATCCCAACTCGAATATAATTGGAATTTTGCAGACTCATTCCTTGCCGGCCATCGAGATCACTTAGTTGACTCTTTGCGCCAACTTAAAAACTGGCGTACACGCTTCGTTTTAATCCCAGTTCACCTCTCGACACATTCTCGGCGCAATAATCCTTCCTTGAATGAGGATAACGAAGAAGAACGACACCTGATGGGTATCTACCAGCTAACCCAAGTTTGGCAACGATACAAATATACCCCACCAGAAGAGAAGAAGTTTCAATCTACCGGATTAAAAAAGAAGGATCAAAATCCATTGAATATTCTATATCAGACGTGTGACCCTTCCGTGGTTGTTGCAACCGAATTGGATAGGCTTTTGCTTGAAGACCCGGGACTTGATAACCCACCAGCACAACTTCTTCCAGATTCAGAGTTGCTCCAAAAATCCTCTATATCAGTATCCTCAGTTGCGCAAGCCATGCAGTCCGAGAAAGGAGTACGAATGATGGATAGAAGATGGCATTGGCGTCTTCATGACAATTGCTTTGTTGGAATGGAATTTACAACCTGGTTGATAAAGAATTTCAGTGACATAGACACCCGTGATGAAGCAGTTCAATTTGGAAATGAACTCATGAAGCACGGCCTCTTCCATCACGTACAGCGAAGGCATAACTTCAGAGATGGCAATTATTTCTATCAAATCACAGACGAATATCGAACACCCAGGCCAGAGTCTAAAGGGGGATGGTTTCAGAGCCTTAAAGGTGATAAATCAGCCCCCAGCACGCCAATGGATAAGGAAGGGGTAAAAGATTCGCCTTCTAGCTTCCGTTCAAGATCGGAAAAGAGCTCTGATGACGGTGGAGGCAGAAACGAACCTCTTCCCCCACCACCAAGGTCGTCAGGCCGGGGCAAAGTTGCCATATGGCTGGCAAAGAGCATGAAATACGACTTGGATCCTCGTAAACGATCAGATCGACCAGAAATAATCGACCTTCATTATGACAGAATCCATAACCCTGAAAACTGCTTCCATATTGAGCTAAGCTGGATGAACGCAACCCCTAAATTAGTTGAAGATGCAGTTGTATCGTGGGCTGCATTGGCAGAAAAGTACGGACTAAAGTTGGTTGAACTACCACTTTCTGAGGCCTCGTCTATCGTTGAATCGCAGGTCTTTAGGCGCCCATTCCAAATCAAACTGAATCATCCACCACCAGACCCTCCTTCCGGAAATCCCTTCACCTCTACATCTTTTGCATCACAATCTACTCCAGATCACCATTTCTATCATAAAGCTATCCTCAAAAAGTTCGACTTTATCCTTGATTTCGAACCTTTCAGCGCATTTCCGACGGACGTTGAGGTGTCTTATTCATGGGGGAAGCCAGATTATCGATTTCCTCAATATGTCCACAGATCTGGTGCGGTCCTTGCCCAGATAACGGATGAAGGAGATTTCCTACTCTTAACCAACCGACTGTTCAATACATACCACCCTTCGGTTGTGATTAAAGAATCCAATAAATTTGAGAGAAGCGAATATTTCCGACCTCGTGCGTCTACAATAGTTGACTCTGCGCTTTATGACCGGGGCTCTCCTCACCTCTCGCCAGTCGTACGCAGTTCCGGGCTGAACGGCTTCTCACCATCTGTCGCACCGCAGACACAGCAACAACCCGAGTCCATTAATGTATACCAAGCAGCGGCAGATTTGAAAGACAAATTACAAGCATTCTGCAATGATAAGGAAAAACTTGATGCGTTTTTTGCTACTGTTGCCGCTCAGGGGCGACCTGTTTCTACAAAAGCCAGCCCAACAAATACGATGACTTCGGAATCGCTGATTCCGTCTTTAGTGCTACCTGACAGTGTAGTACGCCATTCAACTTCAAGCTCTGCGGGAAAAATGCCCCAGCGGTCAGCATCCATAGATTCCGTTGTGATACAGCATACGCCCCGATATGGTCCAATGCATAATTCTCCCGGAACACCACAGCTATGAGATGGTATCTTATGTGTTTGCTTTTTGGATAGGGCCATGTTACATGTAACCGTCTTCTGATACACATTTGCCATACCTTTATATGAAACTATATTATGTTTATATTCATCCCTATATATGTTTTCTTCCGCTTCATGTATAATACCCACTTCCTATTACTTCAGAATGTAATAAGTAATATTATGAAGCGAAGTTACTTCGTACACAAGACAATACCTGCCACGCCATTTCGCAATACTGTTAAAAATATATGGGATCATACTTCCTCCTTGACTGTCAACGTTTGCTATAAAATACGAAAATACTAAACAGTTAAGACTATAACATTGAAAACTAGATTGAGGGAACGGCTTTGAGAAATATCTAATGATCCGCGAACATATAAAACGCCCTCAAAGTAAGACTTCCCACATCAATGACTGACACTGTAACCTGGAGAATACCGATGCTAATGCAAGCCGTAGGGTGAAACTGGGTTCTGAAAAGCTCTGCTGGTAGATGCTGACGACAGAACCAGGAACATAAATTGAAACGAGAGTATAAACGACGCTGAATATAGATAAGCAAAGCAAAGCATTTGAAATATATCAAACAGCCCTCACTTGAGTGATGTTCCTCGCCTATAAACAGAGCTGATGGTAACAATCGAGTGAAATAAAGGCCCCAACACCAGAGAGGCGCATTGGCGCATGCGGTTATGTAGAAGGTAAAATAGCTGTTCGAAGTGCGAGAATTAAGCGCCGGAAAATTATCAAAGAAAAACACAATGGCCACGGCAGGGTATAATCCCGGGATAGAACTAGTAGCCGAGTAAAAGAGAGATTAAAGACGCATATGCAGATCCCAGGGTATCAAGGGTTGGTGCAAAAGGTGGGAAAAAAATATAGAGTGAGAAAACAAATAGAAGCTGTAAACCCCGGATTGAAATGCAATGCATGCAAGATAAAAAAAGAAGCTTCTCAACGCATAAACAAAAAAAAAAGGAAAGAAAAGTAATATATCAAAGCACTACACCTAGGAACAAGGGAACACGCAAAAGTCGGTAGTTGTAGGAATATAAAAGCTCCTCGGGGAAGGAGTATCTCAAGATAGCTCAGCAAGATTCGTCAATATCTTGGAGCCACTTACGTATACCCTCTCTCAGAGTGTTATCAGCAATACCACCAAATTTCTTGTGGTTATTCTTTGGGAACCCTGCAGGCGTATCTGGGCCGATATTTGACTCTTCTTGGCGGTGTTCAGCCGCAACACTGCGTACGACCTCATCAAGGGCACCAAGAACCATACGACGACATTCGTTTCGTGGAATCTCGACAGAAGGAACATCGGTCCGGTTACTGGTATCATTGTATCTCCTGCTGTCGTCCGTGGGCAGCACGCTAATACGCCCTTTACGAAGACGGCTTGGGGAGGGAGCACGGGAATGGATAGCAGATGTAGGGCCGGAGCAGGCTAGAACCCGTTCAACGGCATCGACAAGCGTTGCATCTAGGTCCATGACTGGCTCCTCGATAAATTCTTCTTCCACGGTACATGGCTGAGATTTTCGCAGAGTGGGTGTTGGTGTAGTATCTGAACTGTCAACTTGGGTGCCAAACGGTTGGTAAGAAAATTGGGGAGAAGGTGTGTGCGAATAATCTGTGGTCCGATCATCAATAGTCGCTACCTTGCGGCGAAGGCGAATTCTTTTGATAGTGAATGTCCTCGCATCGGCTATGAGGGTGGAGCAGACGTCAACCCATCGTTCAGAGCCACCATCAAAATATGACGGCTGGCCAAAGTTTGCAAGGTTGGGTGTAGGCTCGGCAGACATGGAGCGTTTGATGGAAGATTCTAGGTCAGGGTATGGGTGCACAGCTTGGAGAGCAAAATCTTCATGATAGTACTTAAGCCAACCGGCAACGTTGACGCTAGGGCCATCCCAGTCTTTGTAATTATAATGAGACCATGGGCTAGTGCTGTGGAAAGAGCCATCGCAATCAATACTTGTGATTGACGTCCGGGTCTTCTTGGGTGACGTTAACGTGGAATCATTTGATGACGAAAGAGACATGAATCCGGGCAACGGGACCTCAACATCAACAATGCCTTCACCCGGTTTTACACAGAGTTTGACAGGCGATGTGGGTTGCCGACTCTCCAGAGTAGGAGCATCTTCTTTGCTATCCGTTTGTGTTAGGGAGGAAGTGGGTATGGATATCGTATCACTCATTGTCGCGGATACATTGTCCGGAATCGCACTTCCATTCTGTTTTACGTTAGTTGCCACGACAGGTAGCTGACGTTTAGTTTCAAACGCTTGAGTTGATGCTCTTCGAGCTCTGGAAGCACCTCCATTTGCTGGAGCATCATCCCGCGAGTTCCAAAACCCGGAAAGGATGTTTCCCCATTTACTTTGATTCTGGTCAACATTGGCTGATATCTCGCTTTTCTGCAAATTCAGTAATAGGTTTGCAGAGGCAGATCCCGTACTATCTTGCAATTCATGGCGAGCACCGTACTGTTTCCTTGGCTGGGAAGCAAAGTGTGGGACTGGAGTTGCAGTGCCAGGTGCAGCTGTTGCTGCGGATGCCGTGCCACTTTTCATTGGTCCAGCAACGCCTCCGGGTGGGATGGACAAACTTGATGTTCTCATGGATCGGGCATCAGAGCCACGTCGTCCTTGATTGATCGGAGATTTACTAAACTCCAGCTCATCGGGAACTATGTTAGATGTTTCATTGGAAGAAACGCTGGCAGACCGTTTGCCTGCGCTGCGCTCGTGAGGGAATTGACGTGTTCGAGCGCGACGGTTTATAGTTCGACGCAGTGATTCTTGTCGAAGCATGGTTGGATTCGGGGGACTTTGAGACGTTTGGCGGAAGGATGTTGATGTACTCGGTCGCAAAGGTGAGGCCAATGGATCTGCGCGTTGCTGAGGCGGTAGGAAAGCGGAGAGCACAAATATCAAGCGCCTTGCAGCCATTTTATCAGACGAAATGATTACTGTTCTATTGCAGATGCTTAATTCACTGTCCTGTTGAGCCCGCTGTTGAAGAAAATGGCGACGTCGATACCAGTCAGGACCGAGCAGGCTCAGCCATTCTGTATGGTTACCTAGGAACGCTGTGATGAGGACTAGAAAGAAGAAATTGTGCTCCTTCTCACTTAAGCTCCTCGCGATCCACCGGGCCTCTTCCCTCCAAACACCCCAGCGGCTCTGGCCTGAAATAACTGGAGGTATCCTAAGAGCCATGCACACCCTGAACGTAGCATGGAGGGCCTCTTCTCGGAGTAACTTGTTCTGCGCTAGGCAGTTGGGTACAAGTTGTACAATTGTCTGGTTAGTCCTTTGCATATTTGGCCCTTTTGCCGGCTTCGGCAAATTTGTTGTATGCTGAACAGTTTGTTTTAAAAGTTCCAGAATCTCTTTGCTTGCAAGTTTCTCAAGCCGTGACAATGTTCGTGCAATTACGTCCCAATAATCCACGAGTAAGTCGATTCTGTCATCTATGCTTGACCCAGCGGTTGATACGGACGCCTCGTCAAATAAAGACCATTTTGGATGAGAATCAAGGGAAACCGACATTCCGGCACAAGGCTTAGCTGGGTCTTGAAGATAAGGATTTCGTTGCTGACGAGCACTAGTCTTCGCTGTTATGGGAAGCCGAACAGTTATTGCGACAGCATACATCGGAGTCTTCTTTTCTTTGATCTTTTTAGATTTGGCACCAGGCGAGAACTTGAATTCTGGATTATAAGGCGACGACGGAGTTGCTGAACTGTGCATTGAAGCGTCGACTGGCATGCCGTATGATTCAGGCAAATTGACGCTGAACATTCTCGTCACGAGTACAGTGACATGTGAAGATGAAGAGGAGCCAGAAGAAGACCTGGAACCGTCACTGCTAAATCGCTCACGAGTCTGACTGACACTCCTTGGCGAGCCACTAAACGTATCCGCACGACGAAGGGTCCGCTGGTAGGGGTCAGAAGGAGGAGGGTCAGCATTCTCAGCGGGTTTCTTTTCGTCTGCTGGAACAATATGCATCTTAGTCGAAGGCCCACGATAGCTAAACGCGCTGCTTCCGAAAATGCAATTCAGCAATCCGAGTTCATTAGAATCCCCAGATAGACGACCATGCTGCTGGTCATCATCTCCCACAGCGTTAGAGAATGTGGACCTTCGATTTCGTGCACGGAAAAAGGCGCTGTTTGCTGCAGCATCTTGGTTGGAAAAACTAGATAGTGGAGGGAGGTCGGAGACCGAGGCACGCGGTGCATGATGAGAAATCCGCCCACCGTTCCGAGGGAGGGTTGAGGTGCGGGTGTGTCGTGATCGTTGCTTTTCTGGAGTAATGCGGTCTAGAGGTGGTCGCGTGGGTTTTTCAGTCTTGAGAGGTGCCTGAGTATCGAGAAGAATGCATGGGTCGTCACGGTCTCCTATGGCGTTCTGCGCAATAATCACTCTTAAATCCTTTGAAGAATCAAGTTCCAAGCCACCTTTATCATCAAAACTACCGGCTGAGGATGGACTAGGCGAGACAGAGCTGGTCTGCAGTGGGTAAGCATGAGTCCTGGATCGCTGAAGAAGGCTCACGTCTGGGAAGAGGAGTCCTGAGGTGTGTTCCTCTTCAGTCACAGACTCGAGTTGGTTCGAGTTTCGATTGGCATATGACGCTGGGTTGAGCGTTGCGGCAGCAGTATTAAGCAGTCTACCCAACATCTTCGTAGACACCAATTTATTGATATGTTGATAGCGGCTCTCAGCAGAGGTCGAAATGATTGCGTTCGTCTCTAGAAGGCGGCAAAGAGGGCGAAACGAAGAAAGGCTCTATAAGGATGCCTCACGCGAAAATTCATGGCTCCAGGCTCGGTATATCGGTAGTTCCAGTCGTTCAGGCGAGCCGCAGGTGAATGGTGGGATTGGGGTTGATGTTTCGTCAGCGAGACACAGGTGGCCTCACTCCCTTCAGCAAACAAACAAGAGGAAAGAGAGCCCTGAGTATCCCAGTAGCTCCTCAGAAAAGCGGCTTTGCAAGGCCTGTCTTCCACTTAATATCAGCCAGGCTGCAGAGAGGTGTTTTGTGCGATGGAGATGGAGGGGAACAGGGCGGATATTCCGATGTCGTTCGCAGAAGCGACGCTTTCGACGCTTTGAGCCAAGTTGGAAAAGACCCGCGGGCTGGCCAAGAGGCGGTGAGGAAACACCTTAAAAGGACGTCTGCGTCCTTTGGACTGCGGAGCCGCAGCGCTAGCCAGATAAGGTTTAGCTCGTTGAGTAAGCTCTTACCGATTGGCTGGATGGCTCGCGCTAGCTGTTTTCGAATGAGACTCGGAACATCAGCGAGCAAGTTGGGCGTCGCTGATTGGTCTCCAGGCCAGCGCTCGAGCCCGTATGCGGTTTAGCGCGTATGCTTTTTGATCGCGCCCTTTATACTGTCAGGATAAGCTTCTGATTATATAACAATTGTCCTCCTTGCTCATGCTCGATGAGATCATTTCATCCCCAGCCCTACCGAGAGCAACCCTGCCACTGGAGATGTTGCATATTGCGAGGTCACGGTCGTGTTTTGCTACGTGTTACCATCGACTGTATTTACTCTCTTGCCCTCTTGTTTCCCTCTAATTAATATGGCAAAGCTTAGACCAACGCCCCATCCGTGCTTTTCTCTGCTATAGTTATATGTCTCTATCCAGTGTTCTGATAAAATATTCTTATTACCCTGTAAAACAACTACCACTAGCTATTTGAATTCTAAGCTTTTTAATTTTACCCACTCTATATATGTATGTGTGGGTGTGTATTCACCGTATTATTCACAAGTCAATATGTTTATAGGTGCCTTGATCGAGTTGATTTCTGTGCAGCTCCAGATAACTCCAACTTGCCGACCACTAGTATGGGTTCATGTTTTAGCTCAGTCATTTTAACATTCAGTTAACAACCCATAGCACATTTCTCGGCCTTTTCCAGCGAGAATTACTGCCTTGCGTCCACCATCCCTCTAGCGCTCTTTTATGAAGAAAGTTGGCTATGACGTGTAGCACGGGAAAAATCCCTTGGGTGCTAGCTGCATGTTATCCGGCGGTGTAGCCTGCCATATAGTACTGTTGGGGTATTCCACTTTGACCTAGGGTATCCTTGGGGCATTAGGCCTTTTTGTCCCTTCTGGTCCAACAAGTACTATCCCGAGCTCTTCGACAGGAAAGAGAGTGTACGTACATTTCCTGAAACCCCAAGGCTCAGTGGGCCTCAGTCCGGTGAATTATTGCATGGAAGATATCTATCTAGTCATCCATTTGAACTTACCCATCTTATCGATTCAGCCGGTGGAACTAGCTGCATATATGATGTATTTAAAAATTACGATAGGTTGGGCGGTAGCAAATACTAACTACTTTATACCTAAAAGATTAAGGTAGTTAGAGAGGGGTAATTTGAAATGACGATGATTCGGAACTGGCTCTGAACACCTTCCAGCAAGAATGGCCGCTTACTGCCGTCCAAATTTACAAAAGACTGGATAATTTAATGACTCCAATTGCCTTCTCTTGTTTGAATCAGGCTCCTGGAAGAGGTTCTATTCGTCTCACAACAATCTTCGCTTTCAGATTATAGCTAAAGGCAGCCAAGTACATGGATAGAACCAGGGATATCCGCCCCTACTCCCTTACACTAGTGGGTCGTATCCAGTGTTGCACGCTCCCTTACATTCTAAATTCCTATCAATATACGAATAAAGGCCTGTCCCGGCTGTAATATTCGAAATATCATAAGGCGCACTATCCGTGCGTTTGGGTGAGTATTACTCTTTATATTTTATGTTATTATGTTTTAACTTATAGATTGTTTAGGTGCCTGGCACCCCCAGGGCTGCGTCAGCACCGCTTATTGCGGGTTGAAATTTAGTCTGCAGTAGCCAGATCCGACGCTCCATTATAATCCTACCTACCCATATCACTCAGAACATTTCACTATCCTCCTCAACCATGTTTATGATCAAACCCATGGATCGGAAATTTTCTACTTATTCAAAAGTAGCCTATCATAACGACACTGCTCTTCTTACCGTTTATCGACAAAATTTCATTAATGGACTCTGGCCCGAAGTCTGGCGAGCTCCCCGCGTTGCAGCTCGTTCAGAACACTCTCACATAACTGGGTTAGCTTCCACTCAAGCCCAGCCGCGCTCGTCAGGCTGACCGGAAGCGTAGGTTTAGGTGCAACTACGATTGCTGATTCACGAATCAAACTTTCCACAGCAACTGCAGCTATAGAACATTCTACTCACGCCATCCCGAACTAGACCACAGTACGAGCCATCGCCCCAGACGTTGAAGACTACATCCGCCATGCATTGCTTTAAAAAAAATCTTGACAAATTCTCCCCTACAGGATGTGGCCATTTGAGGGCAAGATTATTCTTGAACTTCAACCTCTGTATAGAGAACAAGAAGTTACTGAAATCAGAAACTGTTCTTTCGGTTGAGACAAGATTTTCATAGCAATATGGGTCTCGAGCACGCTGTTCGCAGGACTATCAATGAGTCGGAATATCAATGTCACCTTGATGATCAGCTTGAAGGGAAAGACAGCGTTTCGCGCTCCATTTTTGCCAACTTCCTCTGGCCTATACGAACATCCAATCACCAAGGAGTATGGGGGCATGGCGACAATCTTGACGTACCTTGAGTCTTCAAGCCACATGGTGTCATTGCCAAAGGACCCTGATGATCGAGAAAACCCGTTGTTCGTCTTTGGGACCCGTTGGGTTGGATGAGTTGAAGACATCTTAGAGCACGCTGATATGGACGGATATGTCCCATGCCGCAATTAGTGTCCTTCTAGGGACGCTAGTCGGTCGTGGCCTGTCGTCAGTTATGGCGATAGAGTGACCCAGAAAGCTGCCCGGAAACCTGATCTAATTATAGGCCCTACAAATCCCTTCAAGTTATCTTGAGCTAAAATACCTCTTAATTGAGTTATTTTACGGTTCAAAATACGGGTTGATAAGGGCGCGCCATACATCGATGCTAGAAATGAGGATGTTTGACTAGACCTTAATCTCTCTGACATAACTAGTTAACAACCTCGCAGAGTTGAATAGGAAGAATTAAAGGGAATGTTTAACGTTTAATTTTTATAGCAGTTTATTGATTGAACGTTGAACTGCATCAATTAAGTCCAACTTAAAACTCAAATTGTGTTTACCTTATTGGACCAATCCTCACTAAGCCTTTTAAAGTCCCCAGTTAAATTAACTCAGTCACGTGCCATATAACCTTAACTAAACTTACCATCGATATTTCTGTGAAAGCGTGTTTGTTAGACACTGACTGCCCCATATATCCGCACAGATATTACTTCATGGGGATGCAAGGTACACGCTACATGGTGAATTTCTCAGCTTGCAGTGACATAGAGAGCTTTTCTCCATATTAGCTCTATCCCCAATGGCCAGCCCTGTGCGGGCTGCTCGATACCCCAATTTTGAACTCCCTCCAGACAGGTACTGCCGTTTTGAACCTTGATTTGAAACCCTGTTGAAAGATATCTGGCTTCAATATCCAAACCACCCGCTGCACAGTTGAAGCGAATACTTCAATATTCGCGTTATGTCCTCATATTCTAGTATCCGGCTAGCGTGTTAGTTGGCCGTAACCATGGTATAAAAGGGCATTCTTCCATCGGTCCCTTCTCTTTCCTTTTCATTTCTCGGTTACCTTTTTTCCTACCTCTTATGAACTACGTTTTTGCTTCTAGATTCTAGAAAAATTCAACCGATCCCGTCTCGTTGCACCTGGCTGTCTAGCTATTCAACTACAAGACTCGAATACTTCGGTCTTTCCACTGGCTATTTCCTACCATACCCAGTGCTCCCTTAGCATAATTTTAGTTGCTCTCCTGGGCAGCGAGGATCGCACGCCGAGTTTCTATTTCACCGGCCCAATCTCATTACTCACAAGCAACCCTCAATTCAACCGTTTCACTGTTCCATTTATCACTGACTCACCTATCTCTCACATTAAGATTGAGAAGTTTGGTACCGTGCGCCGCCTATCTACACCAGAATCTCTTAGTTCAGGCTCATATACGCCCTCACCATTATCTCAACTTTTCTTGTTTCCAATCCTCGGATAATTCAACATTTCTTCATCTGTTACCAGCCTCACTTTTCACGCCATTGACCTTTTACACCTCTTTCTAAATATACACTCATCTCTGATTCAAAACCAATTTTATCCTTCTAGCCCCAATATACTGCTTGTCTCTATTCTCTCGTTTGCTAATACCATAACGACAGGCGTACACCAGATCTCTCCTCACTGATACCACATTTCATTTTTCTCAGTTATGGATTTTAACGCTCAGGTAAACAATAGCCACACTGAGGATGTCGCCTTGGATGAAGACCTTATGAACTTGGCTCCTCTTCTACAGCCGGATACTTCATTTACAGCTAGAGAGGATGAAATTATGAGAGAAAATTTCATGCTCCCAAGTCCATTGAATGTTATGGATACGGAAGCCCAAACCTTCACACAGGGCCCTGAGAATTGCATCCCCAAATACAGTGATTCCGAGAATGATGAAGAAGCTAAAATCCGTCAAAACTACTCCGCTGCTACACCTGTCTCTGAAGTTTCCGACACTATGTGGATAAAAATAGAAAAGGACCTGGATAATAGTGAACTAGATGGGGATTCAGAGTAAGCACAACCCTGGTATTAGCCTTGTTACTTATCTAATTATCATCAATTCTTCCTAAAGAGAAAGCAAAATATTCCAAGAGGCAAAGGCGGCTTTTGAAGCAGAAAAGAACCCCAGCCTAGAAAGCCAAATTCGCTTTGACAAGTTACAGGAAAAAGAACGCATGCGGCTTTCGAGAGCACAGCTTCGAAAGGCGTCGATTAAACAAGAGAACAGTATACGGCCTGGCTGTATCGATGGTAATGAGACCGAAGCGGTCGAGATTTCGAAAGTCCAAGGGGATATGGTCCAAAATCCCGACCAAGGAGAAAATTTCGAACTGTTTTGCGCTGATAATAACGAAAGCCCAGTACAGGGCTTATGTGACTATCCCTCTCCTGACAATCAGGAGTTGCTACCAGCGTCTATATGGGAGCGCACTCAAAAACCAAAAGAACCAGTCAAACCAAAGGGAAGATGTCGTCAAAATGGAACGTCAAAGCAGGGAAAGAAAGCAACAAATGACAAAGTTAAGAAAACCAAGGAAAAGGTAACTTTGATTTCCCATATAACAAGTCTTCATGAATTGGAAAAAATCTAACAGGGACAAAGCGCAATAATGCCCGAGGACGCAAGTCAAATGGGCCCTCCAAATCGAAAAAAGGTTGTAAAAACAGAGAGTCCACTACTTTCAACCTTGACAGCCTATTTACTTGCAATATTGTTGAGAGTGCAAAACGGAATGTCAACAAGAACGCAATACCAGGGTTTTCGGCGGGGGATAAGAGAAAGGCAATGAGGGAACTTATGGCCAGTATTCCAACTGACGAAGAGATTGATACGGAAAGCATGTCCGAACATAAAAAGGCTATCATGGACTCTATAATGAAGTTCACGAAACGTCCCAGGGCTGACAAAGCCGGTGGCTGGAGGCATAAAGATATGACGACAAGCTTATTCCATTACCAGGTATGTCTCCGCTCAAAATTCCCTACATATCTTGGCTAATATTTTGAAAAGCTCATTGGCGTCGGGTTCATGGTAGTCCCCCCATTATACCATGTTTCAGTATACATACTTACACACATAGCGTGACCGTGAAAACTCGTCTGCTGCGCCCAAAGGCGGGTTTTTATGCGATGAGATGGGCTTTGGTAAAACAATCCAGGCAATTGGTTAGTTTCATATTGCTTCTATACTTTTTACACATTCATTAACTCCGCTCAATAGCAAACATGGTGGACGGCAGTGCTACCCTAGACAGCAAGGAGCCAAAGACTACGTTGATTGTTACGCCAACCCATTTAATTGAGCATTGGTACACTCAGTTCTCACCATTGAAGCTTCTACTGGGCGTTTACTAACAAATGGTATAGGAAAGATGAGTTATTAAAACATGTCAAATCTAGTGCACTAGGGATTATCGTTGTTTATCACGGAGCTCAGAAGCAAGATCTAAGACTTATCATCCAGTCGGCAGGACAGCAAAACATCGGAGCTATGTAAGTATCCTATGCGGTGTCCTTTTTTTAGCAGCCCGGTAATACTAACGGTTTGGTAGAATCACAACCTACTCCGAAATAAGAGCTTCTTGTCATTTTCCAGTCCCTGATTTTACGAGTAAGGAGGATGAAAATAAATGGAAATCAGATAATTGCTGTTTCCTGCATAATTTCAAGTTTCGGCGCATCTATCTGGACGGTAGGTAAACCTCCATATAATATTGGGCGAGACGTCATTTTGACATTCAATAGAAGCGCATGAGATTAAAAACCACAAGTCTAAAACTAGCGAAGCAGTCAGGCTTCTGGTTGCAAAATTTCGTTGGGTGATAACGGGGACCCCAATTCACAAGTACAGCCACTATTCTGATCGGAGATACTTTCATCAGCTAACATGGGATACTTTTCCATTTTTGTGTCAGTTATATCACGGAATTCTATTCCTATTTTGATTTTTTGAAAGTCCCAGGATTAGAAAATTATTATCTATTCCTTGCCAAAATTGTGAAGGTATGAATGACATTACATTCCAGCTCATACCAGGATGGCTAATTAGTGTTCTATAGAACGATCCTGACCATCGTAAACTCATCAACTGCCTTCGTGCATTTATGTTGCGCCGAACTCATGAAGCAACCCTTTTTGGACTACCTATTCTCAAGCTTCCTGGCATTGATGAAAACACGGTAGTTGTTAAATTCTCTATTATTGAGAAAGCCCTATATAAAAAAATAATAGGGAACTTTTTAGACAAGCATCTTCGTTAGCGATGGCCCGTTTCTATTTCATATGGTCGTATCTAACTGTGTATAGATACCATGCGCACGGTTGAGGGAGTTAGCAACTATCTCACTCTTTTGATGTATCTACGGATGTTCACTTCCCACCTGCTATTACCTGATAAGGTAATTAATCAGATATTGACTCGTCAATTCATGCAAGAAATTCAGCCTGAAATAATACAAAGCTCCAATGCCGAGGACATGGAGATGTACAACTCCCTTCAGACGGCACGGTTTGAGGACCCAACGGGCCCTCTACATGTCCAGGCGGAAACACAATCGGACACTAGAATCTCATCATTGTTTGAATCCTTGGTGAGCGGCTCAGAGGGCAATAAAAGCGTCATGGATTGCTGTGCATGCAAACAAAGACAAACATCTGGTCTCATAATGTCGTGTATGCACCTTTGTTGTTTCGACTGCCAACCAAGCTTACCACAAGTTGGACACGAACAAATTACATGTCGTTGCGGCTCGACAGTAAACTACGAAATATGCCTTGATCTCCAGCGCCTCTACCATAGCAAGCCAATACCGATAGTAAAAGGCCCCAAAACTCGGCACTTCAATGTACCTAGAGAGGATGAGAGAGCCCATATTATCAATACCAATTACAATATACCTAGTGCGAAGTTAAGGGCTGTGAAAACATTCGTTTCTCGGTGGCTCAAGGAATCCCCAGGTACTAAAATCACAATATTCACACAGTTTATAGGAATGATCAGCGCCCTATGCACGCTATGTGATGTCGAAGGTTGGGGGTACACCACGGTAGGGTCTTTTTAAACAGCGTTTTTGTCCTATAACGACCCGTGTGCTCACTGTTGCCGATAGCTTTGTGGAAAAATACACCATCGAACTAGACACTCCAACATCAAAAGATTCCGCGAGGACAAAAACACTAGCATCTTAATCTCCTCGCTAAAGACAGGGGGAGTGGGCCTCAACCTGACTATGGCTAATAAATGCATCCTGGTTGACTTGTGGTGGAACGAGGCAATCGAACAACAGGTAAGCGAATACCTAGTACCTAGGTAGTCCAATACCGTGCTGATTGATCTTGAACTCTCCTATATCTGTTAGGCATTTTGCCGCCTGTTCCGTATAGGCCAAGAGAAGGACGTCGAAATCGTCCGGATATGTGTGGAGAACACGGTTGATGACCGTCTCCAGCTCATCCAGAGCGTAAAAACCAAGCATATTAAACAGGCTATGGGCCCAGCTGTCCTTGCGCAAAGGCGAGTCATTGGTACTCGATATCTCCGAGATGACATTTCTAACACAACTATAGAGATAACCTCGCTGATATCTTGAAACTTTTCGGAGCTGAGGAGGACGAGAATACCGACAAAGGATATAGATTCTTATCGGATGAGGAGATGGCCACACAATTAAACGAGAAGGAGAAGACCCCGGATGCTGACGCCAACTGAGGGCCCGCTGCAAGGAGAAACTTCGACTGCATTTCCCATCTGATTCCCATCTATTTTCACTATTTTCCTTACAAAACTACAAACAAATATCTTGCTAAAAAAGAAGCTTCTAGTTAACCATGGATAGTTATCAAAATGAAGCTAATTCATCTTTTTTTATACCTTCAATAACCCCAGATTTTCTCCTTCCACGTGACTGTAACTAGTCGCGGGTTAATTACGGGGTCTAAAGGGCGTTTTTCTTAAGAGAAACAAGACGACTCCTCAGCTAGAAGGAAGGCATAGAATATTGATATCTAAAATATATGGACTGAGCGGCCTTCGGTGCATTCAGACGTTGAAGGCTTATCTCTGGCACAGCCCCGCTGCCGTACGATTAAACACTGATCCGCTCAAGCATGACAGATAAAAAGAAACAGCGGGGCGCCGCTGCTGGCCCGCAGGACGGATACTATGATCTCGGGAGCTATCACCGTTCCATTAGCACCAGCAACCCGAGTGCTCAGACATGGTTTGACCGTGGGCTGATTTGGAGTTTTGCGTTTAACCATGACGAGGCAGCTGCGTGCTTCCAGCGAGCCATCGACCAAGACCCGCACTGCGCCATGGCACACTGGGGACTTGCATATGCTTCGGGACCCAACTATAACATGCCGTGGGCGTTTTTTAATGCCGAACAGTTGGGATATGTGGTGACTAAAACTCATGCTGCTGCTAGAAAGGCAGAGGAGAAGGCTAGGGCACCAAATGTATCAGCTGTTGAGAGGGCCTTAACCAAGGCCTTGATACATCGATACCCCCAAGATCATCCTGTGGAAGACTGTGCAGTATGGAACAAGGGATATGCTGATGCAATGAAGTTGGTATATCAAGCATTTCCGGACGACCTGGACGTTGCGATGCTCTACGTGGATGCGTTGATGAACCTGACTCCATGGAAACTATGGGACTTGGTGACCGGAAATCCTGCGAAAGGAGCGCACACTCTGGAAGCAAAAGATATCCTCGATCGTGCTTTGGCCCAGGAAGGCGGACTTTCTCACCCTGGACTTCTCCACCTTTACATTCATCTTCTGGAGATGTCTACTTCGCCAGAGTTGGCCTTACCGGCCGCTAACCGTCTAAGAGGCCTCGTTCCCGACTCTGGGCACTTGAACCATATGCCGTCCCATATCGATATCCTGTGCGGCGATTACCAAAGTGCAGTCACATCAAATTCAGAAGCAGTTATTGCCGATGAGAAGTTCGTTGCTCAGCACGGAAGTATGAACTTCTACACCCTCTATAGGTGCCACAACTATCACTTCAAGGTATACGCGGCCATGTTCTCAGGACAGTCGAGAGTTGCGGTTGATACCGTTAGACAGATGGAGGCTACAATACCCGACCAGTTAATACGAGAATCTACTGAGATGGCAAATCTTCTAGAATCATTTGTTGCTATGCAGGTACATGTCTTGATACGTTTTGGAATGTGGGATGAGGTTCTCGCTCTTGAGCTGCCCGAAGATCAGTTCTTATACTGCGCTACTACGGCGATGAGGCTATATGGGAAGGGAGTGGCATATGCGGCCACTGGGAAAATAGAACAAGCACGAGAGGCCCGTGAAGCTTTCCGAAGCGCAGTAAAACGAGTGCTGCCCACCCGCACCGTATTCAATAATAATTGCAGTGACATCCTGGCCATTGCCTCTGCAATGCTAGACGGTGAACTAGAATACCGTCTCGGGCATTACGACACAGCATTCGAACACTTGCGTCATTCCATAAAACTCTATGATTCTCTGCATTATGATGAACCGTGGGGTTGGATGCAACCAGTTCGACATGCGTATGGTGCGCTTTTGCTTGAAAGGGGGCATGTTCGGGAGGCAGCTGCAGCGTATCGTGCAGATTTGGGTCTTGATAACACTGTGCCTAGAGCACTGCAGCATCCAAATAATGTCTGGGCATTACATGGGTATCATGAGTGCCTTGCGGCTTTGGGAGAGGTAGACGAAGCTGCAAAGGTTGCGCAACAACTTGCCACAGCGCTTGCCTTGACAGATATACCAATCCGATCGTCTTGTTTCTGCCGACTGCGGACTGTTGCCAGAATGTAAATATCGTTGTTTCACTCATGCATGTTTCATTTCAGCCTTGCGTAGAATGAATAACGGTACATCCTCAGCCGGATAAAGGTTGGACAAGACACTTAGCAAGTAGCACCGCCACTACTACTGTTCCCATATACTTCGAGCAAGTAGTGCCATGAAAAAGCTATAAGATTTTCAAGTATAAAGCCATCCTCGTTGCTCTATCAAGGATTATAAGGCAAGCAGAAACTGGAAACCAAAAAGACGTGCAAACCATGAGATTGGCCAACAGTGTAACATGAACATCTTCCCGTGTCAACCAGCACTTGAGTCGGTCTCAGCCACCGACTATAAGAGCGAAGAGTGTATAGGTATCGAAATCCTGAAACTGTACACCAAGTACACGAAAAGAAAAAGGCGAGAAACTAGAAAGTACAGGCTACCTCTTCCTCTTGGGGGGAGGGGTGGGGGGAGGGGCTACAAGTAGCATTTGGAGTGGTATCATCATTATAGACATTGAATGTCGTTAAAAGTTCGTTTGTGTGTCGACCGAATTAGGATTGGATTTTGTTGTCTCCTTTAACGGCCTCAGCGTAGGTTGGCGGCGCTCTGTGTTCACCCTCGGGCCTACTGCTGCTTCCCTGGTCCGGCGCACCACCAGATGGATTTGGTTTCTGGGGAACCGGGGGTGGGGGCGCAGCTCTTGACTCAGAGTTCGCGTTGGTGCCATACGAGCGCTGCTGCTGCTGCTGCTGCTGCTGCTGGTTAGGATGAGCCTGCTCATGGGCGATGTAGTAGTATGTGACTCGGCCTCCCTCGGCGTCTCCGCGCTGTCCGTGTCCTACGATGGGTCTGTACCCGTCTGGATACTCGTCGTCCGCCTCGGGGTACTTGAGAATGATATACCAAGCATGAAGCAGGCCGGGAACGTATCCCAGGCAGCAAAGCGCGATGTTGATAAGGGAATCAGCAGAGCAGACGCCGACCTTGATCCAGACTGCAGTTTGACAAGCCGAAACCGTTAGTATCGCGTCACAGAACCGCTAGAGAGAGCGGGGAGAGGACTATGGGAACTGCGGACGGGGATTAGCGTACGTACCTGCGATGGGCGGGAAGAGGACGGCCAGGATGGCCAGGAAGGCGTCTGGCGAGCACATGGTGGAAATGAAGCAGAGTCGACTTCTTCCTTTGCTTCTTCTTCTTCTTCTTCTTCTTCTTCTTATTCTTATTCTTTTTCTTCTTTTTCTTCTGCGGCTGCTGCTCGCTGGGTCAGTCCCTTTTCTAATATATATGGAGTGAAGCTGAAGTGGCTGCCTGGCGATGTTCCGTTCCTTCTTTCTCCTTGCTTGCTTGCGCCTCGCGCTGTGACGTCGCTGCTTAGTCAGACTACATCACGTGGAAGCCACCCTCCCGGTAGCGCGTACTCTATTACTCTATCTCTGGCTTTCGCCCCCGTCAAGCGTCAATCAGCAGCTCTTCCGCCGCAGCTCCATCCCCATATCTCGAACTCTCGCCTGGCGGCCCGTCCATTTAATATATATAAGTATATAAGTATATCTCCGTAACCCCGTATCTCCGATGTACCTCGTCACCCGTCCTCGACAGCGCTGTGCTTCTCTACTCCGTACATATGCCACGCCCGCTATCTATATACGAGCTGATGTCTCGCTCTCCCCTATTATCTGTATTACATAATGGTATTTTTGCGTCTCAAAGCCCTGCAGAGACTTTCAGGGGCGTGACGGGATGTCCCGAGCTGGCGTAAAGTGGGTATCTTTATCTGGATTTTCATTGGCTACTGCTCTCTCTCTAGCCAATCATAGCTCACTGTACTAAAATAACTTACGCCATACAGCTCGGATACACTGCCCTTTACCGCTTTTGGCCCTGTCGCCCGAACTTGTCGACGCTTCTCGTCTTCCTCCTCTTTTCTTCGACCTCAACCTCCAGCTCCGACTTCAACTTCGCATCCACGATCAATCAATCGTTCGTTCAATTCTTCGTCTCTCGTTACGCCCTGTTCGCCGGCGGACTTGCCTGTCCACTCGTTTGTTCTCTGTCGAAGGGCTTGTCGCCGAAAGGGTCCCTTTTTTTCCCACTACTAGCTAGGAACATCGAATTACTAAGAGCAACCCTTCAGCAACACACCACGTCAACCAGCAACACGTCGGTCTTGATCTGTCAGTCATTTGGCTCCAGGGAACATCCTCGCACCGGAGAAAGCTCTTCTACCATTCAAAAGGACTTGCAAATTCCGTCTTCATGTCGATGATACCTGGTTCTACCTCGTTCATAGCTATCTCTTCCTTGTGACGACCTTGGCCTAGAAGGAAACCATCTTCAGTCAGCACCTCGCAGAAGGATCCGCACCAAGCAGATAAAACACATTCGAAATGTCGAGGGACTGTATCTCGCTCAAGGGGTCGAAGCAATGCCCTGCCTTCAGTTCTGCTTCTATTGCTGTCAGTGACAGTTTGATCGGTCTATAGTACGTGTCTCTCAACCACTTTGGTCAACAAGAAGTAGGGGTTGACAAGTCTTTTCCTTTGAAATATATAGCCCTTTTCTACGATATGTCTCCAACCTCAACGATTTCGATGAGAAACTCGGCTCCTACGTTCACAATGAATATGTCAAAATGAAGTATGTCCTCCCATCGCCAGTCTATGTTTTTTTGTTTTTGTTGATTTTCATTAATTCTTCGTGCGCGCCTCTTACTACATCTTCAAGTGACTGATCACATTCCACCTTGACAGGTACCAGGACATACTCGGATGCGAAGGTTTGAACCTTAAGAACACAACTTCTCTCTATGCTCAATATACAACCAGCGTAATATGTAATGGAATAATACAAAATTCAAAAGAACCATGTCGGCTGTCCGAAGAGAACTCCAGACCACTTTGTGCAGAGAGCTGTGTAAGTTGCCCTTCCCTCTTCAATTTAATAGTAACCACTACTAACTCTTATCACTATTAGGCAATGTTTGCTACCAGTGAAGAAAGAATTACTGTCAACCAGGATCTATGTCGGTCTCCTAGCCGCAATCAGATGGACCAAATTCGGGCAGACTTCACGGTATGCGCTATCCCAGCTAATTCGCTATCCGGACATTGCATTCCCGGCTCCGACAATGAGCCAAATGAATGTGGATTTGGACCAAATTTACTAGGCCTGTGCGGCTTCTGCTCGCAGAATTCGGTCAATGGCACCGATACCTGCTGCTATGCCGCCAATGCGGAGCAGCGCTGCAAGGGCATCAAGCTTCCAGAAATCCCAACACTACCACCTCTGTTTCCACATCCAACTTCGACAACCAGTCCTTCGCCAACTAGCAGACCAGGTGGTGAAGGCCTAAGTGGTGGACAGATTGCTGGGATTGCCATTGGAACGGTATTAGGTTGCGCGCTCCTAATCGGTCTGGCGGTTCTATTCATCCTTTGGAGAAGACGGAAGCAGAATGAACCTGCCGAAAACATATTCAATCAACCCACACCTCCTCGCACCATGGCAACGGTCCCATCATATCCAGCCGGCAGCAGTTCAGCTACCAAACAGCAGAAAGGGTACGAGCCCATCCCCGGAGGCCGTGTTGCACGAATGTCGGCACTTCAAAGTGCCAGCAGCCCACCATCACGTCACGCATATCATGATTCAGATTCCGATGTATTCGGGGACAGCCCGTCTGGAGGCAGGTCGAGACGTGTCCCACCCGTCACAGGAAGAAGGAACGGCTCACTTTCTAGCGCGTCTGCCCTCGCTGGCGATGGTGACACGCTATCTCCCAAGTCTGGCAGCGGCGGCCAGTACTCGTCTCCCGAGGGCGTTGCCAGCGGCCAGTCAGAGCAACTTTCTTATTTCCGCGACTATTACTCACAAGACGACATCCATCCAAATGACAGAGTATCTGTACTCTGGGCATACCAACCTCGCGCCCCTGACGAGTTTGAGCTAGACAGAGGCGACATGCTGAAAGTCGTCGGTATATGGGACGACGGTTGGGCTACTGGGTGTCCGGATCAACGACAGAGCAGAGGACTATAACGCGAAACAGAAACAGAGTCCACTCAGAGATAGCGGTGTCTCTCAGGGGTCAGGGGCACGACCACCATCATCGCCAACTACCGGAGAAATAAAAGCATTCCCAGTACGTCTGAGCCCAGCCCCTTCTTTTATTCTTTTATCTATTTCTTTTTACTAACGATTCCATCCAGCTCGTCTGCGTGTGTCTGCCCCAACACTGGCGGACAACTATTGACGGCTACCTTGAAGGAAGTGACCAAGAACCTTCAACTTAACGGATACCAATTTGTCTATGCTTTCCTCTACCTCTTCTTTCATGCATTGATGACACAAACTAGTTCTGGCCGCTCAGGCTCTGGCGTTATATCTTTCATTTTCCGCTTTCCATTCTTCAGAAACCCCCTTTTTTATTCCCCTATCTGCGTTTACTTCGATGGGTTGACCCTTTTACTGCAAATACCTTGTTCTCGATCTCCTGGTTTCTTGCTTTGATCGCGCTGATATCCATTATACATGACCTGTTTTATTTCTTTCTCTTCTGCTGTCCGGGGAAGACCTTCACCGCGAATCTCCAGCGACGTTAAATTCACCCCTTTTCCTAAAAAAGAAAAAAAGAGCAAAAAAAGGAGGAACCCCATTTACGCCAATACGAGCACCCTAATTTCTAACATCCTACCAGTTAGTCCAGTCCGGATCCTTCGAGCAGTTGTTCTGATTTTTTTGATCTGGCCCAGAGCCAACGAGCACTGTTCCACCCGTACGCACAGCACTTACACCCACTTTCATTCTACCCAGCTTCTCTACCATCTATGGAGAGATATTTCCTATCTCTTTATCTACTTTGCGCCCATGCTGGCTTTCCCCTGATTCAATTGATTCTCGTACGCTAGATGTTAGATGTGTTAGCTGTCTATTTCTGTACTCATACCTTGGTTTAGTTTATACCCCCAAGAGATCCCAAATCAGGCCTATAAGGGTAGTTAGCCTTAATCCTAGTTGTTAATTACATACATACTTAGATGCTCCGTCCTTATTTTTGTTAACTAGTCCAACATACCCCGTACGAAGTGATTGTTATGACTAGGTCATCGATTCCTCTACCAATTTACTTGAGTCGCCGTTCAATTTTTGCATATACAACACTCCGAGACCAAGCATGCTTGTTCATTTGGATACCCACCTCTTCTTCTCCATAACTAAGTAAGTATACAGACATCGTTCAGAGTGTGTGATCGGCCTCTTGAAACACACAGCTGCTCGACATATTAACTATCCGGCTGTTATGCTATAGACAGGGATTATCAATAATACAACTCTCTTTTCTGCCCCCCAAATTCTGTTGTCTGCAGGTGGATGTTCATAAATGGCGTGATCGTAGGGATATTTACTTACCATTTGGCTTACGGGCAAGCCCTGACCTTCCCAGCGCCGTGTCATGCCATGCCATGCCCGGCCATGTCTACCAGCGGTAGCATCATCATAGTGATACCGGTGAAGGGGGACATGCAACATGGCGTGATGGATGCACGATATCTATGCAACCGGCTCTGCAGAATACTCTTATACCAAACTCCTCAGGAATGTATGTATGTGCTCCGCCGTTAGAGTCGGTAAGCATGTATCTCTGGCGTGACCTCTGTCCGTAGTTTAAAAATAGAGAGTCTGCATCTCTTCATCGCTCTGTCCTCTCATATACACTTGTTTATTCAGTCGGCTCCGTCATGAGGAGAAATGAAAAAATGTAGCCTAGTCGAGAACACCGATGCCGTGAACTCAGGATACCCCTGATACTTGCCTTTCGGTCCGTCCACTCTCTGATGCTGCTTTTTTTTCAATTCCTTTCCCGGTCACCGCTGACACTGACCACGCGCTCAGGCTGCTCTGTGTGTAATATTTTACGTTTCTTTTCTTTTCCCTGCGTTGAAGAACCGTAGTTTCTCGGCCTTATCGTCCGAGAGAAAGGGAGCAAAGGCGAGCAAGCGAGGAACAACGCTGTTTGCTATCCCCCATCGAGCCCGGAGTCATATTGGCCACTACTCCTCCTCTTCAGCCTCTCAGCTTCATCTTTCTTGTTCCTCTTCACATGACGGGTTTTTCGTATGCTCAAACTAGAGAGCCACGTGAGAGATGGATTTTTTCGATGCGTTGGCGATTATCAAAGGTATAACCCTGGTTGTTTTATAGATATTGTCCGTCTAGCCCATCCAGTAGTTAATAACGATGGGCTTTTGAGATGGCCTTCGTTCTATCTCTCGCCCATGATGCCAGCCTTGCCATAATATCGAGCGACCTCGCGGCGTCTTTGCTTTGAAAAAAAGTCTCCGGTATTATGTATATTGGCCATGGTCGAAGCAAGGGCTTTAGATTAAGGAATCGGCTTCGTCTGTCCACCTGTTTCCTTTCGGGTTTCACCTCGGGCCCGGCGTAGAAGGTCGTTCGGAGTTGTTGCCTCTCAGGAGTCGTAGATCTGAACCAGCAGCCTGCTTGCAAAAATAAAATAAACGGGATCAGATCGAGCAGCCGAGTTGAGTCAGTCGTCCGCGTCCGCTGCCGCTATAGCCATGAAGCTGATGAAACCAGCGGGGGCCGAGAGGGTGAGAGGGGAGAAACACAGAGCTGTCCGTCATCGATCGAACTGGCCGAGTATACCCCCTTGGCCCTGCTCTTGGTTCGGGATATGGGGAACGCCTCGCAAGCTTGAGGTTGGTTAAACCGTCGACATGCCAGGAGAGACAGCCAAACAACGGCCCATTTTCAGTCTATCAGCGTCCTCCTCACGGGCTTCTATTCATCATGGCGTCACCTGGCCAGTCTCCTTTCGGCCTGCCGACTGTGGCTGCGCTGCCCGTATATGCATCGCCATGGTTAGTTAGTTATATCAGCCAGCAGCCAACAGGACAACCGCCACTCGGCCTTGAACAGCGGACGATTCTCTCGGCTTCGTGCCTCTTTGGACTCTCCAGCCGTGCCGGGCCAGATGAGGCCTCTGCACAGGCATAAGTTATCCAGTTGTCTCCATTTTGCATCCTTCTTCTTTTTGCTGCAAAGTGAAAATTAAGCCGGTTTCATAAAGTACATCAGGAGGCATCACTAGAAGTGTATGAGGAAACACCCGAAGGGGCAGAAGTAGAAAAGGAATAACTACCAGTTAAAACGTCTTCCCCATATCAATAACAGCGATGTCGATATGATCTCCGAGATCCAGGGGGGGTTTTGTCATCAAACTGGATCCATCATCGTCTCTCCGCTGCGATCAGAAACAAAACAAAACAACAGTCCTTGAGGTCCTTGTATAGACGGCTGGTCATATGTCAACAATGGCTTGATGAGAAGATCTGACCATGCTTTCTTCTCTTCCCGGCGTCCTCCTACCTGGAGATTGATGTTTGAGTCTGTATTTTGCATTGTGTACTTTGGCAGTTGACCTGTTTTGACGACTTCGACGTTCAAATTCAAACTATTTGAACGCTCCATCCACTCAATACTCCGGCCCTTATTCTCCATCTTATTGCATCATGCCTACGGGTCCAAGGTCCGATGCTACATGTTGGCGTCTCAAAGGACAGCTGGCCCCCCGTGTTTTAGGTACTTTTATTCGTCCTCCGTCTTTTGTTATATCTCCATCTCTGATCCTCTTGTCTCCTGGCTCTGGCTGTGCAGACTGACAAGTATGTAGATTCCTCATGAACGCGTAATCTGGGCGGCCGGTGTGCACTGTCTATCCCTTCTGCTCATAGAAAACGGCCGGCGTTCAAGCTGGCTCATCATCCGTTCTCCCGGCCTGGGGAAGATGGGGCCCTTTTTATTCTTTTTTGAGCCTCTTAAAGTATTGATCGGCTGTTATGTCAAATATATACAGGGCACCGGCGCACAGCTGACAGAGTTAGAGATGACGTGATGAGAAGGATGGGAGATGCTCGGGTCTAAGAGAGGCCTAGCAAGCAACTTTCCACAAGGACATGGAGTTTAAGGGAAGATGGGCATGAAGACGGCCTTCCTTGAAATACGGAATACATCAGAGCCCCATGGGTTTGAAAATTCTTGCCCTGTATTGATGCCAAATCAACAACCCAACCCAAGATCAAGAAAGTACAAAAACGACAGCCAGAGTTCAGGCATAACTAATTGCACGGATAGAGATCTAGCTAGGGAAGCTACTATTCGTGCAGAGTCGAGCATGGCTTCGATCCAGCCAAGGGCGATCACCATGACACAGCCAGCTCAAACTATATGACGATCACTATATGCCTGGCAGTGCACGCAGGATCTAAACAAGCCATCTGCTTGTCATCGAATACCCGGAAGGCAACTGACAGGCTCAAGTAATAACCGGCAGGTGAAGGTTGGGCAGCCTGATACCGGAGTCTGAGCGCAGGATACGTTGATCTCTACGAAGGGCAGCAGAAACAAACAGCACAAGCAGCTGCCAGACAGCAGAGTGGTCAAGACAGATCTATAAGCACGATTACAGAGATAACTACTCCTTACCTAGGTAACGACGGGAGTATATGATACAATGGTGACTAGCCAAAGTCAATTAAAGATCTGATCTGTCTACCCACAAGATGGGGAGCTTGCTGTCCCCCAGATTCGCCGGCAGCCATCGGCCTAGAGCTCGAGGTTCGCCCGTTCTCGGGACGAAGGGACTGACTGTCATCGGCAACTCGCTATTCGGCCGCTTTGAATAGGTCGAGGGCTACGGCTGGAGCCGTAGAGACAAAGGGGGAATGGAAGCGAGAAAGAATAAAAAAAGGGGACAGTCAAAGGGTTCAGGTCCATGGGCTTGCCTGCTTGCTTGATTTTGCAGCATTACAGAGCAAAGACATTTCTGGCCTGGCCTGGACTGTGCTGGACATGGCGGGTGCAGAGAAAATGTTACGTACAAGATATTGCATCGTCCTTATCGCCCGAAGAGACTCGCTGAGCTGAGCTGAGCTGGAGCGGCGCCAGAGGCATGAGATGAGGCAGCATGACAGACAGAGAGAGAAAATACAGCCATGCCACGGTTAACCCAGGGGCTCGCTTGCAGTCTCTCTCGCCTAAAGGGTGCCACACCCCCCTTTCTGTTGCGTTTGGGCTGTCCCTGGCCTGCCTTGTCTTCTTGCCTTGTCTGGTGGCCAACCTGTCGCGACTCTGACGCTGTCATT